TCATCTGCAAATAGAGACAATTTTACTTCTTTTTCAGTTCTGTTGTATTTCCTTTTCTTGCCTGATTGCTTTAGCTAGGACTTACATACTGTGTTGAATGGGAGAGGTAAGAGTGGGCACTCTTGTGCCTGATCTGATTGGAAAGGCTTTCAGCCTGTTCACCGTTGAGTATGACATTAGCTGTGGGAAGGCTTTTTTTCTTTTTTTAAAATTGAATATTATTCTAAGTATATTACATTTAATAAGTCATTTATATTTAAAGTCATATTTGACTTGATGGTTTAAAAAATAATTTAAGAAACAGTCTTTCACTAATATCCTTAGCTCATCTTGTGTAGTATTGGGGGTACTTCTATCCTTTGCCTTGGATTTGGTTCTTTTGTCTGGGTTTAACGTGAACCATTTTAACTGTTAAAAAGACTGATACTTACATAATGAACAATTGCTAACTCACCGCTCAGCTTCAGTCATAAAACATCACCAGTGTCATTCTCTGATCACATCTGCCTTGCTCAACCCTAGAGGTAAGTACAGTTGTGAATTTGCTGTTTATTTCTTTAGAGGTTTGATTTTCGTACTTTTTTTTTGAGATTACACAAGTAGTTTATTGTATCCATTAGTAATACTTCAAATAACTCATCCAACGGAATAAACCACTGTTAATAGTTTTGTGATTAAAATGTATCTGTGCACATAGATAGGTGTTGATGGGAAACATGTTTTTTTTTTTTTTTTTTATTTTTTTTTTTTTTCCTGCAAAGCTATTTGTGTACACTGTTACATTTCTAGGGGTCACTTTCCTACACAAGCATGCAGCTGCACAAGAAGGCATATACAAGGATATTTATAGCTTGTTGGTTACAGTGAGCAATTTGGAAACCTAAATATTCTAGTCAGAAATACAGAAATGTAGAAGTGTATCAAGGATTTTTGTAGCTTATTGGCTAAGAGAACTGTTTAAGAATATCCTCAGTATCTCAGGAATAGGGGACGGATTAAATAAAATGTATCCATATTATGAGGCAGTTTAAGGGAGTGGGGTAGGGTAGCCTGGATATACACACCTGGATGTTGGTGCTGACATGGGACATTTCCATCACATCTACAGTGATTAATGTTTTTCAGCACAAAAGGCTCACAGGATTTCCAGTTAACTGGGCCATTCTGGTTATCTTCAGCAGACTAATGCTGCTATTTGTGGCTTTCTGTTTCTCTAAGTTGAGAGTTGAATATTTTCTGTCTTGTTGGAATGTTTTGTATTTCATGGAACATCCTATGGTCTTGTGACAGTTTTAGTTGGTGGTGATGGTCAAAATGTGATTCTAGCCTTAATCTCTTGTCTGGAGATTAAGCATTATAGTAAGTAAAAAATATGGGGCACCTGGGTGGCTCAGTGGGTTAAGCCTCTGCCTTCGGCTCAGGTCATGATCCTCCGGTCCCGGGATGGAGCCCCATATTGGGCTCTCTGCTCAGCAGGGAGCCTGCTTCCTCCTCTCTCTCTACCTGCCTCTCTGCCTACTTGTGATCTCTGTCTGTCAAATAAATAAATAAATAATCTTAAAAAAATTTTTTTTTTCAAAAGGATTTTAAAAAGATTGCATATTCTAGCGAAGTCAGGGAGTCTCCCTGTCTGTTCTCTTCTCTGGCGTACTGGTACAGGGAACATCAAAGAAGACAGTTTAGCTCTCAAGTCTGTTGGGGAGGTTGACAAGTGACCAAGTTACTTGTATAGGAGTGGGACACATGGTAGGCAAAGAGGCACAGATGTTAATATAATGGAGCCCAGCCCCTTGGTTGGGATGTGTGTCATTGCTCCAAGTGAGGAGAGCCAGCGGAGCATTGGTAGTGGGAGCTCACGCTGAAATGAGGACGCCCGTTTGAGTTCCCGGGGGCACAACTGCTGTGGCAGAGGATTACGGAAGTACTTCGCAGGCTCTGAGTTTAGGATTGGAGAGGGCACAAGGAATGTTTTCCGAGAGAAGGTAATAATACCCGAGGTATTATATATTATAGTTGTATATTATTATATATATTACATTTTTATATATATTATGTATTATATGTCTGGTATATAATACTAGAGGTATCTGTCACCCGCGGAGATTGAGCAATCCTCGGGCTTCCTCTGTGTCTTTCAAGTGGTTCAGTGAGGCTGGAGGGGTGGAGGTGAGGGGAAGGAGGGCCTAAGCGCCGAGTCTTGAGAACTTGAGGAGGGAGGCCAGGTTTCACAGGCACGTGGAGGGAGACTGGATGTTCCCAGTGACCGCCTGGGGCGGCTGGGGGGAGGTGGGCAGCCAGCTCCTCATCCTCAGGCCTCTAAGCACTCAGGCGCTTTGGTACGTAGATGCGGCTTCCAGGTACATTCCTAACACCCTTCCAAGTGAGTGGAAAGGGGTTTCTTTCTAAACTCCAGGAAATTCTGGAACTGTCTCTGTGATCGCATGGTGGAGGCAAAGGTAATAAATTCTAACTATTGCCATAAATTGTGTGGTACTAGCAGGGAGCACTAGCAGGGAAGAACTTTGTGTTAGAAGGGGAACCTGAGCTTAGATGTGAAATTCTGAAAATCCTACTAATGTTTGGGTAAGGTCTTGTCATTTATAGGGTCCTGCTGTCCTGCCTGCCAATTGGGCCTCTCATGACCTTGCCGAGGATGGCACAGGTTAAAAAGTGGCATGGCCGTGAGAGAGGAGCTAGTTCAGAGACCGAACCTGTGGATGCTGAAGCCTACACTTTTAAATCTTTTTTTTTTTTAAATGGATTTTATTTTTATTTATTTGACAGGCAGAGATCACAAGTAGGCAGAGAGGCAGGCAGAGAGAGCAGAGGAGGAAGCAGGCTCCCTGCTGAGCAGAGCCAGATATGGGGCTCCATCCCAGGACCCTGGGATCAAGACCCAAGCCGAAGGCAGAGGCTTTAACCCCCTGAGCCACCCAGGCGCCCCAAAGCCTGTACTTTTTACTACACTGTCCAGCCTTCCTCTTTATTTTTTTTTGGCCTGGTGACCACCTTGTGCTTGGTCACAGGTGGAGAGTAAGTGACTTAAGATACCTTAGTCAGCTGGATTAGGCAGCTTTTACTGTCCTAAGGGCCAAGGGGTCAGTCAGTATAATGAGGCCTTGGAAATGTTGAGTCACCTGTTACAGGGATCTTTGACTGGTTTTGGACATTGTGTAGCAGGGACAAGGTTTATTTTCTGAGTTGCTAAAGTTTTGAACCCTTGTGGTAAAGTAGGAGAATATGGGCCTTAGAGCCAGACTTGAGGGCTGGGATCCCTGCTGTTTCAGGTTTCTCATCTTCTTCTTTTCTTTTTTAAGATTTCTGTATTTACTTATTTGTCAGAGAGAGAGAAGGCACGCGCACTGCGCTGGGTTCGCAAACGGGGAGTGGCAGACAGGAAGCAGCAGACTTCCTGTTGACCAGGGAGCCCAATGTGGGACTTAATCCTGGGACCCCTGGGCTCATCAACTGAGCTGAAGGTGGACACTTAACCGACTGAGCCACCCAGGTGTCCCGCAGTTTTCTCATCTTTCACATGGGGATAATAATTCCTAATAGGATTATTTTGGGTAATAAGCAAGGTTATATATATATAAGTCCTTTGAATAATGCTGGATACCTATTAGATGATTAAGCAGTTAATATGTGGTTTCCCCTTCCTTTCTCCCCTCCCCATGCTAGACTCCCCTGCCCACCCCCCAACCCCATTCTCATTCATTGCTCCCTCAACTAAACTAAAAGGCTCCAAGGCTGTAATGTGCTCGTTGTGGATCACTTGGGATTTTGGGTATCAATCCCAGTTCCCGTGTCCTGCCCCTATCCATTCTGTGGACGTGTTTGTCAAGTGATAGGCCCTCATTGCTAGTTGGGAAGATAACAGTGGTGGTAAATTCCATCCGCCTTTACCCTCTTGGGCTTCATGCCATGGGAATTCAAGACCCCTTTTGTTAAGTTACCATGAACCCTGGGTTCTGGGTTGCTAATGCTCTTTCCCTCCTGTGCTCCAGCTCTGAGCAGAAGAGTTGGACGGCCCAGGTGTTTTTCTGGAGTCGATCCAGTTTAGGTCTTTCCCTTTAGAGTAACTTCACCGATACCAATGTACCCCTGAATTGCTTTTACTCTACGGGGAGGGCATATTGCTTGGTTGACTCCCAGAGTTGATACCCCATCTTCCCGTAGCCTTCTGGTGCTTCTGTTTTGTGGCTTCTCCTGTCATCTGCCTACCTAGGTTGCTTTTTCCTGAGGGGTGTTTGAAATGAGGAAGGAGTGGGATGTGTGGTAGCCGATAGTGGTCTTTTTTCGATTAGGCGTTCATGTCACACTCTGAATGCTCTCTTTTAGTTTTTTCTGTTGATTCTACCAGGGCCAGAACTCACTGCCAGAGATTGCAAGGCAGGACATTTGGTTGGGGGTAATGTCTATGTGTTTTCATACCGCTCTCCAGATGAGTCTGATTTGCACCTCTGGTTGAGAACCAGTGATTGGATAATTGAACCAGGTTGTGTTCTTACTCTTGGGGTAACGTTGCTTTGCTTTTTTTTTGTTCTGCATTGGGTTTTTCCTTTGTGTGTGTGGGGGGTTTGTGTTAGGGAGAGAATGATACTGAACAAATGAGACTTAGTGGATCCAGACTGGTTGACCTTCGTGTGTCACCTTGGGAGACTTGCTATCTTATTTCTGAGCTTCCGTTTTTCCTCATATGATTGAAGGAGAAGATACTGTCCCTCTTTGGAGTTTTATAAAAGAACTAACCTATACAAATTAAGTGGTAAATGGCATGATCTAAGCACTCAGGAAATTGTAGATACTAGGGAGGTTGGGAATGATAATAATGACATTATTTGCAGTATAAAAATACAAATCTGAATTTGAAGATTTTGATTTTGTATTACCAGAATTAATTCTCTGCTTTCATTTTACCGCTTCTTAAAAAAACAGATTCTACAGAAACAGATTTATGTGCAGTTCTTAAATCTTAATTTTTTTTTTTCCCCATTAAGTCACTCAGCATCTGAAGAAGCTTCCGGTTCAGACTCAGGCAGCCAGTCGGAGAGTGAGCAGGGCAGTGATCCAGGAAGTGGACATGGCAGTGAGTCAAATAGCAGTTCTGAGTCTTCAGAGAGCCAGTCGGAATCTGAAAGTGAGTCGGCGGGTTCCAAATCCCAGCCAGTCCTTCCAGAAGCCAAAGAGAAGCCAGCCTCTAAGAAGGAACGGATAGCGGATGTGAAGAAGGTATCCACTTTGCTATACAGAGAAAGTGTGCTGCGAGGTGGGACCCGCTAGCAGACCTCTATTTCCCATGGAAAACTTAGGAGTTAATCTGGATAATAAAAACTGTAGCTACCTTTTGTAATCATCTATTGCCTGAGGATATAAACAGGGACTGCTTTCTGTTCTGTTTGATATAGTAGACACAGGGCCATAAGGAAAATAATTACATGAACCGTCAAATTACAAAGCAAAAAGGCACATTTATATATATATATATATTTTTTAAAGAGTGAGCAAGCTAGTTGGGGGAAGGGGCAAAGGGCAAGGGGGAAAGAGAGAATCTTCCGTGGGGTCCATCCCCAGCACGGAGCTGGACACAGGGCTTGATTTCACGACCCTGAGATCATGACCTGAGGTGAAATCAAGAATCGGACGCTTAACCAGCTGAGGCACCCAGGCGCCCCTATAGTTTTGGTTTTTAACATTTAAAAAGGTAATAGTCAATACTGAACAATACTAGAGAGAGTTACTGACAGATGATTATGGAATGTAGTTGTAAAGCTTAGTGATGGATGATAACAACTCAAGAATAAGGATAGTTTTTTCGTATCTGAAGGATGGAAGAGAAATACTTCTCATAGGAAAAAAAGTTATCTGCATCTAGGCAATGTAGGTATTATGAACATAGAAGAGTCTTCTAGCAAAGAATGCAAACAAGCCAAAATTCTAAGTGCATAGTGTGGTCTCACTGAGGCACAAACTTTGAAGTGCATTCCTTTTAGGGAAAAATTAATGAGTTGGCCTAATTAATCACAAGAATGCAGCCAGTCTTTTAAAATTCCATTTTAAGACACTTGTATTTGAATCACTGAAGATAGAAAAGAATATTCTTTTAGAAATTTAAGAATAAAATGCCCTAGTGAAATAAAAAGCTTTATGCTGAATCAGTTTTTATTCTTCTAAGATAGAAATCTAAGCACATATTTTTGTAGTAGTACAACCAATTTAGAATTACCTGCAGGTTCTACAGAATAGCTTCAACAGATGTGCTGTGAGGGATGGGAAAAGGAAAGCTGTCCCTTGCTACTTTAGTTAACAGAGGAGTGTCTTTCAGACACTCAACTACTCTACCTTGTTGCCAGCTCATTGTATGGGTGGACCTTTCACAAGAGGGAATATATGTAGAAACACCTATTAGAGGTTTTGTTCTGAGTATCACTAAACTCAGACTTACTGCCCAGGCTTGTAGTAGAAGGCTTTTCCCTGTGATCTTCAGAGTGTAGTGTCAGAGCCTGGTTTCCTCTACATCTAGATCAGGTGCTCTTTTCAGAACACCACCACACAATTTTGAGGGAAGTATAATGGGTTGAAAAAGTCTGGATATGACTTTCATCTGTGCAGTGGAGATTTCTTGACTTGTAGAGTAAAGGAAACCATGGAAACCATTACTTAACATAGTGCTTAAAACGTCACTGAGATCATGTTGATCAGGATTCACAGTGGTTAAGTTTTAAGACCCTATATATTTAACCTTAAATAAAAAAATAAAGGGAACTAAGAAGGGAAATCATGACTAAGACTGAATTTCATAATGGAAGTACAGTTTCAGACAGAAATATTAAAATATACTTCCAAAGTTAAGGTGATCAATTCCAAGAAGTTAAATAGTAAGGTTAATGCGTGGATGCGTGTTCTAACCAGTTAGAATGATTGGATTTTGACTTTAAGGATATTATTCTAAAATGAGAACTTCTGAGGAAAGCTCTTTGTTTTCTGTATACAGAGAGCAATGTCCCTTTACATGGTAGCTTTTTTACTGAAGGTTTGAATTAGATATTGTAGCCCTCAAAAGGACAGAGATGAACTCAGGATGATATTAGTATGTGTACATTATGGTATAATACAGTCCCAGGAGTTGAGCTGGATTCCTCGTATTTTAAAATGATAAAACTAATCAGTGGTCTTTTCAGTGATTTAGTAGTCCGAGTTTATAAAAGCTCCTTAAATACCTGTGCTGAGTAAAGAAATTTCATAGCTCTAACACAGGTCCAAAAAGGGGTCAGGGTTGAGGTAGAGGTTGGGGTTGGCATGGCTAGGTAAACCTTTTTGTCACCTTTCTTTCTCTTCCAAATTTGTTCAGTGTTCTGCTGCCTCTGTCACCTAGATTTTCTGCCACTTGCTTTTTCCTAACTTTGGTTGGGCACTTTGTCTTCTCAGCTCTGAGATTATTTCAAGGCCATTATGGATTTGTCACCTTTATAAACTGAGAACACTGGATTCCATGATAAAATTGGATTCTTGTTCTAAAATGCCTTTTCCTAGAACATCTTGCTTGTTTTCTTTGGAGGCCTTGGTTTTCTTCAGCTTACCTTGGCTTTTTTTTTTTTTTTTTTTTTTTTAAAGACACTTTGGTAATATCCTCCCTTGCCTTAATGACATTCTGTTTTTTTCTGAGTCGTCTTTCATCAGTTTTGTCTTTTTTGGGGTCCACTTTCCACACTCTTCATGAGTCTCAGCCAGGGGCTTCTGTGGCCTCACTTTCTAAATATTTTCATGAGATTTGCTGTTACCTGTATTTTGACAGCAAACCCACATTTCTAATCTTGGCTCTCAGGCATTTCTTCTACATGTTTATTAACGTCTTCATTTCAGTGTTCCCACAATCCATCCAAATTCATTTTGCCTCTGTGTAACTGATTTCATTAGAAGAACGCCATGATATACTTGGTAATAATTATCTGTGGGAAGGAGACCGAGGTTGGGGGTTGTAGACACTCAGAGGTTTTGTGGGGCCTTCTACATTTTTTCTATAGATTTGTTGATTTGAGTCTTTTTATTATAAGATGATGTTAGTATATTGTGAAAAAAAACTGTCTCTCCAACTAAGCTCTCCTACTTATTTATTTTTAATAGAAAAAGGTGGTTTTATGAAGGCACGGGAATAGGACCCATAGACCGAAAGAGCTGCCTACTTACTTATTTTGAGATTTTATTTTATTTAATCTGTACAAGCAACATGGGGCTTGAACGTAGAACCCTGAGATCAAGAGTTGCATGTGACTGAGCCAGCCAGGTGTTCCTACTTTTTTCTTTTTCTTTCTTTTCGCCAGGTGTTCCTACTTTTTTCTTTTTCTTTCTTTTTTTTTAAATTACTAGTGAAGACTGTTACTAAAAATCAAGTCCCCAAAACCAGGCAAAGGGTAATTACTGTTGGAGAATAAAATAGAATGATCCAGAGAAAGATTGACAGTGGTGCTCATTTCTGGAACTTCTAGCTAAGTGTCAGAAATGCCCAATATGCGTGCTTCTGGCATGTTATGTATTCATCCTGAGGAATTTAAAGAAATAGACAAATGTTCTGATTCTTATTTAATTAGAATTGTCGGGGACTTGCTTGTTTTTTGAGCTCCGAGATAGGTCAGTGTACAGTCACACCTGAAACTGGAAAGCATTAGGGACTTAAAATTCATCAGTAAAAACTTTGTCTTCAGTGGAAGCTTTGCCATATTACTCAACTGTAAGTTTATATTTTAATGACCAGTAATCAGCATGCCATGTAGTTTGAGAGCCATTCAGTAAAGAAGAGGCATTGTTAAACTTCACTGTGTTCAGGATAATACAGGTGGTACTTTATTATCTCTAAACAAAGCTAACACAAAACAACCCTTTTGATATTTAGTTACTTGAATTTTTTTTAGATGGAGATACATGTTCCAGTAATGAAAATCGTAAATGGGGGATCAAGAAAAAAGGATTCACACATGGTCTATTAATTTTACAGATGTGGGAAGAATATCCTGATGTTTATGGGGTTAGGAGGTCAAACCGAAGCAGACAAGAACCATCACGATTTAATATTAAGGAGGAGGTAAGAAAAAGAAATGCTTTAAGAGGATACATTTAAATTCCTTATCTTACCTCATCCTTTTCAACTCTGGTGTGTATGTTCCCATTAACGTGAGCTTTTATGCCTGAGAATTAAGTGACTCTGTTGCAAGCTTTCTCAACCTAGAACTGCAAGGAAAGCCACAGGTGTCTTTTAAAGAAAAGAAATTTACCAGGAAGATTGTGTCACAATGAATGTTTTAGTAGAGTGTTAGAGTATTACACAGTCTTGGCATCACATCTTTATTTTCATTTTTTTAAATGTTTCTGGATTTCGAGTGAAATTGATGATTGCAAGAAGTTTATCTTTTAAAATAAGCTAGTTTATAAATCTCTTAGATTTTGTTAAATGAGTCACTTGCTTGGTAAATGTAATAATGGACGTAGTTTCAGATTTATTTTCCGAGAAAGGAAGGAGAGTTTGTGTAACCTAAGTAATATGTTTTAACTAATTCTTCAAATTTGCTTTCTGGTTTTAGTGTGCAGTATAAAATACTTTACACATATAACTCTGATCTAATTGTGAGAGATTGAATGGATTGGTGATTTTTAAAAATTGGTATTATGTACTGGGTTCTTTTGTTTCCATAACATCAGACTTTTCTCACCTTTCTCAGTTTGTGTGGTATTTTTGTCCGTTCTTACCTCTATATTGGGTTTATGGGCCACATTCTGAAGAGATGCTCTTTTACGTCTCTGTGAAATGGCTCCTTTCTGCATTCTTAGGAGGACTTTGCTATTCTTAACTGTGTAATATCCTTCTGATGAAGGTGAAATGTTAATATCAGAGGTTAGTGAGTTGGGGCGTGGATTTTGGTAAATGTACTTTACAGATCTAGTTGACTATAATATCCACATTGCCTTCATGGTGTTTTATTTTGAATGACCTGAGTGGTTTGCCTTAGCTTTCTTTTTCCTCGGTGTCTAGGCCTAGGTTCCTGAGCCATGTTGGTTACAACCAGTCCCATAGTTGAGTCACTCTTGTCCTCTTGTATATAAATTAACACATTCTCGGTAGGGCACAAAACTAACAGCAGTAGGAATATTTGCCAGTTTCCCTAAGTTTGGGGGGAAAGAGCTATTTAGATGTTTTTGACTATATAAACGTTCCTTGGCCTAGTGCTGTCAGGCCAGACAGGAGAGCACTGTCAGCTCGTGATTGAACATGCTCTTTAATGAGTCTGAAATGGAATAGATCAGTAGGTCAGCACCTTTAATGGCACACTAAGTGTGGCATTTTCACATGATATTCGAGATCTGCAGTATCCAGTGTACGGTTGCCACTAACATGTGGCTTTTAAAATTTGTATTCAAGTCCCCGTTAAAGGAAGGATTCCGTTCCTTAGCCGCACTAGGCACATTTCAGGGGCTCAGCAGTCCCTTGTGGCTGCTGGCTACTAGATTGGATCCTGCAGATACAGAACATTTCCATCATCACAGAGAATTTTATCGGCCATGCCCTTGTAGAAGTTAAGCCGACAGAAATATTTCCTGGTGTTAGAGGTAACTCCATAATAACAGACAGATTAATTCAAAGGAAAAGAAGAGTGAGCGCCACCAAACACAGGGTTCTTTTGTCTGAAAGTTCATGTTGACTGATGTTATGATGGAGCAGATTGTTGAATCAGGGGTTCGTGTTGTCCCTGAGAACTATGAATTAAAGTCTGTGATCATTTCTCCCTCCTCACACACTGAAGGCAAGTAGCGGGTCTGAGAGTGGGAGCCCAAAAAGAAGAGGCCAGAGGCAGCTGAAGAAACAGTAAGTCTTTCATGGGGCACGTACTTCACACAGGGGTTTTGAGCACGTCCACTTCTGTGGGGCTGCCTTTGTCGTGTGGTAGTCCACTCCGGGTCCCAGAGTCTGCTGCTGCTCCTGCTGTCATGGGCCACGGTCTGCTGTGTCCCGCTGCCTCAGCAGCCCTTGAAGCCCAGAGACCCCATCTTGTGTGTGTCCCATGTGTGCTGGGCTACAGCTTACCCTACCTGGTGAGCCCGTTAGCCCCATTGTGGTTTTCTTTAAAATGTGCACAAATTCTATTGTGATTGAACAAGGAACAAATGTAGATTTGCTTTTTTTCCCTTTTCATGTGGTTCTGACTGGACGCCCAATGTAGTATGAAATTTCTCACTGTTGTTAACTATATAATTTTAATACTGCAGTTCACAAGGCAGAAAATTTTAATTCTTGGGCATATGAAATTCCTTTAGAACATAGGTTTTATATTTATTATTTTTAAAATTTACAATTCTACTTAAGGTGAAAAAAATATTTTTATTTATATTTTTTAGAATTTAAAAATCATCCTTGGAGGGGGTCTGGATCTCTGATAGTCTGAATTCTGTGGCCCGTCTCCTCAGGGGCTGCATTTGAAAATGTAGATACTGAAATCCTGGCAGACAAATTCAGGGGTTTCTCATGGTAAATAGTTGTCCATGGTGCCTATTAAAATAGAACCCCAGTTATATATATTTTCTGTCCTAAAATATTAGTATTCCTTAATAAATTTTTGGCCTAAGGCAAAGGAGTTTAAATTTTTTAAACCTGTTTTCTCATTTTCCGAAATAGAGTAATACTTGTTCTGCCAACCTAACAGGGTTGTTGGAAACTATGCTAGGGAAAGTCACGTATTTAGTATTGCCCTCCCCAGAGCACATCCAATTTTCATTTGTGTTTTAAATATTTAATTAGAGTTGGAGGAGAAACTGTAGGCAGGCCTGTACTTCTTGGCATCTTAAAAAGGCTTTTGTTCTACTCCAGTCCCATGGCCTGCTTGGGAAACTGTTCTGATCTAATGGCCTTTTGGGAGCCTTTGGGAAGTCCATGCACTTGGTCTTTTCTCCACCATCTGGCTACATTCTTCTGGTCTCTTGACTGGTATCTACATGGTGCTGTGCTTGAAAACCTCCATAACCTACTTTAAGAGCCTTCTCTGCGTGTGCAGAAGCCCACTGGCCCCAGTACTTATTTTCCTCCAGTCATCCTGAGAGTTCTCTAAAATTGACAGCCCTCAGTGGCCTTCCTTCTCCTGAGTAGAACCTCTTAGTTTCCTTTCAGGGGCCTGTATCTTTAAGGCTGCTTCCCAGCCCCAGGTTCTTCCTTAGGAACTTGTAAGAGCTGTGGGAGTTCCCTTCATGCTTGTTTGTGTGGGAGCACTGGGCTAGCCTCACTTCCTGCCATCCACTGCAGCTGGTGAGTACTGGGGCTTATGAGGAGCTTTTCTTACTTAGTAAGATTAATTGGAGGAGGTGCTGCAGTAACTGAAGTTGGAAGGCACAGTACTAAAGGGGGCCCTCTGTGATCTGAGCAAGCTCAGTAGAACCTAGTGTTGGGGCACATAGATTTCAGAATTGACTCAAAGAGAGTGGAAATTTTGAGGTATTAGCACAGGGAAATGCTTTTCTGAAACCCTGCAAACTGCACCAGATTTTGAAGTTCTTTATAGGAGCTATTTTTAATTAACTTTATTTTTTGAATTCAAGCTTTAAAAAAAGCTCTAAGAACAAAAATAGTGTAAGGAATGCCTGTGTACTTTACCCAGATTTGCCATTGGTTACTACTTTTGCCCCATTTGCTTTATTGCTGGGGGTGCTTTTCTTTGTATATATTTATATATGCATGCACATAATATTTTTTCTGAACCACTTAAGACTAGGATTGACACACATCATGGCCTTTTACCCCTAAATACTGAAGTCTGGATTTCCTAAGAAGAAGACTATTCTCTTTCCTAAGTACAGGGTAGTTTTAATATAAATAGATTTAACATTGCTAAAAATTTTAGTCTAATTCATATTCCCATTTTGTTAATTGACCCAGTAATGTCTTAAAACATTTCCTACCTCCACTGCAGGGTCCCATCTAGGTTTAGATATTTTATGTAAGTGGTCAGGTTTCTTCACAGCGCTATCACAGTGCTTTCACACTACTTTGCTTTGATGACTTTGGCATTTTTAAAGAATAGAGTTTCACAAGGGACTAACTCCCCAGAGTCATAATGTGAATTAGCATTTTAAAAATTCAGAAGTTACACAGTGTAATGTTCCTATACAATATTGAAATATTTTTCAAGTTAGTTGGCAATGTTAAAAATTTGAGAAATGGTACTTAAGAGTCCAGATTTCTAACTTCTTAGAAAAATCTGTCAGTGCTGGCCCCTATAACAGTGGTCTTTATAAACTGATGGACTGGGAGTTTTCCATTTGACCCCATTTACAGACCTTGCCTGGCCTAATGGGTATTTCAGTTGTAACCCCTGACCTAGTCATATTAACCAATAAAATTTTTCATTTATTTAACCCACTCCTGCTGTTTTAATCACTGAACTATTACCCATGCCACACTTATTAATGTTGTCCAGATTTGTAAAAAGTTGTATAGGATTTTTGCTGACTCATGGTCCCACCAGTGCTTCAAACCGCTCTAGAATGGTTCCAGAACCTTTTTCTCTCAACTGTAGTTTAAAAAAAAAAAATGTGTTCACTGTAAGTCACTTGAAGTTTTTCTCCTGGGATCATAGTTGTTTTTTTTTTTTCCCCCCAGTGCTTTGAGTTGGAACTCTGTCACAAACTCATGACACAGTGGAGGAGAATCTTTTAGCCCCAGATTTTCCTTTTCATTGGAACTTCTTCCCGAAAGGCCTTTCTTCTGGGAAAATGTACTGAAAATAAATGAAGTTTAAGCAGCTCTTTTCTTCTTTCCCTGATCTGCCTTCTAAAAGTAGAGGAGAGAGGAACCCCCTTTTTTGGGCTTTTAGTGATAATTAGTAGGACTCTTGGTCACAGTTTAGGCCTGTTTTATTTATGAAGGAATTTTGTGCATTCCCTCCTTCAGAGCTGTTTATAGATTTGATTTGTGTCTTAGGATCTGCGTTCTGCCCAACACCTTTTTCCAATAAAGGAACAAAACTATACCTACTTAGCTTGCATTCTGACTTTTTCATGTCTATTTACATTGCCTTAGAGCCTCAGTGGCCAAATCTTAGTATTTTTCTCCCCAGTTCCCAAGATTTTGGTAAAAATTTCATTGATTCCTTCTTAGGGAATCCTGCTGATGCCCTCTTAAAGCTGGATTTGGCAATTCAAGTCTCCTTTGACATGTGAAAATTTTATTAATCATAATCTTGTATTTTATTTTTATTTTTTAAAGATTTTATTTCTTTATCAGAGAGAGAGCGCACAAGTGGGGCAGTGGCAGGCAGAGGGAGTAGGAGAAGCAGACTCCCTGCTCAGCGAGGAGTCCAATGCAGGACTCAATCCCAGGACCCTGGATCACAACCTGAGCGGGAGGCAGATGCTTAACTGACTGAGCCTCCCAGGCATCCCAATCACAATCTTATATTTTAGACAACTCCCAATTGTAGCCTGACTTGTATTTTTTGGCTTAGTCAGGGAGTCATCATCCTAAAATTTGTATTATGTGTAAGAAACCAGTGATCTAAGAGAGCCCTTGACATCTGCAGGGTTGGGAAGTAATGTTTTTGTAGCAGATCACTCTTCTCACTTCCTCTTTATTCAGAGTGACTTAGTGTCACTGATCCTAACTTACTTTTTCCCCTGTTCTTGAAAGTTAAAACAAAATTTCAGATAATCCATCCAGTTTCAAATACATGTACAAATTTAGGCCAAAAGCCTTTAGTTGTTCAGATCCTCCCAGAACGGGTAGCTTGTCTTTTCCTGATTCTTTAGTCTTCGGTGGGTTATGATTGAAAGGAGGAGGGCTGGAGGTTTGACATGGAATGCCAGATACCTCGTTCTCACTTGGGCCAGTTGTTTTGCTCAGTTATTGTACATTCTCATACTGGAAGATGCTCAGTCTTCCTAGTTGTCCGTAAGTTTATACATCTGCAATTTAACTGGAAAACTCCAGCCTCAGCACTGATGAAGGTTACTGCCATTATTGTCTCAGAGTTGTAGAAGTGGACCCCTTAGCTCCCCTGATTTAGGGTCTCAGTTCCTGGGGCGTTAGGTAAATTACAACTAATACTTGACCGTGGATCTTTCTCATCTGATCTGCTCTCCCTTACATCTTAGTTGTTTTGTGTTCTTTCAAGCTATTTTCCTGCGAAACCACTTTGGTTTGGCTACGTGAGCCCCTTCCAAGGGGTAAACTATTCTGAACTTGGTCCAAGAAAGATTACAGCTTCATGTGCCAGTCTCCCAGTGCCTGGAGACCACTTCCTTCCTCCCTTCCAGGCTATCCCCTTCTATTCCTTTGATTGCTTAGCAAACAGTTCTTGTACTTAGTTCTAGGGAAAGGGATTAAGTCAGGTATCCAGCGTGTAGTTAGACATAAGGAGGTCTTTGTTTAAATGAGAGAAGGAAGGCTATTAGGCAATATTAATAGGCCTTGGTGAATTAGCAGTCTGCTTCCAAAAAGTACCCTATCTGCCTATTAGACTGATAGGGTTCATTCTTAATTATTTCTTTATTTAACAAAGCAGTGTCTCCCTTCATTTGCTTGCCTTTGTGCTAAGTCTGGTGCAAAGGTGAACAGAAGTGGCCCTGCCCAGAAGCAGTCACCTATGCCAGAGGAGATGGATATGAAGCACACAGTGCCAGTGGAACTTGAGTAATGTGTTCTGTTGGCTCTTCATGCTTTCTAGAGTCTCCACTCACTCAAATGTTAGTGTGGCTCCTGGGCTTTTTAGGAAGATTCTCAGGAATCGGTTGATAACCACCTTCTTGCAATAAGCTTCCTTTATTCCTTTGACCTAATCTCTTATGAAGAATGTTGACGTGACTTTGTGATTCTCTAATAGTTGTCTTTAGCATCATCTTACTTCCTAGTCATGGGCCCAGAGGCACAGTGGTGATTGTTTTGTAAAACCTCAGGTACTTGCCTGTGAGTTCTTCCCCCCCCCCCCCCCCCCCCCCGCCACCTGGATATTTCATGCCCAGTGACTATTATATGTTCCTTCCTTTTTCCCTAGAAATGAGCTAAGCCCCACATTTGGTCTTCAAACTTCAAAAACTCTGAGGTGGTAGGAGAGACCTATAAGATATGGCTCTTTAAAGCCTTCTAAGATCTCAAGGAGCAAAGGAACACACCTACTTTGTCTAATAAATAATTACTAAGACTACATCTTTAGCTGAACAGATTATTTAGTAGGTGGTAGGTTTATTGTGAAAAATAATTTTAGGGACTGTTTCATCAAATACATTCTAAACATGTTAAAATATCCAGTATAGTAGTTCTAGAATGAGTCTTTAACCAGTATTAGCATCATCTTTAAATTTGGTAAAATTCAAGTTTTTAGGCCTCTTATTAGACTTGTTGAATAAGAAATTATAGCTGTGGTCCAAAAATTTCTTTTAGTAAGTTTTTCAGGTGGGTTCTGATCATGTTAAAATTTGAGAACTATTATGGCTTCAATCCATTCAATGATAGTAAATAAAAATAGAGTATGAGAGATTTAATAGCTTTTTTTTTTTTTTTTTTTTTTTTTGCCAGAATAGTTTAAAAAAATACTATTGTAGTATCCATTTTCATTTATTTTTGTCATCAGAGAAAAAACAGTCCAGGAAGGAACATAGCCAAAATTTAAATGGAGCTAGAATAAACGTTTTTTGGCCATAATGCCTAAAATACACATGCTCTGCCTTTGGAGAATCCGATTGAAGTTGGTTTTGTCAGATTCTTCAAATTAAACAATCTTGAGTTCTTTTAGAAAAAAATGATTTTGCTTTGCTTTTGATCACAGAGAAAAATGGAAACGGGAACCCTCAGAAGATGAACAGGAACAAGGCACCAGTGCAGAGAGCGAACCAGAGCAAAAAAAAGTGAAAGCCAGAAGACCTGTCCCCAGAAGGTGCAGTGTTTGCTTGAACATCTCTGCTTCTGGTGGCGCTTAATTTGTTAGATGGTGGATGATTTGGTGTTAGAATGACAGCCTTAATTGATGGGATACCACATGTTGTGACTCTGGGCTTTGGAAGTCTTTCACTTCTTGCCAGTCTACCTCATTAGCAAGTGATTAGATGATGGGGACGCTTAGATTTGACTGGGTGTTTGCATGGTATGTCTCACACAGTGAAGCTTCTTTTTCTTCCTCCATGCCGTACGAGTTAGGAGGGGTGGACTTGTCTTCTGCTTTTTAAAAAACCTCCCTGTGTATTTGAGTAGTGTGTAGGCTCTTTTTGGGAGAAGTAATTCCTGAGTTTAAAACACTGGTTGGTTGAAAGCATGCTTCACTGCTTATTACCTTGTTCTTAGAATCTATCACGAGCAGAGAACGTGATTGTGCAGAGAAGGAAGTCTGAGGTGGTAGGAAACTTTGGTAATTTTTGTTCAGATGTCTGGCAGCAGGGTACTGGTATTGAAGAAAGGAAGGCGGGAGGCGGAGATCGTAGGGAAATTGACCTCACAGTAATGCTTAGGATGGGGTTGACAAGCTTTTGCCTTTGGGCCAGATCCCACTCACCACCTATTTCTGTACGGCCAAGTGTAGCTTTTATAGATCAACATTTATAGTCCGATAGTGGGGAACACGTAAGTTTGAACCTCAGTTAAATGAAATGTTATCCTTTCAAAAAGAATTCTGTTCTTCTCATTAGATGTGTATCGCAGAAAGTGTACTGAGTGATGATTATTCTGAGTGTTGTCAGTAAATATTATGTGAAAATTCATTTTCCCTCATTATATCAGTGCCTGGGTAGTGGCCTCAGTTTTGCTTCTTGTCTGGGAAAGCTAAAAATATTTATGCCCTGTCCATTTGCAGCAAAACATTTGCCTACCTCCTACTTAGGACATTCTACAGCTGCCCCCACCCCAGCAGGGAAATTCACATCTGAGTTTGGTGTCCTTTTGTCCAGGTTTAAGTGCCTCCTCAGCTTTCTTTTCTAGAGTTTACCTGTCATTTACTGACCCTGATCATCGGTCTGTGTGGCATTGGTTATGGAAGATAAAAGAGAGACAGGCAGGATGGTGGGTTTCCATCTCCCCCTTTCTCCTTTTGCCTTTTTATCATGGGTAGCGTATTTGGGGATTTCCTTCCGAGTGCCCAGGCTGTGGCTTTCTGTCCTGCTTGTTGCTGGGAGTCACGCATGGGGCTCTTTCCGCAGCCTGTTCAGCCGGTGTGCGGCAGGGTGCGCGCGCTCTCAGGTCGTCTTCCGGGTATGCTTTGTGTGCATGTAACAGAAATTCATGTGGAGTGATTTCTGTCCTTTGCTCCTTCTGTACAGACAGCATTTCATGTATCTTGTTCTGCGTTTTTCTTTGCTTCTCTTGGAAATGTTTCCTATCAAAACATGGAAACGTTTTGGTTGATTTTTTTTTTGAGGGGGGTGCTAGCTACCTAGTATTCTGTTCAGGAACTGATTCCCAGCTGATGAAGATTTAGCATTTTCCTAATTTTTTGTTATTGCAAACAGTACTACGGTGAATACCTTATTACGCCTGTATCTGGGTGTATCTGTAAGAGCAATTCCCGGAAGTAGAATTGTTAACGTTTGTGAGTTTGGTATTTTCAAATTGCCCGCCAAAGAGGTACCATCAGCAATGGGTTGCATGTCCGGTAGTCCTGAGGAACAGTGGAGAACCATTGCCTGGGAATCCACTGTGTCTCTTTATGTGATTGAGGATTCTCAGCATTAGAATCACTTTTGTGTTGAAAACACAGATTTCTAGTCAATTAGAATCTCAGCGGATGGAACCCAGGAATGTTCGTGGCTGACACTCCCCAGGTTAATCCTGTGTGTGTACTGCTGCTCTGGGAAATGATAAAGATTTGAAACAGACACCAAGGGATAGAGTGAAGACTTCGCTATTTTTTCTCTTCTCATTTCAGAACAGTGCCCAAACCTCGTGTTAAAAAGCAGCCGAAGACTCAGCGTGGAAAGAGAAAAAGGCAGGATTCTTCCGATGACGATGATGAAGATGACGAAGCTCCTAAAAGGCAGACTCGTCGCAGAGCGGCTAAAAATGTTAGGTGGGTGGTGCCCCAGAAGTCTTCCACTGGAGTGAGGGTGACGGTGTAGTCGGCTAGAACTTGGTCGTGGTAAGGGCAGGATTTGCATCTGATAGGCGGAAGTAATGACCCATGTCTGGAGGCTGTGCTCAGAGATGTGATCAGTGTTCTTGTAGAAGGAGTGCTGTGGGCCGGTGGGAATGTGGAAGGAAGAGTGGCTCATTCGAGGCCTTCGTTCCTGGAAAGAAAACTGCTTCAGGGTGATGCCTTCATTTCATACCTTCCTTTCTCAGGAAAGATGTTTGGATTGTATTCTCAGTTCTAAATTGCTCCTTCCGTTAGTTTGTCCTCAGGATCAGATTACATATTCAGCATAATAGTTTTATTAAGTTTACTGATAGGGTATGAAGCAGTAACAGGAAATAAAAGAGGAAGGGATACATGCCAACATCAGTGTTTTATTTTATAGGAGTCAAGGGCATTTCATTTTCTTCTGGAGGATGCACAGGTTTCTTCTGGTCTACTTAAAGGGGGTGAAGCTAAGTCCTGGAGATACTAACCTGGCCGTGTGTCCAGTTAATGACTTCACAGCTAGGACTAGGTGCCGAGTATGCTAACATATAGTTCAGCACTTTGTCCTCCTGCAGCTGTTACACATTCAGGAGCGTGTTTTTCTCTTGTGTGACTCCCAGACCATTTATTGCCCCTATATGGTGGGAGGTTACGTGTTAATATTACCAGGAAGTATGTTAGTTGAAGTTTTCAACAGTTTGAGAATACTCACATTTCATCTTCAAATATCATCAGGAGACAAAATACAGGGTTCAAGTGTTTAGTCTTAGAAATACAGCTTTCTTTTTGCTTAATGAAAAAGCAACTGTTTCTTCATTTATTATGCATTTTCTTTGTAGTTGTTCCCTTGTTTATATAGTCATGATCTCATATCACAAAATGAAAGCATAGCTGCGTCCTCCTGTATCTCACTTACACAGATGACTGCAAATGTAGTCTGTTTTTATTTTAAACTCTGAGTAAACCTTCTTGCAGTTCTCGGTGAACATGCATTACTTCCTAAGTAGGATGAAAAAGAACTTTGAGCCCACTTTAACTGTGCCTGATCTTAAAACAACATGTTGGATCCAAAAGGGTATATGGTTTACTGAGATTATTATTTGGTGGTGTTTAAGTCTGAAGAGGCAGTTTCTCATTTATTCAGCATTATTCCTCATGCAGTTACAAGGAAGACGATGACTTTGAGACCGACTCCGATGACCTCATTGAGATGACTGGAGAAGGAGCAGACGAGCAGCAGGATAATAGTGAAACTATTGAAAAGGTCTTAGACTCAAGGCTGGGAAAGAAAGGAGGTATGTGTCTTTGGGAAATAAATTACTACTTTTTTTTTTTTTTTTTTTTTTTAAGATTTTATTTGTCAGAGGAGAGAGAGAGCATGCACGTGCACAAGCAGGGGGAGCAGCAGGCAGAGGGGGAAGCAGACTCCCTCCTGAGCAAGGAGCCCAATGTGGGACTCGATCCTAGGATGCTGGGATCATGACCCAAGCTGAAGGCAGATGCTTAACTGACTGAGCCACCCAGGTGTCCCCAAATTACTTCCTATATGTGCTCAGTGAGGCCCGAATCTTCTGTATTTCAGCTCTGAATTTCAGTCCGTGCTCATGTTGGTTGTGAAGAGTGGAAGTTTTCTTTCTTTCCTTTTTTTTTTTTTTTTTTGCTTTTTCAAGTTTTTATTTAAATTTCAATTAGTTAACATACAGTGTAATATTAGTTTCAGAAAATTCAACACTTCCACACATTACCTGGTGCACATCACAACTTCACTCCTTAGTCACCATCACCTGTTTCTACCCATCCCCGCCCACCCTACCTCCTTTCTAGTAACCATCAACTTGTTCTCTACAATTAAGAATCTGTTTTCTGGTTTGCATCTCTGTTTTCCTCTATGTTTATCTGTTTTATTTCTTGAACTCCACATGAGTGGAGTTACATGGTATTTGTCTCTGACTTATTTTACTGAACATAATACTCTCTAGTTCCATTTCTGGTGTTGCAAACAGCAAGATACCATTCTTTTTTATGGCTGAGTAATATTCCATTTTCTTTATCCACTCATTTATCAGTGGATGTTTGGACTCCTTCCATAATTCGGCTGTTGCTGATAGTGCTGCTATAAACACTGGGGTGCTTAGGTCTCTTCGAATCAGTGTTTTTGTATCCTTTGGGTAAATACCTAGTAGTACAGTTTGCATGAACTGTGGGAGTTTTTTTGAGCCAGTCTCATGGTTCATTGTGGAGGATATAGGGATATGTGCAATATGCCTTTGAGACTTAAAAATTAAGATGGTAAAGATGTGTTAATCTCTTAAAAAGCAGTGATGTAGCAGAGATTCTTGCTTAGACATTAAACAAATTTACCTTTAATTAGGTGTTTCTGAATCTCCTTGTGAAATGTATCAAACTGGCTAAATACATTTGTGGATGATAGCAAAGATTTTTTTTTATATCTAATTTGAGGTATCGCCTAACTCAGTTTCTTTGAGGTAACCTTCCATATAGAAAATATCAAATTATTGCCTAATTCTTTTTTCTCTGTCTTTTTTTTTTTTTTTTCCTTCATCCAGCCTCACTTGAGGTTAAGAGAGTAAACAGAGAACTTTGGATGGGATGGTAATTGGCATTGGGTGGTGGTGGGAATTTTTATTTTCTTAGTATTTCTGGGGAGATAGACTTGTTTTATGAGTCAAGAGGGACCAAACCAAAAGGGTGCTTCTCTTCCATTTTAATTGTGTTTGGACAAAAGGATTTCTTTAACTTCACCAGCAAATTCTGGAAAATACTTTTTATTTATTTATTTTTTTAAGATTTTTTAATTTATTTACTTGACAGAGATCACAAGTACACAGAGAGGCAGGCAGAGAGAGAAGGGGGGGAAGCAGGCTCCCTGCTGAGCAGAGAGCCCGATGCGGGGCTCGATCCCAGGACCCTGAGATCAAGACCTGAGCCGAAGGCAGAGGCTTAACCCACTGAGCCACCCAGGCACCCCTGGAAAATATTTTAAAGTACAGAAATTAGGTTTGGACTTTGAAAATACTTGAAATAACAGATCTTGTCCATCCTATATTGTTTGTGAATTTCTGCATGTTTTTAAGTCAGAGGACTTTGGTGTTTCATCCAGAAAAGGATATGTGCTTGAGAAGCTTTCAATGTCTGGCTTAATGTACTTTTTAAAGTTTACCCAAATCCTTTTGTAGCCACTGGAGCTTCTACTACTGTATATGCGATCGAAGCTAATGGAGACCCTAGTGGTGACTTTGACACTGAAAAGGATGAAGGCGAAGTCCAGTACCTCATCAAGTGGAAGGGTTGGTCTTACATCCACAGCACATGGGAGAGCGAAGAATCCTTACAGCAGCAGAAAGTGAAGGGCCTAAAAAAATTAGAGAACTTCAAGAAGAAAGAGGATGAAATCAAGCAATGGTACATTTTTGAAGCGGTGGTATATTTGCAGCGTTGAGGGAAGGGAAGGTTTTTCAGTAATGCGTGGAGCACACAGCTGTCTAGGAACTTGAATTTTGTCTTGATTATCTGAGCACTGAGCCAGCTGTAATTCCAGTTTATAAAATTGTGACCCGAAGACACTCTGTACTTCTATATGGCCACAAAGTTTGTAGAGTTTAATTAATAATAAGTAGTTTATGGAGCATTTTGTGCACGCATTATTTTTAATCCTCAAAATAAGCCCATGAGATTCTCTCTGTTGTACGTAACACATTTTAAGGTAGAAGAGTGAGGCACAGCGCAGCTTTTCTAGGGGACCCAGGATTGGAACTCTGGCAGCCGGAGCTCCTAAACACCTTGTTACTCCCTGTTTTCTGGGGTAGCTTACATGTCAGGAGCTCATATTCCAGAACTGTCTGGGTTCTGGTGCACTTAATACTATTCTTAGTTTTATACAGTTTGCAGAAATGGTGAGACAAACACATAACTTCTGAAGCTGTGATAGACTGTTGTGTTGTTTGTTTTCTTACAACTTTGAATGTGGCCGAGTTGCATATGAGAAATAGGTGGGGGCGGTAGCAGCCACAAACCTAAACTAATCATCAGGTTGAACCCTGAAGACAGACCTGTCAGTGTAATGGGGTCAGGTTATTTTGTGTTAGAAATAGGGCCAGATGGGTTCTAGTTTCCCTTTTACTACTATGCACAAGATGTTTCTTCAGTAAATCCCTTATTTTTCCTTTGAGTGTCCTAAAGATGGGGTTGGTTGTAAAGTGGTTAGAAATTTAAAATCCTCAGAAGTACAGTAGTATTTCATTTCAGGTTGCTCCTGTCATCCTTCTGTAGAATTTTGGTGCCAAAACTAACTAGTTTTCCATAAAAGCTACATCGAATCATTCTTAAAGTACATACCTACATGAAAAACAGGCACATTTCCTTTTAAATCTGGAAAACGGTTTTATTGCCTGTTCTGTTTAGATATATGAATTTGTCACACAAAGTTATTTTTAGGTCTTTTTAAAGAAAGAACAACTGGTGTGTCCTATGAGTGTAAGGTTTTCCTTTTTTTTTTTTTTTTTTTTAAGATTTTATTTATTTGACAGAGAACACAAGTAGGCAGAGTGGTAGGCAGAGGGAGAGGGAAAGAAGCAGGCCCCCTGCTGATTGGGAGCCTGATGTGGGGCTTGATCCCAGGACCCTGGGATCATGACTCAAGCCAAGGGCAGATGCTTAACCAACTGAATCACCTAGGTGTCCCAGTTTTCTAAAAGGTTTTCTAAAAGTACGTTTTTTATGAAATATCTGGCCTAATAACTAGTAAAGGAATTGCTAAAGGACAGATGGAAGTAGAGACTCAGTTTCTTTTTCCTCTTTTTGACTTTGAGAGATGTGTATAGGTCTCCCAAATCTTTTTTTTTTTTTTTTTTTTTTTTTTAGGTCTCCCAAATCTAACTGGGATGTATTTTTTCTGTCTTGTGTCTAGGTTAGGAAAAGTCTCTCCTGAAGATGTGGAATATTTTAACTGCCAACAAGAGCTGGCCTCAGAGTTGAACAAACAGTATCAGATAGTTGAAAGAGTAATTGGTGAGCACATGGAAACTTGTTTCAGCAGTGTTTGAGCTCCACGAATAATGGCTTTTGGTTTTGGGGTAATGTAAATTAAAAAATGTGTTTTGTGGTTTCACTTTTTGACAGTATATGGATACCTAGATTTATTTTGAAGGAAAAGTTAACGAGATTTGCTGGTATATTTGGGTGTGGGGGATGAGAGAAAAAGATGTCAAGTAGGATGCCATGATTTTTGACGCAAGCAAATAGGAGAATACAGGTACTATTGACTGAAATGAAAGGTTAAGACCTGGAAGAGCTGATTTTTGGAATGGAAATCAAGAACTTGGTTTGATATTTCTAAGTTTGCTATACTTCTTTGTTGTCTGAGTGGGAAGTATTGTGAAGGCTGTAGCATATGTGAGCCTGGAGTTGAGATCTTAAGTCTGTGCTGGAGATTTAAATTTGGGAATTTATCACTGCATAGATAGTATTTAAAGCCTAAGATATACTGAGATTATCAGAAATAGTATACATAGTGAGAATAGGAAGTCTGAGAACATTCCACGTTCTGGAAGTCAGGAAGAAGCCACAGGAGACAAAGAAGAGTCAGTGAGATTGGACGGCGGCTGAGGGATTATATCCTGGACGCCAAGTGATACAGGGGGCTTGGGAAGGAGGAAACGCTGCTAGCCGAATGTGGTGAGGACAAGATATGATCCTTGAGTTTGGCCCCCGTGTGGTGCTAGTGAATTGGATCCGTGGAGTGGTGGGAATACAGGTCTGATTGGGGTGGCTTCAAGAGACAGTAAGGCAGACAGTGAGTAGGAGCAAGTCTTCTGGGGAGTTTTGTTGTAAAGAGGGAACAGAGGAATGCGGTAGTAGATCCACAGGGCTGTGAGCACAGGACTGTTTCTCCTTCTCCCTCCCTCCCTCCCTTCCTTCCTCCCTTCCTTCCTTCCTTTTTTGATACAACATTGTAGAATATATTTGTATTCTTACTTGTAGGCCCTAAAGTGTCACTCTTTTCTTGGTTATAGTGGTAATTTTTCTATTTTATTTTCCTTTTGCTTAGCTGTGAAGACCAGCAAATCTACACTGGGTCAGACAGATTTTCCAGGTAAGCAAAAGCTCTGGTTAATAAATGTTAGCATGTAAGAACAATTCGCGTTTTGCAGAGTATTCACTGTTTGTCCATGTGGTGATTCAGTGGTTACACGTAAAACAGGATTGTCACTCCCCTTCCTTTAATGACAGATGCTAACCTACAATTTTTTATATATTAAATAGCTCATAGTCGGAAGCCGGCACCTTCAAATGAACCTGAATATCTATGCAAATGGATGGGATTGCCCTATTCAGAGTGTAGCTGGGAAGATGAAGCTTTGATTGGCAAGAAGTTCCAGAGCTGCATTGACAGCTTCCATAGTCGGAACAACTCGAAAACCATCCCGACGAGAGAATGCAAGGTGTGATTGCTGGCTTTTGTTTTTCCAGGGGAAAGAAGTATTGATAGGGTTGGTCACATAGATATTGGGAAGAGAAAAATACTACAAAAGTAAATGATAATTCCCATTTTGAAGTGAAAGAAGATGAATTAACCTTGACATCAAAGTTAAATATTAAAACAAAGGGAGAGCATGAGTTGTATAATGGCTCTGCTGATCTCTTTATTCTTAAAATTCACAGACCCCAGGTATGTCTAATTAGAGACAATGTGCAGAATATCTGAAAGAATTTAAGTCCTTTAAAGAGAACTAACAGGAAAGGGGAGAGGCTCTGAATTCTCCATTAGAGCCCAAATATATAGGCTTTTTCAGTTGCTAGATTGATTGTTCAGATCCTTTCCCTTCACCGGAATCCACTGCCCATGTAAAGTGGTGTGCCTCGGTAACAAAAGTCTGTGTAAGACGTGGCTCTGTCTCTGAGAAGTTGACATCCAGTTCATGGCACCGAGCCTCCATCAGTGAAACGCAGTATGTAACCGAGGGGGCAGTGAGTATAGTAAAGAATTTCTGGTCCGAGAAGCACAGAGGTAGAAGTCACTGAGCTCTGGTAGTCCTTGAGGAGGTTTGAAAGAGTTAAAGAGGAGGTTGTGGTGCTTGAACTGCCCTGGTCCTTGAAGAAGGGGTTAATGCCTGGTAGACAAAGGGGGCCCTGGTTTATTGCCTTCCCAGGAAGGATGCAGGTGAAAGCTGTTCTTTGGGAAGAGAGGAAAGTGACGTCAGCGAGTGCATTTGGGTCCGAGTTCCTTGAAGGTGCTTGAATAGGCACCTTGAATACTGTGAAGGGTATTTTGGGCTTTACCCTGTGGGTTCTGATGTGAGAAGAGCAGCAGGATGGAAGCTGTATTTAGCCCCATCTCACAGCAGTGTGCAGGAGACTCTGGAGGCGCTACTTAAAAAGCCAGAAGGTCCAGCCAGGAAGATGCCATACAAGTCCCTGAGGAAAGAACAGTGGGAGGACAAGGGAAGTCATGGAGGGACGGGAGGATCAGATGGCAGAAGCACGATGGGGAGACTTGGCAGAAGTGGATGCGGTGTTTGGTGGCTGAGCACAAAGAATCAGATTTGTTTACTGTGGGCTGCTCACAGAGGAGAGCTGAGATGATCCGTGACCACCTTATCAAACAGATTTTAGGGTGATACTTCACATAGTAGGGTGCTAATTCCATAGAATCCTAATCTTCAAGGGAAATAGTCCCTGAAAAAAGACTTTGCGGCCACGAACTTTGGGAAGCATTTCTAAATGAATTTTCCCTATAAATTCACAATATGCACAAGCATTTTAGATTTGGAAAAGTCACGAGTAATGAAATTTATGTAACTTTTATTACATTGTTTCCCAAATGGATTTAGCCGTGGAATCCGTATTTCGTCAAACCATAGAGACATGGCCCTACTAGATAGACGACTCCATCCTTCACACCATTTCATTAAGAAAACCAAACTCACATACCTGGCGTTCCCAGCTAGATGGGGGCTACATTTCAGAATTTGCAAATGCTATCACAGTAAAGTTCTGCTGGGTTTAAACGTGTGTGCAGACTTTCCCAGAGGTGTCGTACAGTTTAAACGAGATAACATAAAGATGATTGTATGGCACTCACTGCCTGCTGTAAGATAGAGACATTATAAAACAAGTGCTGTGTAATGTTCACGGACTGACTGCAGGACCAGGAGCAGGCCAGCCGAGAACTATTTGGGATGCTTTAGGCTTTGGGAATATAGACTACAGTGAAAGGCGGTGGGCTGGGCTGGGTGGGGTTCGTGTCACAGATCTGGAATTTAAACTTTTGTGCTGTGGTTCAGAGAGCATAAATCACGTCTAGCATTTTAACATAGGAACAGCAAGAAAGTCGTCTTCAGACCGGGGCTTTAATTTTGGTTTTTCAGGCCTTGAAGCAGAGACCACGATTTGTGGCTTTAAAGAAACAACCGGCATATTTAGGAGGGGAGAATCTGGAGCTCCGTGATTATCAGCTAGAAGGCCTCAACTGGCTTGCTCATTCCTGGTGCAAGTAGGTAGAAAAATATGAAATTTTCTTTACGGTTTCTGGCTTCTTTATTGTTAAGTGCAAATAATGATTTTTTTCTGTTGTGTATTACAGAAACGGAAAAAGTATGTGAGGGAAGGCTCTTCTAGGAGTTTATACGTGTGTGTAATATCATTTTAATCTTAAAGAGTACTTGGTTAATTAGTTATCTGAGGGTAGATTGCCTTTTGCCATATATCTATTCCTGATTCCATGTCAAATGGGCTGTTTTTTATTTCCCAATATACTTTCGTACTCTGGCCATTTCTTTGAGTGTTTTTCTTCCATCTGGACAATCCTCTCCTGTTGGTGTCCAGTTGAAATCCAGACTGTTTCCTAGAACAGTGTTTCTCAAAGTGTGATCAAAAGAATACAGCTGCATCAGAATATCCGGAAGTGTCTGTTTAAAAGTTCAGATCCCTGAGCCCTTTCCCAGATACTCTCATTTGGTAGGTGTAGGGTGGATTCAGAAATCTAACCTTAGCCTACCTCTGGTATAGATTGTTCTGTATTTAAAACAAGCCACAGGCCCTGCAGCACAGAGGCCTAGGGAGTAGTGTGCATAGCATTAAACAACCCAGTGGCCTGCAGTGCAGTGGGTGGGTGCTTTTGGAAGAAGCACATGATAGCCAGTTTTCCTCTGCTTTCTGTAATGGCGGAGCCCAAGGTCATGTTCTTGGACACCTCGGTATAATAAAACCTGCCTTCTCTGTTACAAGGGGTAGATGTAAAAGAAAGACCAAAGTGCAAGGTGAAGAATATAGTCTGAATAGGCTCTGATGGAAACCCAAATTTGGGTCATACTCAGATCACTTATTTTGCTATTTTATAGCTTCTACTTTCTTTTCATGCAGGAGAGGAAATTCGGTTGGGGCTTGGGACCAGTGCCTTGCTTGGTGAATTCTGAGGCTATAATGTCCTTGTTCTTTATGTGTGTGTGTGTGTGTATGTGTGTGAACTAATGATTTTGTTTTGTTTTTATTTTTCTCTTTCTGCAGAAGTAACAGTGTAATCCTTGCTGATGAAATGGGCCTAGGAAAGACCATCCAGACCATATCATTCCTCTCCTACCTGTTCCACCAACACCAGCTGTATGGCCCCTTTCTTATAGTCGTCCCTTTATCCACCCTCACCTCATGGCAGAGGGAGTTTGAAATCTGGGCACCAGAGATTAACGTAGTGGTTTACATAGGTGACCTGATGAGCAGAAATACGGTGTGTAAACAAAAAGAATTGGGATAGAATCTGTGTTATAAATGTATTTTGGAAATTGACCTAAAACCATTATAGTCTTTAGTAACATTATGATTCTGACACTGCCATGCCCCCAATGTTGGGAGATTGATATATCACAAAAATGCAACGGAGATAGTCTTTAAAACATGCTTACTATGTTAAGGGAAAGCAATGGCAGTATATGAATGGGAATCTCTTTTAGTGGGATTGCAGTATTTTTCTTCTGTCTTTTGTATTTCCAAGACCACTTATTTAGAGGATGGAATTAATACCTCATAGAATGTTAATATTATTTTTGCTGTTTAAGCAGAGAGCTGCTGCTAAAATTGAGTTCTTAGAGTTTGTTTCTCAGCCTTTTAATGGGATGAGGTTATAGAACTTGTAAGGAAGGAATAAAGAGAAAGGACAATGAGCCATGCTAGGGCTATAGAAATGAGAATTACTTCTCTGTTTTCAACCTTAACGTGAGTAGTAGGAACTCAGAAAACAGAGGCTTGGTTTGCTCTTTGTTTAGCAAGTCATTTCTTGATAATAATTGACTTTTCCAAAAGTACCTGTTATGTGCGAGGGCCCATGCTGGGTGCTTTGTGTATATTACCTGTAACCCCCACGATCGTCCTCCAAGTAGATGCCACTCTTCCTAACCAATTGATGAAGTAAAGGACTCAAAGAGTATAACAGTCGTTCCAGGCCAGCTAGAATGTGGCAGAGCTGGGGTCAGGACAGAGAATGGTCTGGTCCCAGACCTTTGTTCTGTCATTACTGTGTGTTCATTACTGTATGTTAGAGTGAACTGTTTCTGGGGGATTGCTCATCACAAGAGCAAGCCATCAGGAATCCTCAAACCTTTGAGACATGTGTTATATATTAAATATTTTCATTCAAATTGTCTAAACCCTGGCAGATTTCATGGCTCTGATTTTGAGTTTCTAAGCATATAGTCGCTCTTAGCTTTGTGAATCCATTTGTTAACTGTTATAAAAGTTGAAAGAAAAAACCTTCTTAGATTATGCAGAATGGCTTCAGTCACTGCATTCAAATCTGAAGACAAAGTGAACTCTGAAAACTTGGGGAGTCAGAGAAGTTTTCTATGTGAACTCCCAACATTTCTTTTCTCTGTTCTTTATTCCCCCTTGGTGGTGATCTCCACCCACACTCCTTGCCCTGTTGTCCACACACTGCAGTATGAATGTGGTAGTTTTTGTTTTCCTTTACATTCATTATTTTCATTCATATGAAATTACATTTTATCCCGTAACCTTCCCTTTCCTTTTCCTTGGAGGCCACATCTTTCTGCTCTAAGTTAATGACATTTCTGACCCGAGGTAGAGGTTGGGATTTGTTCTACTTGTTAATTAGAGTATTGCCCTACCAAAGAGCAAAGAATACTAAAATATTCTTAAGAAAATTAACATTTGGGGGATCACTAGATAAGTTCAACTTACTGGGGTTTAATTACAGATGCAGTGCATGTTTTGGTCAAATATTTTGGGGCGCAGGTGGGGGAAGATGACAGTTTATTTGAATTCTGGCAGTAAAGTTTTTGCCGTTCGGTGATCTTTTAATTATCTTATGGCTCTATATTGTGGTTGCTTAGGTCAGTTTAGAATGTATAAAATATTCATTAAATTCTAGTCAGGTTTGTTTTTTATTTGGCATGTTTATCACAAGACTACTGGTGATACAGAAAGGTGAAAGTAGAAATTGTATCTTAATTACTGATTTCTCTTCTAGATACGGGAGTATGAATGGATTCATTCTCAGACTAAAAGACTCAAGTTCAATGCACTTATAACAACATATGAGATCCTCTTAAAAGATAAGGTGTGTAATTTTGTAATGTGACTTGTCCAAATGGTGGGGTCTGTGCTTCCTGCTTGCCATGTTACTTCTCTGTATTTATTTTAAAAAGCAAACAAATGAACAAACAATCCACAAAGAATATTAAGGTTGTAAATAAAAATCAGAATCTTACAGTTGAAGGGGACTTTAGATTGCTTAGTCCAATGGAATTAAACAGGATGAAAGTGTACTGAGGCCAGTAACTTACCTGAGCGCCCCCGGGCACTTCCCATCATATCTTTGTCAAGGAATTTCTCCACAACAGATGATGTGAACAGTCTCTGAATGAAGGTCTTTACACCATCTCTTTTCTACAATTACTAAGAAATGCGGCAGTTGGTCCCGTTGGTGATAATAAGTGTAAATGAGTTCAATTCGGTGGCTCTTGGTGTTTCTGTGCTTCAGGGTTGGGGTGGAGAAGAGGCAGAGAAGAATCTTAATGAACGAGAGACTGCACAATTGTGTTTTTTTTGTTCTTGTATTGTTTTTGCCCAGCATACCAATTTTTGTGTTCTTGCTGTAGGGCATGCAGCAGTGCCTGGTCTAAGAGGTGTCCCCTCCCCCCCAATACCTTTTGGATGGTGATGTGCTCTTCTGAGTAGACCCCAGTCTAGCCAGAGACAGAATAAACAGAGGCCTCCTAATACAATTTAAGTCCGTGAAGAATAAATGTTGTCTATGTATACCTTTGTGATGGTATTTGCACAGAGATAATTAACACTTGAAAGTACTTTTGGGTTCCCTTCTGACCTGGTGGCTCGTTCTGTTTTGTTTTTACTTTAGACTGTGCTGGGCAGTATTAACTGGGCCTTTCTGGGAGTGGATGAAGCCCATCGGTTGAAGAATGATGACTCTTTGTTGTATAAAACTCTGATTGATTTCAAGTCCCACCATAGGCTCCTGATTACGGGGACCCCTCTTCAGAATTCCCTCAAAGAGCTCTGGTCCTTGCTGCACTTTATTATGCCGGAGAAGTAAGCTCCTTCCTGTGTATTTCAAAAGATGCAGAATGTCTGAAATGCCGATGCTTTTTAATTTTTGAAAAACAGACCTTAGAGAAAACAGATGGCATGATTTGGGGATAGCAAAACGTGAAACTGGGGCAGGAACAAAATTAGTAAACTGTTCCGTGATAAATGTGAGGAGGCACAGAATTCCGCATGACGTCAAGGAGGAAAAGGCTGTTATCTACCAGATGTTGAAATCCGTTAATGCATTGGGGAAATAATTGGTAAATAGGAAACCTCAGACCTCTCTGTTACAAGGTAATCAGTAGTTGAGATGACGTATATAAGATGCAGATTGTGATAAGCATTAGTATCTTAAACCCAACCTTTGATAATAGAAGTCATCAGCATTAGGTGTTACTCAGATCTTTAACTTAGTAAAGAATCATGGAATGTTTTTATTGAGAAGATTTTTATGGGAGAGATGCCATGCACGTTTCCTAAAAGTTAAAGTTATCCAGTGGCATTCACTGATGCTTAGAATGAAATCAGAAGTCGTTACCCTAACTTGGAAGACGTGGGTCTGTGCGGCCCTTCAGTAGTACTCTGACTCCTCCCATCCCACTTTATTCACCACTCATTCTGATTCAGCTGTTCCGTCCTCTTTCTGTGTCTGTAACGTGCCAAGCCCCTGCCGCCCTTTTTGTCTGGGCTCTTCTCCCTCCTCCTCATCTTCACGTGGCCAGTCACGTCTTGACATTTTTGCCTCAGCCTATGTGACCACCTCCTTTTTGATGTCTCCTCGGACCACCCAACTGAAGCTGCCTGTTCGATGGGCTTATCACCTACCCTTGTCTTATTTTCTTCATGGCACCTCCCTTTCCTCATTTCTTCCTCATTCATCTCCTGTCATTAGATTTACGCATCAGAAGCTGCAGGGATCGTGTTCCCGTAATTCATCGATTGTCCACATTGCCTAGAGTAGCTTCTGGCATGCGGTAGGCAGCCAAGGCTTGTCACATTGACAGGGAAATGCTCCACAGTTTTTTTTAACTCAGAAAAGATTTGAGTGCCTGCTATGTGCCATAAATTGAGCAAGGCGTTTTTGATAACGTAATGAAAAACATAAAAGTGCTCCCGTCCCCCATGTGTTAACTTTTGGTAAACACTGTTGAGATACTGTTTACATACCATAAAATACACAATTGCAAGGATGCCATTCAGTATTTTTTAGTAAATTTCTTGAGTTGTGCACCCATCCTAATCTAGTTTTGGAATATTTTCTTCACCCAGAAAAGTTTCCTCTTATCTGTTTGTAGTTAGTTTCTGCTTCTGCCTCAAGCCTTAGGCAATCGCTAATTGGTTTTCATCTCTAGAGATTTAACTTTTGTAGAAATTTCATATAAATGGAATCCTGAAAAGTAGTCTTTTGTTTTTGGCTTGTTACATTTAGCATAATATTTTTGAGATTCCTCTGTGTCATAGAGTTTATCGGGAGTTAGTCTGTTAAAATGGGGTAATGTTCCATTTTATGTGTGACCGGTCACTAGTTAATGGACATTTGGGTTGCTTCAGTTTTGGGCTGTCGCGACTGTGTGTGGACATATGTTTATATTTATCTTCATTAGATACTTAGTGAAATTGCCGGATTGTTGGGAAAGTATATCTTTAACTTAAGAAGCTACCAGACTGTGTTCCATTTGCCATTCTTACCAGAAGTGTTTGAATTTTCAGTTTCTCAGTATCCTCACCAGTACTTGGAAGTTGTCAGTCTTTTGGGGTCTAGTCATTCTAGGAGGAGTGTAGTGGCATTTCATTGTGGCTCAGAATCCCATTTCTGTGATGACATCTTTTCATATGTTCATTAGCCATTTGTCTATCTTTGGTGAAATATCTGTTTAAGCCTCTTGCCTATTTTTTTTTTTTAAGAATATTTATTTATTTGACAGATCACAAGTAGGCAGAGAGGCAGGCAGAGAGAGAGGGGGAAGCAGGCTCCCTGCTGAGCAGAGAGCCTGATGCGGGGCTCGATCCCAGGACCCTGAGATCATGACCTGAGCCGAAGGCAGAGGCTTAACCCACTGAGCCACCCAGGCGCCCCACTTCTTTCTTTTTTTTTTTTTTTTTAAAGATTTTATTTATTTATTAGACAGAGATCACAAGTAGGCAGAGAGGCAGGCAGAGAGAGAGGAAGGGAAGCAGACTCATCACTGAGCAGAGAGCCCGATGCGGGGCTCGATCCCAGGACCCTGGGATCATGACCTGAGCTGAAGGCAGAGGCTTTAACCCACTGAGCCACCCAGGTGCCCCACTTCTTTATTTTCTTAATGGGAATTTTAATTCTTATGTTTAGGTCTCTATTCCATTTTGCATTTTTTGTTACAGTGTGAAGCATGAGGACTTAAGGTCATATTTTTTTGCAGTGGGATTTTGGAAATTGTCCCAGTGCCATTTATTGAAAAGAGTATTTTTTTCTTTATTGAATTGCCTTGGTACCTTTGTTGAAAATCAGTTGAGATCATGAATATAAGGTTCTGTTTCTGGATTCTCAGTTCTGATTTGTTGGTATGTATTTCTGTCCTTATGCTGATGCCACACTGTCTTGATTACTGAGGCTTTACACTGATTCTTAAAATGGTGAGATATAAGTTCAGTTTTGTCTTTATTAAAAATATTTTGGCTATTCTTGATCCTTTGTATTCTCATAGGCATTTTAGGATCAGCTTGTTGATGTCTGAAAGGAAAAGAAATCTTCCAGAACTTTGATAGGTATTATGTTGAATTTAGAGAGATTTATTTAGAGCGATTTAGAGAGAATTTAGAGAGAATTATTATCTTATAACAGTATTGAGCTTTTTAAGCTATTCATCACAGAAAGTTTCCTGTTTATTTAGATTATCTGTAATTTTTCTCAACAGTGTTTAGTAGTTTTCAGCCCATAAGTCTTACATTTCTTTTGTTAACTTTATTCCTACTTATTTTGATTTTGATTGGAATTTTTTTAAATGTAGTTTTCGTATTGTAATAGAGTTTTTTATAGAGATCTTGAATTATTTCCACAGTTTTTGCTGTTCTTTATTTCCCAGTGTTTTCTAGATACAGGATCACATTCTAGATATAGGATCTTGTACCTTGTGGATGGATATCTCTTATTTCTTGCTCTAGTGGTATTCTCTAGAATGTCTGTGTTGAATAGAATTAGGAACAGGATATTGGCTATAGAATTTTTGAAAATACCCTTTATTGGGTAGAGGAAGTGTTATTCTATTCCTGGTTTTTGTGAGTTTTTATAATGAATGAGTGTTGGATTTTGTCACATGCTTCCCACCCCCTTCCCTGGGTCTCTTGAGGGGACTATGATTTTTGTTCTTTATTTTACCAATATGGTATATTAGTTACTTTATAGATGTTAAGACAGCCTTTCATTCCTGTGATAAATCTGACTTAGTTATGATGTTGCATCCTTTTTTGTGTTTCTGCATTCATTTTGCTAATATTTTGTTAAAGACTTCTGCATCTGTGTTTTTGAGGAATATTAGTCTCTAGTTCTGTGTTTGTGTGTGTGCGTATGTGTAATGTCTGCCTGGCTTTGGTATCAGCGTAATAGAATGAATTGGAAAATGTTCTTTCTTCCCTTATTTCCTGAAAGAATTTATTAGCTTGGTGTTAACTTCTTCTTAAAATATTTGATAGGATTTACCAGTGTAGCCATGTGGATGGGCCTAGTTTTTCTTTGTGGGAAAATTTTTAATGACTAATTCAATTTCTAGTTGTAGACCTATTCAGGTTTTCTGTTTGTTTTTCACTTAGTTTTGTTAATCTGTGTCTTTCTAAGAATTTGTCCATTTTGTCTAAGTTGTCTGATTTGTTGGCATAATGTTATAGTGTTTCCTTATAATCCTTTTACCTTTTGAAGAATAAATTGTGTTCTCAGTAATTTCTGGTTGTGGTTATTTGCGTCTTATCTTTTTTTTTTTTTTTTTTTTTTTTTTTTGGTCATTTCAGGTAAAGGTTTAACAATTTGGAGGATGTTTTCAAAGAAAACAACTTGTGACCTTTTTTTTCCTGTTTTCTATTTTATGTATCTCTTTCCTCATCTTTATTATTGCCTTTGATTTAATTGTCTCATTTTCTCTTAAGGTAGAAGCTCAGATTATTGATTTAAGACCTTTTTTCCTTTTCTCAGTATGGGTGTTTAAAGGTATAGCTTACCCTCCACATGCTGCTTTTGCTGCGTTCTCTGAATATTGATCTCATGTGTTTTGACTTTAATTCAGTTTCACCTTTTCCGATTGCTCTTGTGATTTCTTCTTTTTTTTTTTTTTTTTTAAAGATTTTATTTATTTATTTGACAGGCAGGGATCACAGGTAGGCAGAGAGGCAGGCAGAGAGAGGAAAGGAAGCAGGCTCCCTGCTGAGCAGAGAGTCTGATGCGGGGCTCGATCCCAGGACCCTGGGATCATGACCTGAGCTGAAGGCAGAGGCTTTAACCCACTGAGCCACCCAGGCGCCCCTTGTGATTTCTTCTTTGATGCATGGTTTTTGTTTTAAATGTGCTGGTTAATTTAAAATATTTAGGTACTTCCCTAATGATTCATAATTTAATTTTGTCTTAAAGAATATGTTTTAATTGGATTTACTGTTACTTGTTAAATGCTGTAGTATGTTTTCTATTTTGGAGAATGTTCTTTGTGCACTTGAAAAGAATAATACTTCGCTTTCATAGGGTATTCTATTTAGTACATCAACTTAGTTAATAGTCTTAGTCAAGTCTTAGATAGCTTTATTGACTTCGTGTCTAGTTCTGTCTGTTATTGACAGTGAAACATTTCCATATTTAACTGTAGTTGAATGATCTACTACTTTCGGTTCTGTGAGGTTTTCCTTCATGTATTTGAGAGGCTTGGGTGTTAGGTTTGTGCACTTTTGTAATTGTTCTGTGTTCCTGATCATTGATCTTTTTATCATGAAATGTATGTCCCTCTTTATCTCTAGTAATATCTCTTGTTCTTTAGATCTGTTTTGTGTGCGATGACAGCTCTTTAGCTCTCTTTTGGTAACTGCATGGTATACTGTTTTCCATCACTTCACTTTCAGCTTCGTTTTATGAGTTTGAAATGTGATTCTTTTAGACAACATATGGTTCATCTTCCTTTTTTAATCTGGTCTGACAGTCTCTGCCTTTTGAGGGTTTAGTTCATTCACATGTAATGTTATTCTTGCTATGGTTGGATTTATGTATGCTGTTCTGCTCCCCCCCCCACATGTTTTCTTTCTTTTTTGTTTGTTTCTGTTACTGCCTTTTTTTGTTTCAACGGTTATTATCTTTTTTTTTTCTTAACAGTTATTTTCTAGTGTGCCATTTGAATTCTTCTGTTAATTGATTTTTTAAAAAAGTTATTTTCTTACTGGTTGCTAGAGTTTTTGGTATGTGTCTCATCACCGTCTTCTTCCGATTAATGCTAACCTATTTCTGGTAAAACATAACAGCTTTTCTCCAGTATGGCTTTGTTTTCACTTCCTTCCTTGTGTTGTAAACCCAAGAATACAGTGATACATTTATTGCTTTATTTAGGCTTGTCTACCTCCCCCCACCCCCACCCCGGCTTGTCTTTCATATTACACATCTATTTTATCATTTCCAGTGATCTTTATTTCTCATCTTGCCATTGGGTATCACTTCTTTTAGCCTAAATGACTTCTTCACGATTTCTTGTAAGGCAGACCTACTAGCAAGAAATTCTTTGTTTTCATTTGTTTGTGGCTGTCCTTTTTTCACTTTTATTTTTCAAGGCTAATTTAACACTCCTCAGAAGGTGAGTAGAGAAACTTGACGACTCTGACCACGCTAAAATAATCTAAAATAATCTCTAAATAAAATAATCTCTAAAATAATCTCTAGGCTGTGGCATGATGTCATTATTAAGGTTACTCCTATAACCCTATATCATATGTAGTATTTTAACTTGACAGTTTTCTATTGCAGGGAACAGCAAACTTTTTCTTAAGGACCTGATAAGAAACATTTCTAGCTTATAGGCGTTACAGTCTCTGTTATAGATACTCATCTCTGCTGTTCAGAGGGAAGGAAATCATAGACAATTGATAAACCATTCAGCGTGTATATAAAGAAATAGTGTGTCACATTAACTTTTAATTTACTAAGAATACTAAAACTAGGCAGGTGGAAATATTTGTTGCCTAAAACAGTAGGGGAAGTAAATTTTGTAAATAATTTCATATTGAAATAATACCATATTCAGTAATTTCATATTAGAACTTTTATACTAACATAGTTTTAATTCATGATGAATATTATGTCAATTGAAATAGTCTCTTGAAATTGTCGCCCAGCTTTTCAGAGAATAGCCTGATACAGTGATAGTCCCTGATTTCCAGTTGCTTTGTACATTTTGTGCGTGAGGTGCTATCCCTAGCATTGAGACCGTTCAGTTGGCATTGTTCCTTTTATTCCTCTTACCTAGTTTTAAGTACGCATTTAGTTTTGTTCCGGGAGTCATTGCATAGCAGTGTGACAAAATGCAACTTAGGTTTATCAGTTCGTAAGCTTTAGTGATGTTTTTAGATTTCTATCCCAAACGGTCTTTTTGTCGGCTTCCCCGAAGGGGGCAGTTTCACGTGTTAGCAGGTGTTTCGAGGCTGGTGTTGATCCACCTCCCAGTACATGATGAAGCGCGTGGCTGTTTCTCAGTTCCGAACCGGCAGCAGACCGTTGACGCTGTTGTGCTCTGTGGTGGTGCGGGCATCTGCGCTCTCACTTTCCGTCTCGGAGGGCAGATGCTTTTGAGTCCTCCAGACTCTGGGTAATGTGGAGCCATTCTGTCTTCTGGAGTGTGACTGGCCTCAGCAGAGGAGGGCCACCTGGTGTCAGAGGACAAGCGGTGGCTGACGAAGCTTCTGGTTCTAGCGTCCTTCTGTGGCCTGCTCTTCTGTGCTGAGCGTCTGCACACAGGGCCCAGCTGGTTCTTCCAGGTGCTTCCCTGGCCTTCTAGTGGCAGGACCGTGCACATTATTTTCAATCATGAAAGAAGTTTCCTTCAGTCTTTTCTGTTTTTTTTTTGAAAGAAATCTGTTCCCAGTATCCTGTTCTGGACTTCTGCCATGGGTCCTGTAGTAAATCAGAGATGATTAAATTAAGATTTAAACATGAGAAATTTTTATCTATAGAATTGAGGCAGAATTATTATGGTAACAGGTTTTAAAATTTATTAGTAAAATTTGTGTCTGCAAGTTCTAATACTATTAAATTGGTATCACTTGTATTGCTATTCTTATTTGGGGACCATAGCCTTACTTACTGTGATTATAATCCATGAATTTTTTCATCTATGAAAAATGAGGATTTTGATGGAAATTGTGTAACAAACTTTTCATCTTTATGCAGTGACAGCTGTAATATTGCCACTAATTATTCTCTTACCTCTGAATTTGTTTTCCCAAGAAATTGCAGCATATTAAGGATAGCTTATTAACTTTTCTGCAGAATGTTTCATGACAATAACTTGTCTGTACTTAGGTACTCATACTGAAATATCTTGATAACTGTACACCTAGTCCGAGAATTGGAAACCTAATGTTACCACATTGTAGACAGATGGGATTGATTCAGTTGGTTTATTTCCCTTTCCTTTTTGTTTTCCCCTCTCTTGTGTCCATGAGCTAGTGACTGGTAAAATTTATATTTTCTTAAAGGGAAGAGCCTTTTTTTCTTTTTTGTTTTAACAGATTTTTTTTTTTCCATTTAGTTAATTGAAATTTTAGTTTGAAAAATGCTTTTTTCCCCCTTCCCAGTTGCTTTTATAATAAATGCTGTCTTGTTTTATTTCCAGGTTTGAATTCTGGGAAGATTTTGAAGAGGACCATGGGAAAGGAAGGGAGAATGGCTACCAGAGTCTCCATAAGGTCCTGGAGCCCTTCCTCCTCCGGAGGGTCAAAAAGGACGTGGAGAAATCCCTTCCTGCCAAAGTCGAACAGATCCTCAGGGTGGAGATGTCGGCTCTGCAGAAGCAGTATTACAAGTAAGCTGTGGGCTGGATCATGCCACCGTAGGGTTAACATCTGTACAAAGAAGCGTGAGATACACAGTTGACAAACTGCTTTTTTCAGTGATGCCTCAACACAGATGTGAGTAGCATATATTCATAGTTAGAAAGAGGAAGTTTTATTGTTCTTTCTTACTTGGGTGAGAATTTGCACAGCACTTTTCATTCTGTAGGTGGTCTGATGTTAAATCTCAGTGCTAATCCCCCTCCAACAGACGCACATTTTTCACTCATTCATCTGTTTCTTCTCTGCTATTCATTCAATCATTTATTAGATTATGCAGTGTGGCAGACATTCTGCTAGATGCTTGGAGTATGAAGATGAGTGGAATGTGTTCCTGCCAGAAGTGTTGCTTCAGAGGGAAGACCGAGTAGAGACAAGGGGTCAGAACAGTGTTGTTTAATAACCAAGGCGCATGCAAGGCACTGTGGGAGTAGAGAAGGAAAGGTGCTCAGCTCTGTGCTGCAAGGGGAAGACGCTCTCCTTTCTGGCACTCCAAGGGGCCTGGGCAGGTTGTGGATTTGGTTTAGGTTATGATAGAATGCTGCGTTTGGGACGGGGTGGTATAGAATGTACTTTAGTTTTTGTTTTTGTTTTTTTTTAGAATTTACTTATTTGCGTGTGAGAGAGTGAGGGAGAACGCGCACACGCACAGGCAGGGGGAGGGTGCACACAAGCGGCAGGCAGAGGGAGAAGCAGACTCCCCCCTGAGCAAGGAGCCTCATGTGGACTCTATCCCAGAACCGTGGGATCATGACCCGAGCTGAAGACAGCTGATTAACTGACTGAGCCACCCAGGCACCCTGTGCTTTAGTTTTGATGATTCAAAGTTGAATCTGGAATGATTGGAACTAATTACATGCCATGAACATTACAGTCTTTTACGGTTAAAGGTCTGGTAATCTTTCTGATAATATTCCTTTCTTCTTCTTAATGTAACTGAATAAAAATAAGACTTCAATATTCAAAAATTACCATCTGACTTTTTAAAAGATTTTATTTATTTATTTGATAGAACAAGGGTACAGGTAGGTAAGCAGCAGCAGAGGGAGAGGGAGAAGTAGGCTCCCCACTGAGTCTGGAGCCAGATACCGGCTCCTTCCCAGGACACTGGGATCATGACCTGAGCCAAAGGCAAGTGCTTAACTGACTGAGCCACCCAGGCACCCTGCCTCTATTATTTTTTTAAATTGAAATATATTTGACATATACTGTGTAAATTTAAGGTGTACAACACATTACTTTGGTACATTTATTTGTAAAAAGATGGTTGTCATTGTCATGATAATTAAGCACCTCTATCAGCATTACATAATGACCCTTTGTTTTTAATGGTTGGAATCTTAAAGTTCCAGTCTCCTAGTGAGGTTGATGATAATAATACGATATTATTGTCTGTGTTCACTATACTATGCATTAGATCTCTGGGATTATTTATTAATACAGGTTTGTATCCTTAAACAACATCTGTCCCGTTCCCCCATTTCCAGGTAACTGTTGTTTTACATTCTGTTTTTCTGAATTTGGCTTTTTCAGATTCCACATGTAAGTGACATCATACAGTACTTGTTTTTCTCTGTCTGACTTTTCTCACTTAGCATAATATGCTTAAGGTTCATCCATGTTGGAGTTTGACATCTTTAAAAGAAATTATAAGGGGGTGCCTGGGTGGCTCAGTTGGTTAAGTGACTGCCTTCGGCTCAGGTCAAGATCCTGGAGTCGCAGGATTTTGGGTTCCCTGCTCAGCAGGAAGGAAGCCTGCTTCTCCCTCTGAACCTCCCCCTCTCATTCTCTCTCTCTCACAATGCAGAGTACTAACCACTGTATGATCACGGCCTCTTTCTTTCTCTCTCAAATAAATAAAATCTTAAAAAGGGAATGATAGTATTATAGCTATCCTTTTTCAAAGGTTTTGACCAGTGAGATTTGTTTTGGTATGATTTCAAATTCGTTGATAAGCATATTCATGTTTCCTTCTCTGACAGTTAACTCTTTTATACTCCTGGTCTAATGGCTCCGTTTTTAGCCAGGAGTTCATTCAGGTTGGTTTTAAGTTTTTGACACAATCCTAGTAGTAGCTCATAGCCTTTTGCTTTCTGGAATAAAATGTTCACATTCATCTTGTACATTTCCTGCCCCACAGCAGGAGTCAGCCATACATCCAACAAGTTCTTCATACTGTTTTATTGTAAAGTGGAATTTGGAGACCTCAGACTGGGTAGAGGAGCTGTGACTTGTGACTGCACTAGACATTAGTGGACAGAATTAGGAAATTCGTTTTTTTTTTTAAAGGAAATTTATTTGTTTTTAAAGGTAAGGAATACATCATAAATTTTTTTCAGTTAAACAGTACAAGGTAGATATTTTATTTGACCTTAATGGTCTTATACCCATACTAAGAATTCCACTTCTTAACTTCACCAACCTACTTAATACCCCACACACAATCTTAGTAGTAATAGTGCCTGGATTACTATCAGCAATGTGAATTATAAAAACAGAGTAAGGGTAAAATTCTTTAATGGTAATTTTTTTTGTTGTTTTTAAAGGTATATTCCACTAGAAATGGATGAGTCTTAAAGTACTTTCAGATAGTTTTTCTTACTTGTGGCTAGGTAGAATGGTTTATTTTATTTATATTAGTCACCAGGCAGTACATCATTAGTTTTTGATGTAGTGTTCCATGATTCATTGTCTACGTATAACACCCAGTGCTCCATGCAGTACATGCCCTCCTTAATATCCACCACCAGGCTCACCACCCCCTTCCAAACCCTCAGTTTGTTTCTCGGAATCCACAGTCTCTCATGGTTTGTCTCCCCCCTTCCTTCTCCTGATGTCCTCCATGTTATTTTTTATATTCCACATATAAGCGAAACCATATAATAATTGACTTTCTCTGCCTGACTTATTTTACTCAGCATAATCTCCTCCAGTCCCATCTATGTTGATGCAAAAGTTGGGTATTCATCCTTTCTGATGGCTGAGTAATATTCCATTGTGTATATGAACCACGTCTTCTTTATCCATTCATCTGTTGAAGGGCATCTCGGCTCTTGCCACAGTTTGGCTATTGTGGACACTACTGCTGTGAACATTGGGGTACAGATGGCCCTTCTTTTCACTACATCTGTATGTTTGGGGTAAATACCCAGTAGTGCAATTGCCGGGTCATAAAAGTTGGCTTTGCTTAATTTTGCTTCATAATTATTTGTAATATTTATAGAGTTCCAAAGACAAACCTACAAAGCCTGCTGTGTTCAAAGATATCTAGTGTCTTTCCTTGTCCCCTTCATTCTGGTCCTTCTTTCCCTTAGGTAATAATAATGACCAGTTTTAAAATTCTTAATGTTTACCTTTCCTTTATTTTTTAATTTTAAAAACGTAAGCCAAATGTATTTTAACTTTTTTGCTGTCTCCTTCCTCCTATGTCAGCAGCATGCCATACACATTTTTCTGTGCCTTACATTTTTCACTTACATTGAGCAACACTCCGCAGTGGGTTATAAAGCTCTTCCTCTTCCTCTTTTACAACTGTGCCATCCTCCGGTGTGGGTCTGCAGCATAATGTAGTCAGCGCAGCCCCCAGTGGTAGACTGTTAGCTTGTTTCAGATGCTTCTAGAAATAGTGCTTCATTGAAAATCCTTGAGCATTCTTCTTTGAGGTAGAGTCCTGAAAGTGGGATTGTTAATGGTATAAAGAAATGCCATTGCTCAGAAGAAAAGGTACTTTTAATATTTTATAGTGTATGGTTAAAGCTTACATGTATTTCTCCTTCCCTTTTTTAAAAATTTGGATAGAAAACATAGTTACTGTGAGCACTTTATCATGTTAAGTGCACTTTTACAACAATTTGTAAATGGGTACAAAGCTTCCATCTGATGATCTTAATTTAACTAGTCTCGTCCTGTTAGCTTACTTGGTTTGTATGTTGTGAGAAAGAGGGCTTCAGTGACCCGTCCTTGTTTGACGTGTGTGTGTGTGTGTGTGTGTGTGTATAAATATTATTCCACTGTCGTTTTCTCCTTCTAGTTTCCTGTGTTCAGGTTGAAAAGCCCAGTAGAGTGGCGTTTGCCCTGTGGTTAACATTCTGAATCAGACTAAAGATGTGAGTGGTCCCAGCTAGGTGGCAGAAGGTGAAAATACCAGATCCCTCCATGCCTTCTTAATGGTCTTAGATCTTTCCTGTTTTTGTTTTTGTGTTCCCAGTAACAGCCCTCTCTCTCACAGTCTTCTGATGCCTCCAGTTCTATGTCTCTTCAGATTGAATAACATCATTATTTTTTAATTTGCAGATGGATTCTGACCAGGAACTACAAGGCTCTTGCCAAAGGGACAAGAGGTAGCACATCTGGTTTCCTGAATATTGTGATGGAGTTGAAAAAGTGCTGTAACCACTGCTACCTGATCAAGCCCCCCGAGGAGAATGAGCGAGAGAATGGGCAGGAGGTTCTTCTGGTGCGTGGCTATCTTGTTTGTAGTTAAGTTCTCAAATACTCCGGTGTCGTAGATGCTCTTTATCAGAGCCCTTTGCTCATTTGATGACTCTTCAAGGAGCATCAGAAGAAGCTTTGAAAAGAGGTGAGGAAAGTTCACTGGGAAAACTGTGGAAAGAACAATGTCGCAGATGCCAGGTAAAGAGCATTTCAGGAATTGTCAGCCAGACTGCAGGGGGCTTCCCCAAGCTGAAGAGTAATTGTCAAACTAGGAGCTCTTAGCAGTTAAGGGCAGATTCAAGTACGGGTTTGAGTGTGATGATTGGAATGTCTTTTCAATCTGCAGTCCCTGATCAGGAGCAGTGGGAAGCTGATTCTATTAGATAAGCTGCTGACAAGACTTCGAGAAAGGGGCAACAGAGTCCTTATTTTCTCCCAGATGGTCAGAATGTTGGACATCCTGGCCGAGTACTTGACGATCAAGCACTATCCTTTCCAGGTAAGGATGTTCAGTGATTGGAATCCCTCCCTGTTTCCCTCCCTCCAGGTTGAATGCTTTGCTTGCTCAATTATCCTAGTTAGGAGACAAGTTTTCTGGCTGTAAACAAATTGAGACGAAGGTTCCAGGACAGTGTTTATATTTACATCCATACCATTAAGCCACCTATAATGAAAGTGGTCATGTGAGGTCATTCTGTTTTTCAGGGAGCAGTAACGGAATGGATAAGAGAGGAAAAGCAGACCAGGAAGGATGTTAGATGGTGTCTTCCAGCTCTAAGTCTGGGGTAAGAGTAGAGAGGAAGGAGGTGTGGACCTAATTCCAGAAGCCCAAATCCTAGGAAGAAAGAGAGGCGATAGTTCTGTGCACTCACGTCAGGGCAAGCTGACCCTGGCTGTGAGGCTGGGAACCCAGCAGGGCCGTGCACGTGAAAGCTTTCTGGGCCCTGAAGCTGGGGATGTGGCCCCCCCTTGTCTCTGTAGAATTGTTACCTACTATGGATTCTCATCTTCACTCCGTTGTCTCCTACAAGATAAGGAGAAAAACAAGATAAGGGGGAAATAAGTTTTTGCAACACAGTATTTTTTCTGGGTGTTAGACTGTGTGAAACTTCTCTCTGGTTTATTTATGGATGTGTATGCTGTTTATCTTGACTTTATGCATAACATTTTTATAGTGCTTTGATTTTTAAGATTGATTTAATATTTCTTCTATGAGCGGTTGGACTGTTCAACCTACTTACGTAATTATATGCCGGTATTGAAGAAACTGGGGGTCAGTGATTCTCTCCTGAGAAGGCCAAGCTTTAAACTCACTAACAGATTGTCTTTTTAAAATGCCCTGAAAGGCATTGTCCTATCCATAATACCTTATGTAGTCTTTTAGCAGCTGACTTAGAATATGGTTTGATACTGTGGTTATTTTAGGAATAAAAACAAAAACAATGGGTGCCTGGGTGGCTCAGTGGGTTAAGCCTCTGCTTTCAGCTCAGGTCATGATCTCAGGGTCCTGGGATGGCACCCCACGTCGGGCTCTCTGCTCAGCGGGGAGCCTGCTTTTCCGCCCCATGCCCACCCCCACCCCGTGTCTGCCTCTCCATCTACTTTTGATCTCACTCTCTCTCTCTCTGTCCAATAAATAAAATCCTTAAAAAAACAAAAACAAAATAAAAACCCCGTGCACTGACAGAAGATTGTTGTCTCTCAGTGCCTGGAGCTATGTGAGCTTTTTCAGGTCAGACTATTCAGTTGATAACAAGTAAAATAAGAATGCATAGCTTTCCTCTGTGGGGAATATTTGGCTGGAGTCCACTTGGGTCTGTCCTGTCTGCTGTCTCCTAATAATGGGAATATTAAAAGAAAGGTGTTTGGGTTTTCTCATACCGAATATAGGCTATGATCTACCATTTAAACATATCTTTGGGTTGAGACTCTGAGTAGAGCTGGTAGAAAGACGAAAGGGAGTTCCCTGGTGTGATTTGACTTGTGTTCAGGTGGGCCTGGGTCTGGTCAACAGAGATCTGAGATGGAGAGAGGTAGGTCCTTCTACAGATTATGTCCCCAGCCACTTGCCATCACTGGGCAGATGACATCACCTCTTGCGTCAGTTTTGCCTTCTCTAAAATGAGGTATTTTGTCCATCTCAAGATGTGATTGTAAGGGGAACACATGTAAAAATGATTTTAAAGAGTAAGAAATAAGCACTTCATATGTACACCACGTAGCTAATGATTCACGAGTATTTATTTGACATGTGGTTTTCCGTGGTGACGTTGTTTGGGACCTAGAACTGACACATAACTCTAATAAAAAATAACTAGTAAATGCCAGAGGCTTTCTTAAATATGCATTTTGGTTACTTAAACACTTTGCTCTGATTTCAGAGTGTAATTTTTGGAAAAGCTGGAATATATGACCTGACTTGATTTTAACATTGTTACGGCAGAATGTTTCCAAACTTATGTAACTGATTTTTTGGTCTGTGTAGCACTTAATAACTGTGCGACTTATAGTCACATTAGTTAAGAAGGATCATTTTCTGCATGAGCTAATTATTAGGTGAGCAGTGGTACGGTGACCTAATCTCTCCGTCCCTACAGATATAGAAGCAAACATCATTTTTGAGGACAGTGTGGGCTGCCATCTTTCTCGTTACAGGTCCTAGCAGTCATTCTGGTCCTTGGATAAACCTAGATAGCCCTTTGAGTCAGAAGCTTCTGACCTTGAGTTTGTAACCGGAGAGCTTGGGCAGATAGGATATGCTGCCTAAGCACGGTCTCTTGACAGCACGTTGCCAGTGCCTTCTGGTTATTTTTACTAAGTGGGTGTTGGAGCGATAAAGGTTGCAAGTCTGGTGTTGTGTTCTGAATATAGCTGATCTGCCTACCTTATGATTTTCTTGTGGTCTATTTTTACAGCGTCTGGATGGTTCCATCAAGGGAGAAATCCGAAAACAGGCACTGGACCACTTCAATGCAGATGGGTCTGAGGTACACCATGCATGGCTTTATTGTTTGGGCTGTGTGGGCTCTGTATCCAGGGGAAAGGCTTTCTGGCTTAATGTATTTCATCTCAGAAACAGTTCACGGTGAAGTTCTCCTGCTTTGGGAAGGAAATAAGAAATCACTAATATAAAAGATGCTTCTTAATTTTATTGTTTGTTATTCCAGAAAAGCATACGCATGCTTCTGTTGACTTGCCCTGGCCTGGATTAGTGGCACAATAGTTCTAATAGCAGCTGAGGGTTCCCTGGTGGCTTCCAGATAACCCAATTTCTGGGCCTGTGAGAGCAGCAAGGCAGGAGTTGGGAAGTCTGGCCAGTAGGATTAATTTTGACATGTATGTTACATCAGAAGGTTCTGAGCTGTACTTTTTTGGTGACTGAGGCTTGAAAAGTACATTGGCCATGTCTCAGTTGTGTTGGATTGCTGGTACAATTGATACAGCTTTAAGTTCTACTGTCCAGCTTGGATTTGCATTCTAAAATGGGTTTTAAGGCACATACACAAGGGGAGCTCAGGAAAAGTGAGAAACCATGGTTACATTGTAGTTGGTGCATGTCAAGCTGAGAAATGCTATGGGAGTTGAGAGACGTGGGGAAGAAGAGGTTGCGCAGAGATAACGCTGCCGCACCGTGTGTGGGTAAAGGCAGCAGTGGAGAGAGCCAGAAGTAGAGCTAGTGTTTGGGGCAGAACATGAACGCTTTTGAAGCCTGGGCCACTGCTTCGTATGTAGATAGAACAGACCTCACGTTCTGCTTTCTGAAGGGCTTTAAAAACTCTGTGTCTGTTCCTCCAAAATGGTGGTACGTCTTCTGCTCTAGAAATGCACATGGTCCCAGTTCAGCGGTAGCATTCTGGCTTCTTTAGCCTTAAATGTTCTCCTTGCGGAGCTTTGGCTTTGAATCTGGACAGAACTGAGGCTCTGAATAGTTCAGGAGAAGAGGAGTTGGATTACTGAAGACTGCTCACCCTCTAATTCCTGTCCCTTCGTTTTCTCCTCTGTTTCCTCCTGTAAAATCATAATTCCAGTACCTGCTGTGGGGATTAAATGCAGTGACCAGCACACAGCAAGCACTAGGCTCATTGCCTAGCACATTGTGAGCATTCAGTAAATGCTAGCTAGTTTTATTATTTAGTATTTATTGAAACTGGTTTTGTGTTCCCTACTCTTAGTTTAAAAAATGGTGTGAATGTTTCATATTTCCCTCTGTCAGAGAAACACTATTAAAGCTGTCTTTTCTCTATAATTCTCAATTCTCCGCCCCATAGCTATTTATAGAATACAGGTTCTCTACTATTAGTCTGCACATCTGAGCCTTTTTTATTAAGAAAAATTAAATACTTTATCATTGGGGGAAATACTGTATGCATAATTAGAAAATTTAGGAGATAGTGAAGAGTACAAAGAAGAAAAATTGCACAATCCCCCCTCCCCCTCCTCCCATCCCAGAGACAACTTTTGCTGTTCACATCATTTGGGTGTGTTTCCATTCATAATTGCTTATTTCTCTGTATATTCACCTAATTAGAGTCATTCTGTATGTAGTTTTGTTATCACTTTATATGCAAAATTCTGTAAGCATTTTTCCCATGTCATTAAAGATTTTAAAAAAATTTTAGTTTCTAATATTTCCTCATGCTCGTACCATTTTTTTAACCCAGTGATTAAACCTAACCACTTGTTGTGTGTTAAGAGTGTATGAGCTTTCTAAAAAGCATTTTAAAAATCTGTACTGCACTAGATTTCCCAAAGCAGTTTATTTCATTCTGTTTGTGTATGAATATTTTCATCTCACCCTTAGCAGCATTGCATTTCATGGAGTTTGTTTTCAATTTGATAATAGACACAAATAACATCTTATAATTCACATTATCTTTGGTAAAGAGTGACAGTGAAGGGGCACCTTGGTGGCTCAGTCGGTAGAGCATCTGACTCTTGGTTTTGGCTCAGGTCATGATCTCAGGGTCCTGGGATCAGGCCCGATGTTGGGCTCCCTGCTCAGAATCTCCCTGAGCTCATGCATTTCCCTCTGACCCTCCTCCCTCAAATAAATAAATCTTAAGGTTAAAAAAAAAAAAAATAAGAGTGACAGCAAAAATTGTTTATATGATTTTTCAGACCCCAGATTTTATTTGGCTTAGGTATCTCATTCTCAGGTGTCCACTGCTTACTTCTAGGCTTCTGTAATTTAGTGTGATGTCACTCTGTGTCTCTACTAAGGATCACAGAGTATATGTGCCTCCACATTTGTTTAAAGTTCTGAGACCATTCTCCATTTTTCTTTCTGTGGCAGGATGCTGGTGAGTGTGACTTAGTTAAAACGTGGAGAGCTTTTCATTGTGTCTGCCTATATTAAATACACCAGGAGATCAAAGTGTAACTCAGAACTACTAGCTTCTGAGCATCACTTGTGTGCCAAGGTTGTCACCTTTGACATACATGATCAAATGCCCTAAAAATAGAAATTTCTGTGGCTTTCTTTTCTTCTGGCTCATATGACTTGCTCTCTGCCTCTTGCCCCATATTTGCTGAGCTGTAAGACGCAGGCAGGTGTACTGTGCCTGCTCAGTCTCTGTTGTTGCTGAGGAAACCTGAATATGTGAGAGCCTGAGTCTTTCCCACATTGGCTCTTCAGCCACAGGTGCTCTGGTTTCTCTGTGCACGTGCTGTGCTGGTCGAGGACCCCGTGCTTCCCGGCCGTCCCAGCACGCGATCTGTTAGTGCGGTGTTGGTGTACTCCTCGCCCACCTAACAAGAAAGTGTCCTTGCTCACCTTTACCCAGAAAGTACGTGTGTAGGCAACTTCCTGGAATGATCCCCTTGCTAATTACGTTCTGGATTTTGTTAATTGCTTGTAACACTTACTTTAGCCAGGAGAGAACACTAATTCTTTTGTTCTGGTTGACTTATCAGAATCAGCTTTACTCCTTTGTTCCCTGCACTGACTCTTTCTGCTTAATGAAATGAAAATTCCCTCTACCGTCAAGTCCCTGGCATTCTTGTAGCCTCCATAAAGTTTGTCCATCATATCTCACTTTTCTTCACACCTGCAGGGGTTTCCAGGTATAAGGGCTTATTGGACTGTGAAAATGTTTCTGAGAAGGCCACTGCATAAAGTAGTATATTGCATTGTGTACAGGACTTCTGTTTCCTGCTGTCGACAAGGGCTGGTGGCCTGGGAATCAATCTGGCTTCGGCGGACACAGTTGTCATCTTTGACTCCGACTGGAACCCCCAGAACGACTTGCAGGCACAAGCCCGAGCCCATAGAATTGGTCAGAAGAAGCAGGTTGGTGGAGGGACGCATATGGACGTGGTTTGGGGAATCAGAAAAGAGGGGGGTTGGTTATTTAGCCCTTTCAGGATGTTTGTAAAATGCTTCTTTCTTGTTTTGCTTTCATTTCCCCAAGGGTAGAGCCTGTCTGTTAACTAGTAAGAGAAGGTGTCTTTGGGGCTAAGAGGAACTTACTAGGGAACTATTCTATTTTTATGTTTGGAAATTATGTCACCAGTGACTTTCAGGTTTACCCCAAGAAAGGTGATGAATAGATTCAGAACTGGAATGTTTCTCTATTTTAATATGGCTAAGTTGTTAAATAATCTAACATCGTTCAAGGTGGTCTACTTTATTATAGTGACAGTGTTAGCTCTGAGCTATGTTGGGGAAATACCTGCTTGTTTCCTTCATGCGTGAATCTCAAAGTCTGCTGTAGTATTGGGTAACTCCTAACTAAGTTTCATACTCGACCAAAGGTTTGGTTTGGTGAAACTTTATATCATGAAACTAATTATTCTTTAGCAAGATTTTTATCATTAGAATAGGCTGTAGTAACAGGTTTTTTTGAGGCGGTTTTATTTCAGACTATAACCTGTTACAGTAAAAGTATTAAGCTGCCTTTTGGATGAATGGCTTGTAGTCATTTCTGGTAGAAGAGAAATAAGTTCTTATATCTCCTCTTGGTTTTAGATAGAGGTAATTTTTTTTTTTGGTGATCAAGTATAAACATAACATTTCTTTTTTCTACAGGTAAATATTTACCGCTTGGTTACAAAGGGGACTGTGGAGGAGGAGATCATCGAACGGGCCAAAAAGAAGATGGTATTGGACCATCTGGTGATTCAGCGTATGGATACCACTGGCCGGACAGTTCTGGAAAACAACTCAGGAAGGTCCAAGTAAGTTCTAGAAAGGTGGAAGAGGTGGTCAGAGCCAAATCAATTTTACATCAGCATTTGATAGAATTCATCCTTCTAATAGGATTCTCTATAATTGACATTATCTATTAATTACCTAGAAGAGGCCAGGCCAAGACCATAAGAGGATGTCATTTTCATTTTATCGTGCTTTCTGTGTTTTTTCTTTTTTGCCTTTCAACCCTGTGCTCTCTGCTCTCCCTCCTTCTTGGCCGTCTCTCTTGCCATTTGCTTTTGGCTCTGCATGTGACATTCGACACAGCAGCAGTGGCAGGTGTGTGTCCTTCCTGAGGCTTTTAGCCCAGTGCAGAGTTGCCTTGAATGTATCAGTAGCAAGAATCTGCCAGATGGAGTTGGTGGCTCTTTTCTTACTACTGGTAAAAATGTGTGGAGATTACTTTTCCAGGTGGAAACAGAAGGGTGTAGAAGGAAAACAGTCAAGTTTCAGTTGACTTTATTTAGAAGCACAGCTGTTTCTCTGACCGAGTTTACATTTTGACCAGACTGTTCAGTGTCTTCTGAGGTAGTCCTGAAGCTGTGTCACAGGTAGAAATCAAATGAGCCCTTCCCTAAATCCATTCCCTAAATCCATTTACCTAAATGGTAAAAGCTTGGTTCTTTTTGTTTTAGACCAGTTGAGAAGGTTGAAAATTCTTGGTGAATGATAACTTCCTGAGTCAAAAGACAAAGAGCAAAGAACTCTCTGCTTTCATGTGCTAATTAAGTTTCTTGCTTGATCGTGTAATAGATGAGCCATCAGGAAAGCAATTCATTTTCTAGTCTTCCGCTAGGTTAGGTTTACCATCACAGACTCGTCCTGGGGATTAAAAAAAAATGAAATCTTTGAGAGATCATTTTTCTTGGGGCAGAATTTATGTTTTCACCAGTGATTTCACCGGTTTATGAGGGGTGGCTATTTTATAGTGGAACTTGATGGTGGTTATTTGACATTCCTGAGAGATTACAACTACATTTTCCTTCTATAGCTCAAATCCTTTTAATAAAGAAGAGCTGACAGCTATTTTGAAATTTGGAGCAGAGGATCTCTTCAAAGAACTGGAAGGGGAGGAGTCAGAGCCTCAGGTAATTAACAAGGAGGAAAAAGCTTTTTTTTTTCTTTAAAGATTTATTTATTTGACAGAGAGAGATCACAAGTAGGCAGAGAGGCAGGCAGAGAGAGAGGGGGAAGCAGGCTCCCTGCTGAGCAGAGAGCCCGATGCAGGGCTTGATCCCAGGACCCTAGGGAGCATGACCTGAGCCGAAGGCAGAGGCTTTTACCCACTGAGCCACCCAGGCGCCCAGAAAAAACTTTTTTGACAAGTACTTGTGAGAGTCTCAGTTTCTCTGGAAGCAGGTTCTGAGTCTGTGTTAGAGGCTTTCGTAAAGAACAGTAATTACTTGAAGCATAGTTTTTTTAACCCAGGTACTGATTTAGGTGAATGGGATCCTGGGAAGGAGATTTGGTTCATTTGCATCCAGTGTTTTCAGTCCATACTGATGACTGTTGCCTCTTTACCATATTGTGTTGTTGGTGTCCCTTAGGAAATGGACATAGATGAGATTTTGCGCTTGGCTGAAACCAGAGAGAACGAAGTGTCAACAAGTGCAACAGATGAGCTTCTGTCGCAGTTTAAGGTAAGGAACTCACTGTGGGAGGGGGTCCTCCGCACCGATTCGTTAACTAGCAGCCACTAACGTCTGCGAGAACTTCCTGCACGCAAGGCGCTCTGCTTTTCCTTTACCTGACTCGCCTCCTTTCTTTTTTTTTTTTCCAAAGATTTTATTTATTTGACAGAGAGAGATCACACGTAGAGAGAGGGAGGAAGGAGCAGGCTCCCTGCCTAGCAGAGAGCCCTATGCGGGACTCGATCCCAGGACCCTGAGATCATGACCTGAGCTAAAGGCAGAGGCTTAACCCAGTGAGCCACCCAGGCGCCCGACTTGCCTCCTTTCTTTCTCATCCTGAGTTCCAGGGGTGTTATGAGTATAGGTGTAGTCTTCATGTGGAGGTAATCACTGATGTGCTCCGTCCTACCCAGAGTCAGGGGATAGAGGAAAAGTTATCGAAGAGGGAAGAGTGTGCCTCCATGGGACAGGTGGAGACCCAGATGGTGGGGAGCTCTGGGAAGCGTGGACGGTGTTGTGGAAGAGACAGTGATAGAATCAGCTGACAAAGAGGGGTCAGAGGCAGAAAACAGAAGGTGACAGTAAGCACTTGCTGACTTGGTGTTTTTTTGCTTTTTTTGTGTGTCTGTTTTTTTAAAGGCTATTATGGGTAGTATCTGATATAACAAAATTAAATGAGATCAGGACTAAGTGCAGAAGCTGGGGACCAGATGAAGAGGAGGTGGCAGCATTGAGTGTGGTGGAGGTAATTTAAAATCTTATAAAAAGTACAGTGAAGGTGATGTATGAGGATAGAAGAGTCAAGCAAGGAAAGGGTTTTGAAAGATGTTATAATGTCTCCAGGTTGAGGAGAGCTTGAGAATAGGGAGGAGATTGGAGTTTCTAAGGCAAAGAGGAAAATAAGGTACATTGCCTTAGAAGAGACTGGAAGGGATGTAATAAAAACATGTGGCTCAGTTGGCCTTCAAATGAAAAAGGAATATACATTTTAGGGAATGGTGGGGAGAGAAGCTGTGGGAATCCTTCCTTCGTGACCGTAATTCCTAGTAAGCAAGTAAAGTAGAAATGATTTGGGACAGCCAGGGGTGGTGCCGGGAAGGAGGAACATGATAGGGAGTGAGCTGTATTTGGAAGGTAAGACTTCATGTTGGAGCTGCTCAGCAGGGTCTTATGACTTTCTCCAGCAAGTACATGAGGTCAGAGGGACTGGTCATTTCATGGTCCCAGCGTGGTCCCCAAGATGGGTTTGGGAGACTAAGGAGAGTCAAATTGGCAAAGATTTCCCAATCTCAGGTGAGAATATGGTTGAAAGAATTGGTATGGCTTTGTTCTTTATGGGTTAGAGAAGCAGGAGAGACCTGAAGGTTCCAGTAATGGTTAAGTTCAGTAGATTCTCTAGGATTGAGGGAGACATGGGTGAGGTGTTGGAAGGAAAAGCAGTACTAGGTCCAAGGTTGGCCACAGGTAGAAGTTGTCTCAGAGGAAGAACACAGAAGGAACTGTTGAATAGAGCAGAGAACTCTAGGATCAGAGTCAGTGTGTTTGAGTTTTAAGGTGAGTTATTACCTTTTCAAACGGACTCCACTTCCAGGACTAGTGCTCCCTTTTATTTTTTATTTTAAGATTTTATTTTTATATTTGAGAGAGAGAGAATGAGTGGGGAAGGGACAAAAGGAGAAACAGACTTCCTGCTGCAGGGAGCTGAATTCTGGGCTCCGTCGTCCCAGGACCCTGGGATCCTGCCTGAGCTGAGCTGAAGGCAGACATTTAACTGACTGAGCCACCCAGGTGTCCCTATTGCTCCCTTTTAAAGAGAAGTAATCTTCCTGATAATGTTTTAGTTAGAATATTATATAAAGACTTAGGTATAGAAATGTCTGCATATTAACAGGTTAATCGAAAGTGGTCAGCTATGACTTTTGCCTTGCTAAAGCTCTTTTGGCTGTTAATTTTAGCACCTGGTCAAGTGATTTAGTTCACAGTAGGAGTCTTCCTACCTAGGGACTCTTTTATTTCTGGAGATTTAGCTTCAGCTGATTTGACTTTGTTTTTTCCACTAATCCTTTCTTTTTTTTTCTTTTTCTCTTTTTTTAACTCTAACATGTTGGAAACATAGCAAAATTTTTTTTGAGATAACTTAAGATTATAGTTTTCTTAAGTAATCATAACTAATAGTTGTATCCCTTACTGTATGTTAAGCCCTATTACAACTGTAAGATGGATCAGATATTATTTTCTTCCTATATAGATAAGGAAACTGAGGCACAGAGAGGCAAAGTAGATTTCCTAAGGTCACATATATGTGGAATTGTGATCACATCCCGGCAGGTGGTCTGGCCTGTAGTGTGTGGCCCTTAACCATTCTGTGTCCTCAGAAAAGTTCATTTTCCAACTGTGTGAGCCACTTATGTATGTATTTACATCATTTATGTCATTTTCATTTGGCTGTTTCAAAGGTCAGATCTAAAGTAATTATAAATTTTAGTTAATTTAAGAGATTGGCCAAATGATTCATTTTTATAAAACAAAAAATGTTTTCAGTCTAAGAAATTACACCTGTTGTCTTTGTCTTGGAATTAAAAAAAAATCTAATCGTGAAGATCATAGTATTTATGGTGGAAATTAGAGTTAATTGTGGCCCAAAGTCATCAACTTATGACTTCACTGTCAGTTCCAAATGACTTTGAGGAATGGAACATCTAAAAGCTCTTTTATACTTGATTGTACCCTTAAAGACTGTGTGAGAAGGAATAAGAAGGATGCGGAGCCCATGCCTGGGGCCTGCCCACCACTGCTCATAAGCTGGCGGAGCTGGTAGATGTATCTGTGTATAGCCACAGGCTGTATATAGTCTTTGAAATATATACACTTGGATGGTTTTCTTTCTGGGATATACATATCTTTTCAGTACAGACTTGATGCCAGATATTAAGTATTTGGTATGTTGTAAATGGAGTATTCTTCTAGGTTTGCTTGAGTTTTTTGCATTTAAATTCTCATTTTGATTTCTAACAGTAGTGTGTACTTTTGACTGTATGAAATCATTACATACTTTTAGTTTCTGTACTTTCTTAAGTTTCTGTACTTCTGATAAAAATGAGTAAGGTAGGTAGTTGGCTACTGATTGCTAGGGCTTTCAGTTATGCATTGTTCCAAATGAGTGCTATTTAATAGCAGTTTATAATTTAGAACTAACATCATGATGGATTGGTATTACATATTCAGTATTTGATAATCTAATAAGTAAATCTAAATTTTCCAGTTAGTATCATATTTATTAGAAAATATGTATGATTTAACTTATAAGACCATTTTATCCTTATATCTGTTTCCCTAATTTTCAGTAATTTCTGATAAACTTGGGGGTTTGGCATGGTATTTGGGGGGAGGATAAGGGAGAGATTAGCAGAAAATTGATTATCTGATTGTATAATATCACGAATTCTGGTACTACCTATAGCGTCTTAGATTAAAAATGCTGGGTGAGTTGGTGTTTTAGCAGATGGTGTTTGGGAAACAGGGAAATGTCAGAGTGAGTTGTCCGTTTGTTTTAAGGTTGCCAACTTCGCAACAATGGAAGACGAAGAAGAGCTGGAAGAGCGTCCTCACAAGGACTGGGATGAGATCATTCCGGAAGAGCAGAGGAAAAAAGTAGAGGAGGAAGAGCGTCAGAAGGAGCTGGAAGAAATTTACATGCTTCCTCGAATTCGGAGTTCCACTAAAAAGGTGAGTGAGGGAGTTGGAAGATAAGAAAGGACCTCTTAGGTTGTAAAGGCTACAGTAGTGCTAATTACTCAAGGAAGAGGCTTCGCAGTGTTGCCTGGTCGTGGGAGGCAGGTATTTTATAGCGAACCTAGCGGGGGAAGATAGAAAAATGTGGAGTGCCCCTGAGTACGCCCGTGAGACATTTGAGCTTTGTAAATTGGCTCTTGGTGAGACGGACGGACGGATGGGATCTGAATTTGGCAGACGTTCGCCTTTTGCTGTGGAGATCAGAACCTATAATCCCAGTGGTTTGGCTCTAATTGGCAGTGCCTTTGACTTTCAGAGCCAGCCTCTTTTTGCCTTCACATATTTGTGGCACTTGTTATACATACTTACTAAGAAATTATATAACCATAGACAAAAAACATACATATACTTTACAGCTTAAAAAGCACTGTTACAAGCATGATCTCACTCGATTTTTGCAACAGCATTGAAGTAGGTTAGAATAAGTTTCATCAGCCAGTTTGTTGGACCTAGCAGATCTATTCACTGATGGTCGTTGGTAGTGATCGAGCAGTAATTGTGTGCCAGGCGTAGTTGTGCTGTTACACCTGTTGACTCCTTTAATCTTCATGAAAACCCAAGTAATAGGTAGTTATCCCCATTTTACAAATGGAAAACCAAGGCACAAAGGGGTAACTTACCTAAGGAAGTAAACACAAACCTACAATTCAAATATTTTTATTCCATTTCACTTGTCATTACGTTGCACCACGTCTGTGGAAGGTAACTGTCCCAAGCTGATCTTCCTTCTTTACATGACACCAGCCTCCACATTGGACTTGTCCAGTATGATGAAAAGCTCTGAGTTCTAAAGAATTAAGATGGGCTGGTTTTAGTCCTTTGAACTCTTGGCAGCTGGCCCTTGCTACAATGGGACTTTGCCTTTTCAGGCTCAGACAAATGACAGTGACTCTGACACTGAGTCTAAGAGGCAGGCGCAGAGATCCTCTGCCTCCGAGAGCGAGACGGATGACTCTGATGATGACAAGAAGCCAAAGCGCAGAGGGCGTCCCCGAAGCGTGCGGAAGGACCTTGTCGAGGGATTTACTGACGCTGAGATCCGAAGGTTGGTGGAGGGTCTGCTCTCTCGCTCTGGAGTGCGCCTGGAGGGCATGCTGCGCGCGGTGGGCTGATGGCATTCCTGACATTGAAGACAGGGCGGGCAGGGGCTGGTGCCTGCAAAGAAGGCAGGGAATGGAGTCATGCCACAAGTCTGAGGAAGATTCTGCCCTGCAGGGTTTTCCTCACTTGAGGTCACTGTCGCATTGCCCAGCTCTTGTTTTTTCCCTGTTCTCTGGTTACTCTGAGCGATTTCACCAAAGTCCAGCCAAGACAAAAGAGACAGTTGGAGGCAAACTTGGGCTGAGCCTTTCTTACTTGTTTTTATTTAAGAATAGGAATACAGGGGCGCCTGGGTGGCTCAGTGGGTTAAGCCGCTGCCTTCGGCTCAGGTCATGATCTCAGGGTCCTAGGATCGAGCCCCACATCGGGCTCTCTCCTCAGCGGGGAGCCTGCTTCCCTTCCTCTCTCTCTGCCTGCCTCTCTGCCTACTTGTGATCTCTGTCAAATAAATAAAATCTTTAAAAAAAATAAAAGAATAGGAATACATACATGCAAACATACATAGAGACACACACCTGTCTGTGTGTATTAAAGAAAGAGTATGAATATAAAAAATTAAAATGGTACGGATAACGCTGCCCTCATACCCCTCGTCTCTGAAGTTCACTCCCTGTCATTGTTAGTACTGATACCAGTTTGGTGGTGGTTTGGTTTATGAGCACCCAGCATACTGTTCTGCAGCCTTTTTCCTGCCTCTGATTGGTTTTAGTATCTGATTGATGTAGTATCTTTCTGTGTCCATCTGTACTGCACATTGTTGGTATTTAATTCACACACATCACCCTCCAAAAAGACCTAAAATTATTGCATAAGCCATTTTCCCAACCACTTTGCATGATATTTTTTAGTTTAGGCTAAAAAAACAGTATGAAGGCAGCTTTCTGAGCCAATGCATATTATAATTATATGAGATAGTCTTCTAGGTCAATGTGTTTTAAACTATGAAGTTTTTATTTTCCCCTAAATGTTACCATTGTTCTTTTCTTCTTGTTTTGTTTAATTTATTAGGGAAAAGTATAAATATATACAAACATTGACACATGAGGGTATTTACCCCCATACTTACCATGTTATCATCTTAACCATTCTGAATTTGTAGTCGGTCTTCTATATAACATCCTCTCTCCTCTTACCCTCAGTATTATTTACAAAAGAATATGTATTCTGCTCTAGGTGGACACAGTGTCCTACAGATGTTTGATTCTGGATTGAGTCTTCCATTTCCTTACTCATTGTCTCGCTGGTGGTTCTAGCTGTTATTGAAAATGGGGTGTTGAAGTCTCTACCTCTTACTGTTGTGTTGTCTGTTTCTCCCTCTGCTTTGGTCAGTTTTTGCCTCATGTATTTTGGGGCTCTCGTTAGGTGCATGCATTTTATAGCTGGTATGTCTTCTGTCTGATGGATTGTCCCTTTTATCCTCATAAAATGTCCTTTTGTCTCCAGTAATAATTTTTGTCCTAAACTTCATTTAAAAAATCTGGTATTAGTATAGCCACTTCAGGTCTCTTTTGGATATTGTATGCACATTATCTTTTTCATTTCAGTATGCCTGTCTTTGAGTCTGGCTTGTGTCTCTTGCAGACAGTATGTAGTTCTATCATTTTTTAAAAAAATCTATTCTTTCAGTCTCTTCCTTTTGAAGACTTTTTATTTATTTATTTGACAGAGAGAGATCACAAGTAGGCAGAGAGGCAGGCAGAGAGAGAGAGAGGAGGAAGCCCTCGATGCAGGGCTGGATCCCAGGACCCTGAGATCATGACCTGAGCCGAAGGCAGAGGCTTAACCCACTGAGCCACCCAGGCGCCCCTCAGTCTCTTCCTTTTGATCAGAGTCTTTAATCACATTTACATTTCATGTATTTACTGACAAAATAGAATTTATATCTGCATTTGGCTATTTTCTTTATGTCTTGTGTCTTCTTTATTCCTCCATTACTATCATCTTTTGTGTTATGTAGGTTAGTTTTTAATATACCATTTTAATTCCCTTGTTTTTCTTTGTGTTTCTCATTCTCCTATACAGTTTCTTTTACTATATTTTCAAAGTTATTTTCCTAGTAGTTGTCTTCGAGATGATAATTAGTACCTTAACTTGCGATTGTGTAGTTTGGATTATCATCACCTTAATTCTAATGGTATTTAAAATTTAACTCCAATATAACTTCATTCCTCTCCCCCCTCCTGTGTTATTATTGTCACAGAAGTTATATCTTTACCCTTTATAAACCTGTCAACACAGTTTTTGTTTTTTTTTTTAAAGACTTTATTTATTTATTTGACAGAGAGAGAGAGAGCACAAGCAGGCAGAGAGACAGACAGAGAGAGAGGGGAAAGCAGGCTCCCTGCTGAGCAGAGAGCCCGATGTGGGGCTCGATCTCAGAACCCTGAGATCATGACCTGAGCTGAAGGCAGAGGCTTTAACCCACTGAGCCACCCAGGCGCCCTTCAACACAGTTTTATAAGAACTGCTTTATGCAGTTTTTAAAAATCAGGAGAAAAGAATTAGCAAACAAAAGTACTTTTATGCTATCTCTATACTTACTCAGTTACTCTTCTTACTTCTTTGTATGAATTTTAGTTACTGTTTGGTGTCCTTCGATTTCTGCCTGAAGGATTCTTTAGTATTTTAGGGCAAGTCTGGTAGCAGCAAATTCTTTATCTTTGTTTATTTGTGATTGTCTTAATTTCTTCTGTGTTTTAGAAGTCCAGTTTTTTAAGTTCAACTTTTGGACTTTCTCAGGGACCATTTTCATTGATTGCTTTTTTTTTTCCCCTGTGTATGGGTCCTACTGTTTTGTTTTTGTGTTTTCTATAATTTTTGATGAAAACTGGACATTGTAAGTAGTACAGTGTAGCAGGTGTGGACATCAGATTTCCCCTGACAGCCAGTTGTGTTTGCTGTTCGCTTTTTGTTCGTTTAGTCACTTTCCCGGACTGGTTCTGTGAAGTCTGTATTCCTTGTCATGTGGTTTCAAGTCTCTGCTCATCTAGCTTAGCCATTAGCCAATGGTTGGACAGAGATTTGCTTAAATGCCTCGAGCCAGTAAGTCTACCGGCTTTTGCTGAAGGGCTCCATGTGTTTATCGGGGGCATGTTTTCAGTGGTCTGGCAGGCATGGTATGGCTCTGCCTTGTCATCAGTTCTTGCTTGCACACGCCTGGGACTGGTTGGAGGTGACAGACAGGTGAACCACCTCAGGTCTTTCCTGTGCGTGTACACGCTCTTGCTCTCGTGTGGTTTTATAGGTTTTCAGGAACACGTCAGCTTTCCAAAGCTCCCTGTGGACATTCCCATCACTTTTTGCTTTTCAGGTTTTGGTCATCCTGTTCTTTTTTTTTTTTTTTTTTTTTTTATTTGTTTGTCAGAGAGAGAGGGAGAGAGAGCGAGCACAGGCAGACAGAATGGCAGGCAGAGGCAGAGGGAGAAGCAGGCTCCCCGCCGAGCAAGGAGCCCGATGTGGGACTTGATCCCAGGACGCTAGGATCATGACCTGAGCCGAAGGCAGCTGCTCAACCAACTGAGCCACCCAGGCGTCCCTGGTCATCCTGTTCTTAACCCCAAATTGGTTATGTTGCCTGAAGTAGCTGTGGTCTTAAACCTTTGCTTCTATTTGTTTTCACCAATGAACTACGGACCGTAGTTTTCACAGAGAGGTCAAGGAATGCAGGCTTGAGAATGGAGCTTCTCAGGGTGTTGCCAGGTCATATATAGCATGTTCTCATGGAAAAGAGCTTTGGGGTCGCTCCAGACCTGTTCTCCCTACTCTGGTGGCCGATAGGCTGCTGCTTTGGACAACTACTGTAGTTGCAAAGGTGTTGGTTTTCCAGGCTGTCATGGAGTGTGGAGAGAGGAGCATGGGAATAGAGCAAAGGTAAAATGCCAGAGAGCTTTCAGTTCTTACTTAACCAAGTTCCAGCCGTTTGCTTGAGTAAATGCCAGAGTTCTAACAAAGTCCATTGGGACAGTGTTTTGCCAGTGTTCTTACTGCTTTCATTGAGGAGCAGAATTTCAGAAGTTCTTACTCCACCATTCCAGAAATGCTTCTCCCTCCTAGGATTGCTTCGAAGTAATCCCCAAACATCATATTATTTTATACATGAAATATTTCCGTGTATATTAAGAAGGAGAAATGTAGACTTGAGGAATAAGCTTCACGTTCACTTTCCCATGTAACACTTTTCTAGTCCTTCTGTCCGTGCTCTTCCTTAGTATTGATTCCCAGCCATGGGCCTGCTCATTCCCGTCCCTGTTCTTTAGTTGCTGTGTTCTCTTTTCCATTTATCCCCCCAAAGTATCTCACCTTACATTTGTTGCCTAACCAGATGATTTTAGTGATGTGGACGAGTACAGTGATTCTTGCTTTTCAGTAAAAGTGTTAGTGATTGGTTCTAAGGAGGGAAACATGACACGGTTGACGTACAGTATAGTTTAGGGTACAGACCTGTGGAAGGATTGTTTGGATTTTTGTTTGGAGACAAGGTCAGGCAGAAGAAGTCAGCAGAGTTTCCAAAGTAGTTTTGTCTACGAAGTTTTAAATCACATGTTTATTTTACTTTGCCTTATTCCCAGAAGTATTTGGGTCAGTCTTAAAAATCTTACAGTTGTGTTATGGGCCAGAAAATAAGAAATATTACTGTATGGGATTGATATTAACAGTCCCTGGATAGAGCTGTTAACCATGTTGGGGTCTTATCTCAGGAGTTGTGGTTGAATCGTTAATTACGTGTTGAACTCCATAAACTTGTACCTTCTAAAAAAGGGTACTATTAGAGTTAGATCACCGTTATCTTTTACATTCCTTAACGGTTTCTTGATCAGTCACTGAGAATAACGTTGATCTTTAATTTTACTGCATCGTTAGCGCTCATTATTTTAAGTGGACCAGTTTCAAAGACATTCAGCATTCTTTTGTTGAGTGGCAGTCACATGGTTTGGGCTCAGTCTGTTTTCACACAGTGTGTGTGGCATGGTCCATTCACCACAGGATATGTTGCAGTAACAGAGCCAAAGCCTCTGTTTTTTAATGTGTTTTATTGATTGTGTTCTCAGGTTCATCAAGGCATATAAGAAGTTTGGTCTCCCTCTTGAACGGTAAGCTCCTTATTCACCTGTTTCTCATTTTTATTATGTAGCAGGCTTTTTTTGGAGGGGGGTACTGTTTCCCACTTAATGCTAATGCTGGGAACGTCTTTTTTTTTTTTTTTTTATCTTTTTTATCCTGGAAACATTCCTTTACAAATATTTATATCTTGTGTGATTGTACACGTCCTTTTGGGGAGGGATGCCAAAAATGACCATCTGTACAGAGATTTTGCTTGAGTGGAACATGAAGCAAGTACATGCAGAATACAGGGAAATGATTTCCAGAAGAGATGTTCAGATAATTCCATTTGGAAGAATGCACGCATTTAGTCCTTATTTAGTAATGTAAATTCATGATTTTGTAGCCTTCTACTTCTTAGTAGGGTGTCATGGGGATTAAGTGTAAGTAACATCTCGCCAGCAGGAACTTACTAGAGGGTTGGCTGTCATTACTGTTTTACAAGCATTCAGGAAATGAACTCAGAAGTTGGATTTTAACAAAAGACCACCTCAACTAGTTCATTATTTTGCTTTGTCCAGAATCAGCAGTATAGTCCATAAATAATAGTATTGACTTGAAGGAAATAGCAGATGCCTTTCTCTTCTTCCTGATAAACTCATGGAGTGGAAGGAAATTACAGCCTGTGTGTTTTGTGTTTGTCCTCTCCATTTGGAGAGGAAGCCGTGATGTGTAGCAGTCGTAGCAGTGGAACCAAGAAGGTCAGGTGCACCTCTCCAGGGTTGTTGCTGGCCACCCAGGATAGAATGCTTGTCTGAGGTGGGGACCATAAAAACCACCAGGGTGTGGAAAAGTGCATCTGGCCCCTTCTGGCAGACTGATTTTTGGACATTGGTGTGTTCTCACGCTCCATATGAGATCGCTGAAACATACTGTACTTTGCTTCTAGGAATATTGTAAAGAATGAAAGTAGGCTGGAGGGAGGAAAGTAAGCACAAGGCAGCAGACGAGTGCAGACAGCCTTGGCACTTCTCCTACTGCCACTGTCAGGCAGCCCATCTAGTTAGCAGAGAAAGCCAACTCCTTCCCCTGTGTTCTTTGAAATTACTTTGTGGACTATTCCGAATCACAGTTCCTGATGATGGAAAATGAGTGGGTCAGCCCGCAGTCACTGTTGGAGGCCTTCTTGCTGGAGCCTGGGAATGATCAATAAAGTTGAGAAGAATGTCATGTTTTTTTTGCAGGAGCAGGCTTAGATGAGCCCAGGGGGTATCTCATGGGACATTAGGGAGGTGGGCACAGGGCCTTGATCTGTCCCTGTATTTGTCCTTCTTCAGGCTGGAGTGCATAGCACGAGATGCCGAGCTGGTAGATAAGTCTGTGGCAGATCTGAAACGCCTGGGGGAACTGATTCACAACAGCTGTGTGTCAGCCATGCAGGAGTACGAAGAGCAGCTGAAGGAAAACGCCAGCGAGGGTAAGTTCTCCCCGATCTGGCACTTGCGGATTGGGGATTGTGCTTCTGATGGGCTTTGTTTTTGAAGAACAGGCTTCTATCCCACGCATCCCTAATCCTTTGAGGTGTGTATTCTGACCTGCCCTTACGTGAGCTCAGTGTTGTAGGACCCCAGAGATCTGCTCACAGATGAAGTCGGTTTGCAGAAGGTGGGGAATGGAGAGTCATGAGCGACGTGAGTGTTTCTTCTGATGTTGCTGCCGAAACCTTAGATTGGTTTGAATGATGTAAAGACTTGAGTGGGCAGAGCCGAGTGGATACATCTGTATTTTGGTTGGCTGCAGATGAGGACATTACAGATCACAAGCATCACGAGTCATCTTGGTTACACAAATATGGATTGTGTTTTGGCAGACTTAAAGGATTTAGAGAGTTAATTGGAGTAAACAAAATATGGGGTGAATATTATAAACATTTTTGTTACAATGAGATTTTCATGGCACTAACATTTGTTATAATTGGGCTGGACGATTTATACCCTCACAGCTGTCTCATTTGCAGAGGAGAATATCAGTGCCTGCCCCTGAGGGTTTGAGTGGTTCCTGGCCGATTCCATTCACATGAAGCTCTTAGCATGGTGTCTGGCTTGCGGTGTTCACCGACACCGGGGAAGAATTATTTGTGCTTTAGATTTTCTTTTTAAAGATAATACTGAAGGAAGTAGAATTTCAGAGTGTCCTAAGTATAGTCAAAATTTTCTTTAGGTTTATTTTCCTCTTTTTGTAAAAAAAGAAATTGACGTGGTTTGGACAGTGCTCCATGTACATGCTTTTATTTATTTATTTATTTATTTATTTATTTTTAAAAGATTTTATTCATTTATTTGACAGAGAGAGAGAGATCACAAGTAGGCAGAGAGGCAGGCAGAGACGGAGGGGAAAGCAGGTTCCCTGACGAGCAGAGAGCCCTATGCGGGGCTCGATCCCAGGACCCTGAGATCAGGATCCAAGCCGGAGGCAGAGGCTTAACCCACTGAGCCACCCAGGTGTGCTGAGAATACATGCTTTTATATAGCCTTCAGAATACACCCAAGAGTCAACTTTAAGTTTACCATGTTTTCATTTTTCATTGTAATTGTTGTGAATAAATTTTACACTCACAAGGTTCCAAATTGAAAAACTGGTAACCCTATTTCTTGGATCTTTCTAGAGATGAGAAAATTCATATTACAAAAAATGAATAGATCATGGTTTGTCCCCTTATAACACAAAAGCAGCAAGCACACTCTTCTGCACCTTGCCTTTTCCATCTCATGGTACATTTTGGAGATAGTTCCTTCTAACAGTCTCCTGCCTCCCACATCTGTCTTTCTTGATGCACTTTCTTTTTCTGGATCTGGCTGATTGCTTCCTCCTGCCATTACATAACTTGTTGCCCCTGCCTGTTATTTGCTGTGAACTGGTGTTTAGTGTACTCTGGATCTAGGATGGCATTTCTAATTCAGATGGAAGATTATTATTATTTTTTTTTAAGATTTTTTATTTATTTGAGAGAGGGAGAGAAAGCGAATGCATGAGTTGGGGAAGTGGGAGAGGGAGAAGCAGACTCTCTGCTGAGCAGGGAGCCCAATGCGGGTCTTGATCCCAGGAACCTGGGATCATTGTCTGAGATGAAGGAAGATTCTTAACTGTAGAACCACCCAGGCCCCCCCTCAGATGGAAGATTATCGATAACTTTTTTCTTAAGTGGAAAGTTTTTGTTCCTAAAAATGCTAACATAATTATGTATTCGTCCTATCCTACAACAGACGTGTTTCGAAATATTAGCGCCAATCTTAACTTCCTGAGGTTTGAATTTTTTTTTTTTGCTTTTTTTTTTTTTTTTTGTCTTTAGGAATACATCCTACTAGCTCTGTGCAGTTAAAATATCATGTTTTAACGTTATTAGAAGACTTTTCTCGTGTAGTTAGGCCACTAACTTAATAGATAATGCATCCTCTTTCATTTTCAGTTATTTTTAAGTTTTTAGGGATTGCTTTTCTCATTTTGACTTAACTCTGATGAAACATTTGAAGAAACTTTTGTGCTAGCATGGCCTCCTGCCCCTACCCCCGGCCCCCGTCCTGCTTTCACCATTTTTTATTAATTTTGGGTTTATCTTTCCACTGTTCCTTTGTGAGAATTTCGGTGCGTGTGTCCCTCTTCTACAGAAGGTAGCATACCGCGTATTGGGTTCTTCACCTGCATACTTCACGTGTGGAGATGACTGCCTATCGTATAGACATCCTCTTTCTTTCCTTTTGTAATTTCAGTGTTCCACCATTTGAGTAGATGTTAATTCAGACTTTCTTGTTCCTGAGTAATGAATATTTGGGTTGTTTTAGTCTTTGGCTATTATAAAGACAGCTGTAGTAAACTCGGAGTCTAATGGATATGCTGTTTTGTATCTCTACGAGCATGTCTTCTGGATAGGTTTCTGGAGGTGGGACTGCTGGGTCCTGGGGAAGCATGACTTGGTTGGATTTTACCAAATTTTCCAGCAGTCTGATACCATAATTTATATTGCCACCAGCAATGGATACTGGTACTTGTTTATAAGCCTCACAAACAGAGGATATTGTCAAATGGTTGGGTTTTGCCAAACTGATTGGTGAGAAATGATATCTTGTTTTTCTTTTAATGAGTTAGGTTAAGTGTTTTCTAAGAGCCATTTGCGAACCACCCATTTTCACTTCTGTCCATTTTCTTAATTTTTAGGGTTTCTTTTTCTAATTAAGGTTGCTGGTTTTCTCCTATAATTTGTGATTTGTCTTTCTACTTAGCTTAGGGCATTTTAAGAAAAACAAATTTTTTATACAATTTAATGTATCAGTCTTTTCCCTTATTGTGTTGTTTAGATTTTGAGTCTATTAAAAACATTGCCTCTACTTCCAGTATAAACAGGAATTCACTGTTACTTTTTCTCCTCTTGTGCTTGTGTGATTTCATTTACTTCTATATCTCTGATCCATTTGGAGTTTTTCCTGGTGTATTGAGTTTTACTTACTTTTCTTTATGGTGACTATATGTTTCAGTGCCATTAAAAATGGTTAGTCTTGGGTGGCTCAGTGGGTTAAAGCCTCTGTCTTTGGCTCACGTTGTGGTCTCAGGGTCCTGGGATCAAGCCCTGCATCAGGCTCTCTGCTCGGCAGGGAGCCTGCTTCCCCCTCTCTCTCTGCCTGCCTCTCTGCCTACTTGTGATCTTTCTCTGTCAAATAAATAAAATCTTTAAAAAAAAAATGGTTATTCTTTTCCCCACTGCCTGATTTTTTTTTTTTTAAAGACATGCATAATCCATTATGGATATGCTGTATGTTAAGGGACATTCAGTTATATAACCTTTTGCTTTAGTGTTGTGGTAAATAATTTCGTTTGCATGCCAGCTTGCACTGTGCTCTCCCACCAGGCATTACATGAGGGTGTCTGTTTCCTTTTGGTCTCATCAGTGTAATGTTTTCAAATTTTTGAGTTTTTCAGCATGATAGGTTAGAAATGGTATCTGTATATTACTTAGTTTGCATTTCTCTGATCGTGAGTGAGGTCAAGTATTTTTCAAATGTTTAGGAATCATTTATTTTTCCTTCTCTGAATTATCTCTTTACCTTTGCCTATATTTCTCTTGCAGTCCTTTTATTTTACAGGTGAGGAAACTGAGACACAGAGAGGTCAATAACTAGGAGTTAGAGGGGAAGAGAGAAGAGCAAGGGGTACTTTGTGTAGATTTGGGAATAAATCTCAGATTTCTGATTTTTAGAGAAGCGCCTTTCCCATTTTCACACATTCTGTTCCAACTGTCTTCAGAATTATTGGGAATAGCATTTGCAACTGAATTCTAGAGGAGTACAGAAGAATATCTAAATATTTATAATTTTAGCACCGTTTCATCAACTTGAATGTTAAAAAAAACACTTTCTCAGGCTGGGAGCCATCTTTTCCTCTCACAAACAAGTGTCATTATCTTGTGCCATCATCTTGCCAACATCTGGCTAGAGTTGATTCGGTTTCATTTTTAATTCTAGGATTATTTTAATTTGACACACTAGGGCTAAGGAAATATTTGCATGACACCTTTTGTTCATCATTTCAAATGCTATTAACTTTATCGTCTATTTTTTAATAGAGAAAATCATCTTGAAAACACTTGAGTTTCTTGAACTCTGCTAATAGGATAGTTAGAAAACAAAAGAAAAAACTTCAGTATTACTACTAATCCTTCAGAATCTCCTTTACTTTCAATTTTGGAACCAAAGTATAAAATAGGAAGATTGAAATAGAATTATAAATACCAGTGGATTAAAAAAAATCCTAAATCTTCAAAAGCTGAATTGTTTAGAGATTATTACTACTATTATTTTTAAAGATTTTATTTATGTATTTGACAGAGAGAGCACAAGCATGGGGAACAGCAGAGGGAGAGGGGGAGAAGCAGGATGAGCAGGGAGCCCGATGCGGGACTTAATCCCAGGACCCTGGGATCGTGATCTGAGCCGAAGGCAGAGACTTAATCATCTGAGCCACCCAGGCACCCCTGTTTAGAGATTATTTTATGAAAGTTAGTTGAGAAACTGTTTTGAACTAACAAAATAAGAGATCTATATCGAGTGAGTAAGCATTTCAGTGTTTGCTGATAATGTTTTCTGTGGAACTCAGCACATTCTCACTTAATGGATGTGAAATTGGTATCCTTTAGGGAAAGGACCAGGGAAAAAGAGAGGCCCAACAATCAAAATATCGGGGGTCCAGGTTAATGTGAAATCCATTATACAACATGAGGAAGAGTTTGAGATGCTGCACAAATCGATCCCTGTGGACCCCGAAGAAAAAAAAAAGTGAGTCTATTCTGGGCACACACGTGAGTGGTTGTGCTGTAAGAAAGAGCTGAAGTTCTAGTTGTGTGTTGTTACGTAGTGTTTTTATTGTCTTTTGTGTAACACATTAGGATAGTTTGTCCATGTTCACTTGTGTTCATTTCCAAGTTCGAAAGGCCCCTCCTCTCATGTCCTCCTGTTTTTGAAATTTCTTTAGATACTGCTTAACTTGTCGAGTGAAAGCTGCACATTTCGATGTGGAGTGGGGGGTGGAGGATGATTCACGACTTCTCCTGGGAATTTATGAACATGGCTATGGAAACTGGGAGCTAATTAAGACCGACCCAGAGCTTAAGTTAACTGACAAAGTAAGTAAATCTGTGATGCTGGAGATTTCCAGATTTGTTATATACAATATTTTTATATGGATAACTTATTTTTTACTATTTTCTGGGGGTTGGGGGAATCAGATCGGAAATTAGTACAGTAATACATTCCTGGGATTTCTTTGTTTTGGGGAATATTACCTTCTTTAGTGGACTGTGGTACTATTAGACGAAGATAATAGCCAGGTGAAATTTTGGGGAAATCACAGGAGAAATCTTAAAATTTTAATTCTATACGTCCAATCTCATTACAACAAATACCAGGGTAAGATCATTAAAAATACAAGAAGTCCTCGGCCTTAAGTGTTGGCCTCTTGTTTAAAACCATTTTTGAAGTCGTCATGTTCCAGTTCTCCTCACAGAGAAGGAGCCACACCTTGGTATTTTTTGTAGTGGAATTAAACATTGGCCGTACTTCTCCCACAAACTGAGCCTCCCACCCTGTCCGTTGTGAATCAGGCTACCCGGTAGGAAGGCCGTGCTCAGAGCTGTAAGCAGGGAAAGCTGACTGGCTCAAATTTTAGTAGGATGCGCTCCATGCTGTGCTCCTGGCAGGGCTTTCCCTGGCACGTCAAACAATGCTCATCCCATGTGTGATGTTCTCAGAGGGTGACAGCACCCCGCCATAAGCGCGGAGACCAAATCCAGTCTGGCCTGAGAGGTCCAGCTGGGGCAGCAGGGACGGATCATGTCCTGGCATAGCTCAGTGCTCTCCGGCAATGCTCTAAGAAGCATTTTCAATCTAAAACGAAGCTTTAACCTAGCTCCAGGGATTCCCTGCTCCTGGAAGGAGGAAATCCACGACGGCTGGGATGCTCTAGCAGATGAAGCCAACAAGCCCCTCCTACCTGAGTTGTTCTACCCTGTTAACAGCACAGGTAGGAGCCAGTGGGAGAGCTGGATTTCTCCATCCCATTTTGTAAAATGAGAACGGCTCATAAGGGATTTTCAGTGACTGGGAGCCATGGACATGAGATAGGATCTGAGGCTTTATCTGTCTTTCGGGTGGTTGGGGAGGGAAAGGACTGCGCAGTTCTTCATTGTCTCTGTGAATCCGGATCCACTAACCGGGACATGGGTGGTGGCGGGTGCTTCTCTTCCTTTCCTGTTGAAGATTCTGCCCGTGGAGACAGATAAAAAACCTCAGGGGAAGCAGCTGCAGACCCGAGCGGACTACTTGCTGAAGTTGCTCAGGAAGAGTCTGGAGAAGAAGGGGGCCGTGACGAGCGGGGAAGAGGTGAGTGCGGCTACCGGGCGGGCACCCTTCAGAGGCCCGAGGCTCCGACCCTGCAGAGTTAGGTAGGACAAGGGACGTTGCGCTCTCCGGGCGCTGCACTGCACGGTACCTTCCACAGGCAGGGGTTGTTTTTGAGGTTCCAGTCATGATGGTTTGGTTGATGATAATAGAAATGTTCATTTGATAATGGCCCTGGACATCTTGGCAACTTCCTTACAAGCCCATTCTCCTCCAGTTTTGCCTCAAAATAGTCCTTGCCTCTGCCAGTGCCTTTGGTCCAGACACGCACTGCCGCTTCCTTGTGCTGCTTCCTCAATTCTGGAACATAGTTCTGGTTACTGTATGGCTACCACCAGCTTTAGCTGGTCCAGCTGACCCTGGGCTGCTTGTAATGATGGATCCCAGAGGTGACGTTGGATAGTTAGAGTCCACAGTTCCTTCAGAAACTGGCCTTCAGTTGTGACTGCCTTGTTTACTCAGTACAGAATACCAGCGAACTTGCTAATGAGCTCATCCGAACCTTATCTCTATTTATTTTCCCAATTTTTCGTTTCAAAATCAGGCCTAGAAAGATGAGAAAATCACAGTGAAATGTTACATCTGGCACTCGCAGTCTTGGTGGGGTGTGTGTGCTCAGTGCTCTAGAACTCAGCCGTTTACATAAATTTCCTTATATTAGAAACAAAACGAATTTTAGGGGGAAATAGCACCCTAATCCCATACCTCGTCATAAGTAGTGCCATTCTCCAGATAACACGTTGAGTACGAATTATATGTTAGGTTGTGGAGGGACAGATTAGATCATGTTTATATTTGTTTTAGATCTCTGTATCATATTTGAGTGGATTGAGAGCATTTTGTTCTTGGCCTTCATTTTTAGGTAGAGTGTAAGTCTAGATTTTTAAATGTTACTTTATGTCTCATAGATTTATTTGTATCTTTGTGCACAAATGTGCTTTTCCTTCTTTTGAATTCTGTCTTTAGCATGAATGCTGCACACTGGCAATAGATTCAAGGATATGCATGCTTTTATGTAGTGTAGGGACATGTATGGTATGGTACATTACTGTTTTCCTTTTCTCCCCCAGGTAGAACTGGTTACGCTCCTTTGAACTTTCTCATTTGAGTTGGGCTGCTGCTTCTCTGCAGAGTTGTCCTAATGTTACTTGGTCATGCTTCTTGAGGTTTGTGGTTTTAATCGTCATTTTTTCTCCTTTCCAGGCCAAATTAAAGAAGCGGAAGCCTCGAGTAAAGAAGGAAAACAAAGAACCCAGGCTGAAAGATGAGCATGGGGTTGAGTTTTCATCTCCTAGACATTCAGACAATCCATCAGAAGAGGGAGAAGTAAAGGTACGCGGCTAAATTCCAGTTGAGGGTTCTTTTAGGCTACATGTATTATGCCGGCTGGTATAAAACCATTCAGAATGTGTTTGGTTTACACACAGAGTCAGTAAAGTGAAAATAGAATATATATGTCTCTGCTTCCCCTGTGAGAGAGTGATTTGTTAAGCCATCATGGATCCATAGGTAATGGAAGTCAGTGAAGGGAACCCTGCGAGGTGTAATGATAAATGGCCCATGACACCCTGGCCCTGTGGTTGAAAAAGGTAGGGAGTGGTGGTGGGGACTACAGCTTACCAGGAGCCTCATGCCTCTGCAGTTCAGTTCATTGTGGCCCAGCAAAACACATTGCTGGGTCAGGTTGGCCCACGGCCTGCCAGTTTGTGACCTCTGGTTTGAGCAAAGTGAAAAATCAGTAGCATTCAGTGTGTTGTTTCAGTGAGTGACCGCTTCATGGGATTTTATGTTGTTGCCCTTCAAGTGCGATGATACTTTGAGATTAGCTCCAAGAGCATCGGCAGTGGGGACTGAAACTGGCATGAATTTGTCATGCACACACGAATTCAAAAAGTAGTAGCAGCCATGACGGTTACTACCGACGGTTACTACCGTAACGGTTAGGTGATGGGTATCTAATATCTCTGGTCCTCAGTTTTCTCCATCTGTGGAACGGGAATGATAATGCTTATGGTTGAAGGGTTGCTGTGAGAATTAAAGAGAGGATGTGAGTTGCAGAGCATCTGTGGCTACAGCCTTACCCGGTTATTACCAGAGAGCTTAGCTTTGTGTGAATGAGTGCCGTAGGGCCGTGTGCTTGAAAACAAGCTCAGAGTGTAGATGCAGTGATGAACCATTGCGGACAGTGCTCCTCTCTTCAGAAAGCAGATGAGCAGATCTAAAGTTTCTGGCAAAAGCTCACAGCCCTGTTTGTTTTCTAGGATGATGGCTTAGAGAAAAGTCCAATGAAAAAGAAACAGAAGAAGAAAGAGAACAAGGAGAACAAGGAGAAACAAATGAGTTCTAGGAAAGACAAAGAAGGGGACAAGGAAAGGAAGAAGTCAAAAGATAAGAAAGAGAAGGTATTGCTTATTTCTTCTAGAATTTAGACAGTGGGGCTTGAGCACCCTGAAATAATCGTCTCTTTAAGGGTCCATCGAAGAAGGAAGGACGGGGCTGTCAGAGGGATGCCCACACCTCTTATTGCAAAGAGGGGAATGTGCAGTTGGGGAGTTTTTTTTGTTTTTGTTTTTGTTTTAAACTATAGACGGCCTTTAGTTGATCTCTTATTACATGTTTCAGAGGGGAAGTTTTGATGAGATAGGACAGGTGAGAGAAAGCTACATTTACAGGTAATGATGTCAAATATGTTCTCACATACATGGTAGAAGAGACAATCCACAGATGAATTTGAATATTTGAGAAGTAGAGGAGTTAACCCAAATATATCAAGAGAAGCTTTTGGAGTAGAAATGGATGCTATTATATAATCTTCACTTAGGGACTTCTGTGAGGTTAATTGCAAACCACAGATTTCTGGTAGAATGTTGCGTGTGTGCTTGCTGGCTTCTGATGAAATTATTTTGCAGTTAACCCTTAGTCATTAAAACATAGAAACAAGTAACAGCTATAATTCTGCCATTCACTGATAATCTCTAATAGATTTCTTCATCTTCAGAATTTTTGTCTTATATGTGTATGTACAAGTATAAAAAGAAGATCAGATCAGACTTTGGGTAGCCCTTTCTGCTCTGCCCCCCCACCCCCCACCCCCGGCCGCAAGCAGTACATCAGAAACAACTTTCCCAATGAATAAGTAAATGTTAAAATCACTTCAGATAGATAAAGAAGATTCTATTTGATTATAACACCTTGGAAGCAGTGTAGACTTCCCATATTGAAATCACTTCCAATTTCTTAAGTCCGGAAACGTGCTGTGCCAGATGCCTTTGCATTTTTGCTCCCACAGAAAGATACTCTTTTTTAGAGTGAAATATTTCCAAAACAAAAGCACAGGGAGCCATTTAACAGACATCTACTTATCCACCACCCAAGATAGAACTGTGTCCAGTATTCTTCCACATTTACTCTAGGCACGTTTTGTTGGGCTGGTGTATTTTGTGTTTTGTGAGCATCTTACCAATAGTATCGAAGCACCCCCTTCCTGCCCACCCCCCATTCTTCTTTCCTGATGTCATTACTCTGCCTAACTCTTTTTTCCTCCCATGGTTTGAAATCTTCCTATCCATGTTTTTATGCTTTTGCTATTATTTTACACAATTGTAAACAAAGCATAGTAATATTTTTTTAAATGTTCATCATACATGTATGTATCTCCATCCTTCTGTATCCAGAGTCATGTACATTTCAATCATTTACAGCATCGTAGTTAATACAGATTTCTAGGTCAAAGTGTATGATTATAGGCTATTAATAAAAGATGCTATATAATAGAGTACAAGAGTTCTGCCAGTTTATAATCTCTGCCTGTTGATGTTTTTGTGCATTTTATGGATGAGGCAATAGAAGCCAAAATAGCATTGTCCTGAAGCTAAAGTTATAATTGGGTGTGTTTGGAGTCAGAAATGGAAATGATGTACGATTAAGCTATTCATTAATCATATAGATTTGATTACGTGGTGTTTCAGAAGACTTTATTTTACCGTTTTTGTAAACTGAGCCTGTCACATGGACCCTCTGGAGTGGTGTGACATAGCTAAGATGTCCAGCTTGCAAGGCAGGATTGCACCAGTGACAATGACTCCTTGTAACTCTTTTTTAAAAGCCTAAAGGTGGTGATGCCAAATCTTCAAGTAAATCGAAGCGATCTCAGGGTCCTGTCCATATTACAGCAGGAAGTGAGCCTGTCCCCATTGGAGAGGATGAGGATGATGATCTGGACCAGGAGACATTCAGCATAGTAAGTCTGGAAATTGAGGGGTGCTGGTGTGTGCGGCCACAGCGCCTGCTGTGGTTCTGCCTTCCCCAGGTCCAGCCACACGGCCTCCGCTGGCTGAGCAGTAGTATGTTACTGTGGAACACATGGCTTCTGCTATCTAAAGACCTTTTGCTCTGGGATAGGCAGGCAGGAAGAGGTTTTCTTACCCTTTGGTGAGAAAGAAGTTTGGGGAATCGATTTCCTATCTTGTGCTCCCAGTCAGAAAGGCTGTGGTAGGGGTGGGTAGGGGTGGCTCAGTTGGTTAAGCATCAGACTCTTGGTTTTGGCTCAGGTGGTGATCTCAGGTTTGTGGGATTGAGCCCCGTGTTGGGCTCTGTACTGAGGGTAGAGCCTGCTGAGATTCTTTCCTTTCTCTCCCCCACCCCCCACCGCCCCATGTGTGTACATGCTCTCTCCCCCTCTCTCATATAAACAAACAAGCAAATAAATAAATAAAATTTTCATTAAAAAAGAGAAAGGCTGCAGGGGCCCTTAGAGGCATTTGGGAAACAGAGGTGTTCACTGAGCTAATAGTTACTGAATACTTTCTTGAGCCAACCCCGGAGTTATCTACCATGTTGCAAAGAGAATTGCTTCTCTTGCTGCAGACTTCACATTTGAGTAGGGGAGATAGATAGCCACACAGGTTGTGCTCATGCTACTGTGATGGGCTGGGGGGTTTCTTTAGCAAATGGCTCTAAAGATCCTATAAGAAGGGGATTGACCCGGCAGGGGCTGTTGGGAAGGCATGCTTCGGGCGGCGATGCTTGAACTGCTTTCTGAAGGAAGAGGGAAAGGTCGTAAGAGGTGAGGGGAAGAAAGAACATGTCAAGGCAAGGCGGTGGCAAGCATAAAGGCCGTGTGGCAGGACCACCGGTGGTGCAATGAGGTCACAGAAGGCCACTGTGGCTAGTGTGGTGAGAACCAGGGGACATCACATGAGGACAAGGTCAGGGTTCTGGCTGGGTGAGTGAGAGCAGTGGTGAGCGTGTGGTGTGTCCTCCATGCTGCCACACTGTGGTGCTCGGGGCTAAGACATACCCAGACACGGTCTCTTTCCTCATATGGGACAGGCAGTGTGATGGGGAGGGGAGCGCATGGACCAGGGCTCGAGTGGGAACGGAAACAGGCCAGCATGTCCTCAGGGACCTTAGCCCCTCACTGGGGCCACATGGTCTTCACTGTGCCATGCTCCACGATTCCTCCCGCCTCCTCTGTCCAACCTTCCACAAATCACAGCTCCCTTGAACAGTTAGTTCAGTCTCAAAGAGAATCTCATCTTCTAAATCTCGAAATACTCCTGCTGCATGGCAGCAAGGGATAGAATATTGACCTCACCCTGTAAGATAGTCGTCTCTCTCATTGCTCCTTTCTCTGTGTTCTCAAAAATCTGTACACATATATATATTTTTTCTTTGTCCTTAACTCACTTTTCTTAATTTTCTGTACTGTTCTGTGTTTTGCTGTCTGACAGCAAGTAGCGATTCTTATGTTAAAGTACATTTGGGTGTTAGAAGTATTTCTAAAGAGAAAGGTATGTCAGTAAATGTATAAACTGACTGAATAAATTCATTGTACAACCAGCCTTTTGAGCTGATCTGTTTCCTGGTTTTTCCTTAGTCCAGTGTGTATGTATGTATGTATTTTAAAGATTTTATTTATTTATTTGACACAGAGAGACAGAGAGACAGCGAGAGAGGGAACACAAGCAGGGGAGTGGGAGAGGGAGAATCAGGCTTCCCGCTGAGCAGAGAGCCAGATGCGGGGGGGCTCGATCCCAGCACCCTGGGATCATGGCCTGAGCCGAAGGCAGATAATTAGTGACTGAGCCACACAGGCACCCCTTAGTCCAGTATTTATAAGAGAAAATCCTAAACTAATGCTTCTAATACTAACCATTTATTTTTTAAAAATGCTTTCACTTATTGGCGCTTTGTGTCATGTTTTAACATTCTAAAATCTTTTAAAAATGTAGAAAAATTTAAGAAATATAATAGACATTGATAACAGGTACCACGAAGCCTTGTCAAATGTGTTCTTAAGACTCAAGAGTTAAGTTGAAGCCCCTGTTTCTCTCTCTGAACCCACACTTGTCCTTTTTTACCTCCCCAAAAGTAAGGGTAGTAGTTTTAGATCTCGTTACTGTTCTTGGCGCTTGGTTTTAGCATTTTATGATTTCTGTTTGTCTGTAAAGACAATAAGGACTCGCATAGCCAGGCACTGTTTGTGCCTTTATGTCTTTTTTCTCCACAACAATCCTATGGGATAGGTAATTCTCTCCATTTTACTTATTAAAAAATAAGATGAAGAGGGTTACCTGGCTGGCTTACTTAGTAGAGCCTGACTCTTGATGTTGGGGTTGTGAGTTTGAGCCCCATGTTGGGTGTGGAGTTTACTTAAAGATAAAATATTAGGGACACCTGGGTGGCTCACTTAGTCGGTTAAGCATCCAACTCCTGGCTTTGGCTCAGGTCATGATCTCAGGGTTGTGGGTTTGAGCCCTGAGTCGGGCTGCCTGCTCAGCAGGGAGTCTGCTTGAGGTTCTCTCTCTCCCTGCTCCTCTCCTCTAGCTCCCCACTCATGGTGTGCTGTCTCTCTCTCTCTTTCAAAAAATAAGTAAATAAAAATAAAATCTTTTTTAAAAAAAATGGAGAGTCACAGAAGCTATTTGTTAACATAGTTAAGATGTGGGGCAAAGATTTGACCCAATAGTTTGGCACGAGCACCTGGGTTCTTGACCCATCTACTGCACGGCCGCCTCTGTGTCCCTACACGACAAATAGTTTTGCTTTCCGTGTTGAAAGACTTTATAAAAATGCTACACTGTGTATATCCTATAACTTGATTTTCGTCTGCAGCATCTCTGTTTTTGAGGTTGACCCATGTTGGTAATTTAAACCCGTTTCAGGGGCGCCTGCCTGGCTCACTTGGTGTAGAGCACGCCACTCTTGATCTCCGAGTTGTGAGTTCAGGCCCCACACTGGGCTTAGAGCTTACTTAAAAATAAAAATTAAAAACTAAAAAAAACCCGTTTCATAGTATTTTATATCATGACTTCCACAATTCATTGTTTCTCGTGTAGATGAACTTCGGGGTTTTCCAAAGGTTTATTACCAAACACCGACGGCAGCAAAGTTCTTGTGAATATTTTCATTTAGGGGGCGCCTGGGTGGCTCAGCGGGTTAAAGCCTCTGCCCTCAGCTCAGGTCATGGTCTCAGGGTCCTGGGATCGAGCTCTGCATCGGGCTCTCTGATCAGCAGGGAGCCTGCTTCCTCCTCTCTCCCTCCCTGCCTACTTGTGATCTCTGTTTATCAAATAAATAAATATTTTCATTTACACGTGTAAGTGCTTCTCTAGACTGTACAGCTTGCGCAGAGCTCTGGGTGTTTCCTTGGGTGCGCACATTAGTCACTTCAGTCGGTCCTGTGGAACTACCTCTTCCAGCTCATCTGGAGATTTATACAGACTCCTAACAGGGAACCCGAGTTCCGGTGGCCTCCCAGTCACAGAAACACTTGGTCATTTCTGACGACTTAATTTTTGCCAACCTCTGAGGGGCATGAAATACTGATCAGTGAGTGAGTGTTTTCGTGTCTGTGAGGCATTCATGTTTGTAGTGGATTGTCTTTTGTATTCTTTGCCTGTTTTGGGGTAATTTGTTCTTACCTTGCCTATAGCAGTCCTTTATACGATCATGATACTGATCTCTTTCTTACTGGTTAGAGTCATCATAGACACCTTCCAGGTTTGGTAAATCATCTTCTTTTGTGTACTTCTTGAAAGTTGAGGTAGAACTCCAAAAAGTAAACAGAATTATCGCAGAGTGATAGAAGTTTGTAGGGTTTTCTTTGTTCTGAAATTTTGTGCTTGTGTGCCTTAGTAGTTTGTTGTACCAGATGCCTCATGGTTGACAGCCATGCTCTATGGGTCTGAAGTGTTTTCTTGAATTATTTTGTGGTGGTTTCCTCCTGATTCTTAGTTTTATCTTTACAGAACTTTTTGTTTTGGGAAACTGGACTCTGGGAGGGGTCCCTAATATTACTACCTTTTTTTTTTCATTTCTGTCCTTTAAATTCTGCATTCTAGGGGCACCTGGGTGGCTCAGTTGCTAAGCATATGCTTTCGGCTCAGGTCATGATCCCAGGGTCTTGGGATTGAGCCCCACATTGGGTTCCCTGCTCAGGAGAGAGCCTGCTTCTCCCTCGCCCACTCCTCCTGCTTGTGTTCCCTCTCTCTCTGTCTCTTTCTGTCAAATAAATAAAATCTTAAAAAAAAAATAAATTCTACTTTCTAGGAGTTTTCCCCCCACTTTATCTCAGATGAGTATTTCTTTTAAGCTTTTTACTTCTCTTGTCATGTTTTATATCCAAGATCTTCCCCCTGCCCATGGTTCTCTGAATGTTTTTTATATTTTCCTTGAACTTGTTTTCCATCATTCATGTAGGATATTTGTTTCCGATGACTTGTAATCATTGGTTGTCTGCATACACATTTGGGAGCAGGGGACTAACCATCCAACTAGAAGCTCTGAGCGTGGGGGGGTGGGGCTTGGTGGATGGACGACTTCCAGGGCTCGCGGTCTGGTGATGTGGCGGGGCTGCTTCACTGGAAGACTTGCAGTGGGGAGTTCCTTGTCTTAGTTGGTCAGATTTCGTGGTCGAGGACCCTCCAGACTCCTGAGTGAAGGGTGTGGGCCTGGCTCTCCTCATTCTGGAGTCTCCCTGGGAGGCAGAAGGCCCGCCTCCTCTGGTGTGTGCCCGCTCATATGCTCCTGTTTCCGTGCACAGCCCAGTTCACAGATCTCTCCTTTATCTTCTCCAGAGAATAACCTCTTTTGCTGGGCACAGTTGGAAATTTGGGTATCTTTTGTGAATCTGGGTATTTGCTACTTCTAAGCATTGTTGAAAAAACCACTCCTTAGTTTTAATCAGAGGTACCTAGCTCTCCTCGGGTTGGGGGGTGTGTGCGGTGGGGGGATGTGGTAGTATAAACCAGCTCGGTTCTCATGCAGGTCTCTTAAGTCATTTCCCTTGCTGCCAGTATTTTGTTGCTCTTGTTTTCTCTTTCATTTTCCCTTCTTTGTGGGCCTTCCTCTTTTTGAAACACTCCCTTTGCTGCTGTTCAGTGGAGTTGGGTGGGGAAGACAACGACTCGTGTGTTCAGCTCACCATCTGTATCTGCATGCCTTCTCCGTAGTTTGTTGCAAGCCCAAAGGACTTGTAACTTTTCTATCCTGCAGTTTTAGATAGTTTATCTGGCGGTGGGACATTTCTGGGTTAGGCCTCTAACCTTGCTTCTCATTTTATCTTCATAATGGCCTTCTGAGGCTTTATCACACCCCTCTGGTAGATGAGAAAACAGCATTTTGAGCTATAATAAAAGGAAGGTATAGAAGTCATCACTCTAAGAGGTGATAAAGCCATCACTCTGAGAGATGCTGTTGGGACCTGCACCTCGGGTTTCCCCGACTTGACAGCTACACTTGCTCCCAGGGCTTTAACCCGTTCCTCCTTCAGGGGTACGATGGCACGAGGGATAGCTGGGTTTTCTCTGGGCATTCACGGCACAGGGAACAAAGACAAGATGTCTTTGCTGCGGGTGTTTTATGTCTCTACTCTGTTGTCCTGTTCCAGTGCAAAGAGCGGATGAGGCCAGTGAAAAAGGCTCTGAAGCAGCTGGACAAACCCGACAAGGGGCTCAATGTGCAGGAACAGCTAGAGCACACCCGAAACTGCTTGCTGAAGATCGGAGACCGGATAGCCGAGTGCCTTAAAGCCTATTCAGACCAGGAGCACATCAAACTCTGGAGAAGGTAAGTGACTGCAGCCTCAGACTGCCTGGTGCGATTTGGCAGTGTGTGTGTGGGGAGGGTTCTGGTTCTGTTTTATAAAAGGTGACACAGCCACCTAATGAGTACCCCCCCCAATAAAAACCATCTGTTGTACCCGCAGGCTTCAGTTTCTTTTTCCTGCAATAGGCCATTCCACTGAGACATCCTTTTGAATAGGTAGGATGATGTCATCATTTTATGAGAGAACAGCAGGGAGACTGATTTTGCTGGCTTAGTCTCAGAACGAAGACTTGGTCTATAAACCTGGAAGGCGTAAAAGTCATTTAGTCTCACTACTTCACCCACCTCAGGCTGATGATAATAACTGTTTGAATAGTTCTCTACTACACACGAGGGGAAAGAAGGATTAAAACCACTAGAACTGTGATTTTTTCCATTCTCTCTGATAATTGAAGAACTCTAGTAGTAATTTGTATTAATGCAATTTAATCCAGAACTTTAATTAGTAAGGCACATCATGGCTCACATACACTCATTTATGTGTTCACTTTTGATTTTTTAGGATAACACAACTGGAATTTCTTTCTCAAAGATAATGGTAGCATTTAGTCTCTTTCCATAATCCAAAGTGACTTTGAACTCATGTACTTCATGGTTCATATAATTACCCTGGTATAATATGCCCAATCCCAGTGGATTGGTTTTGAAAAAATGGATTTAAGAGAACTTTGTCATGCTATCCATAGCATGCTTCACACCCATTTAAGAAAATTAAGTTTCAAAATGTGATTTTTGTTCTCCTTTACACATCACCAACTTCTTCGTGTGCCTAGCCACTGGGCTGTTTTTCTAGCCAAGTTAATCCCTGCTAGAAGAGAACAGAAGGTCATCCTAGTATGTAGATCTGTGAAGCTAGGCTTTCTGCGGGGCACTGGTGCCTGTCTGTGTTGAAGTGTGTGGGGGCACTGTAGACCTGGCTAGCAGTCGTCCGTAAGCAGGTCCTTGCCCATTCCAGAGACACTGTCCGTGCTGAAGTGGGCATTGCAAGACCAGGTATGGCAGGTGTTCGAGAAGGAAGTGGAGTCTGCAGAGGAGTAGTGCGGGAGGATGCCCTTCTGAGAGGCAGGCAGGTGTACTTGACCTGGGCAGACTTGCTTACAGGAGAGTTTTCAGGCTTTGGCACAGGCTTACAAGTGGGCCAGTGAGGGGAGCTGGGTGGGTTTTAGGGTTCAAAGGCAGTTTGTTAAGACCACTTAAGCCCACTCTGGAAGACCTTAAAAAGGAAGGGACGGTGCAGCAGGTGTACGGCTTCAGGAGCCAGTCCCATTTCTGTGGGTGGCGTGTTGTGGTCAAACTATTCTCTCCAAAGCATGGAAGCAGGTGAGGCTCCTTTTCCAGCTCACCACGAGTACTGCTGCCTCCTTTTTCTAGACGTCGGTTCTGTCAGTCACTCCGCTGGCTATGGTAATGCTTGCTAGGATGGGTGCAGTGGTATTGCAGGGAGGCACTGCTTGGAGTTTTCAGGAAGAAATGAGAGATCCTGGTGGTGATAGCTGGGAAGGAAGAAGGGACAGCAACATGGGGATGCACGAATGTATGTAGGTCCCAGCTGGGAAGATGGGAGTAATGATGGATTGTGTGGCTGAATCCGAAGACTTTAGGACTTTCCTGGGTGCCGGTGAATTAAGGGATTTGAGCTAGGAGACCCGAACCCTTGTCTCCAGACTCCTTGGTCAGACTCTGTTCAAACACTGGCATCTAAAGACGTGTTAATGAAGCGCAGACCTGAAGGAGTGTTTCTGTTACTTAATTTCTACACTTGGGTGAGGCTCTGTGGCAGAATTCAGTAGCTTGTCATCAGTAAAGAGAACAGAAATTCTATGATTTACTTAGAGCTGTTTTTTTATTTTTTACTTTTCTTTAGGAACCTATGGATTTTTGTTTCCAAGTTTACAGAATTTGATGCTCGAAAATTGCATAAGTTATACAAGATGGCTCATAAGAAAAGATCTCAAGAAGAGGAGGTAAAATACACATTTAATCCTAATTTATACAATCAGATAAAAACCAGTTCCACAGAATTCCTTCATTACTCTTTTTCCCGGGAAGATGGTCAGGGGAGGATACTGTTGGTGCCAGAAGGGTCCTTGGTTCTCTGCCCTCAATACAGATGGAGGGGGAAGTGCTGGAGGGTGGAGGTGCCCAGCACGGCCCTGCCTGTCCCCCACAGCGTGCCCTAACGCCGTGTTACTTGTGCAGCGTCTTGGCATGCTCCCCTACTGGGAAAAGTAACAGTGACTCTTGATGGGTGAAATAGCCAACAGATTAGAGCCAAAGCAAATTAAAACTCTGACAGGGAGTCGTTACCGTGTGTTTCTCTGTCCTGGAGTCATTTATTCACCAATCTTGTGGCGGCGTACGAACCTGGCTCCTGATACGTAACAGGGTTGTAGGCAGAAAATACTTTTTCTGTTCTTTTCTGGGCCATGTGTATTGGTGTCCCAGCGTTCGTACGTAGCGTCCCAACTGCTCACGTGAGGGAGCAAACACGAGAAGGTTCCCAGAAGTTCCTTCCCTTCTCTGGCATGGGGTGGGGGGGGCGACGGGCACATAAGTGGCTTCCCTGATTCTGCAGGAGCCGTGCTCCTGAGGCCAGCATGCCTCTTTCCAGATCCACTGACTGGACGTGTGGGCCCTCCCCAGATCAGCCACTCAGGGCCCATCTGTGAACATGGAACACCTCCGCCACTAACATGTCAGTGACATGTTAGTCCGTGACACCTGCTCACGGGACTTGCCAGCAAAGGGCGACTTCCTTGTTGGGGCAGCAGGTGCTGCTCTGAGAGGCTGGGGTGCTGCAGGAGCTCAGGGAAGTTCCTGAACAGGGTTTATAAGCGTGTCGTAGACGGCAGGTCCGAAACCACGAGGGCCGAGAGATGAATACTTGGAGGTGGTGCTTTCTGTACTGTTCTTGGGAATTCTGCCAGTCAGGGGGTTAAGAAGCTTTGGTTTCTTTTTTATTCTCAGGAGCAAAAGAAGAAAGATGATGTGATTGGTGGAAAGAAGCCGTTTCGGCCAGAGGCCTCAGGCTCCAGCCGGGACTCCCTAATATCTCAGTCCCACACCCCACACAACCTTCACCCTCAGAAGCCTCACTTGCCCGCCTCCCATGGCCCACAGATGCACGGACACCCACGAGATAACTACAATCACCCCAACAAGAGACACTTCAGTAACGCAGGTAGGTCATGAAGTGGAGTTGTTGTTGTTGTTTTTTAAGATTTTATTTATTTATTTGACAGACAGAGATCACAAGTAGGCAGAGAGGCAGGCAGAGAGAGAGGATAAGCAGGCTCCCTGCCGAGCAGAGAGCCCGATGCGGGACTCGATCCCAGGACCTTGGGATCATGACCTGAGCCGAAAGCAGAGGCACCACCCGGGCGCCCCTATGAAGTGGAGTTTTAAGAAGAGATGCCAAAAGAATCATTTCCTTTTCTGAAGACAGCAGGTAGACCTGTGCTCCGTTCTCCTTCAGGACTTTGTTGTCTTCTGTCTCAGTGAGACGGAGGGTGAAGTAAAGATCCAGAAGGCTGGTCGTTACTCCGGCGTATAAGAAGAACATGGCCAAACGAACAAGTAATAGGACGAGAGGAGCAGTTTACATTATACGGGACGGTCAAATGCTCAAAACTGCTAATAGTGAAAGAGCCCTTGTAAATTGACAACAAAAGAATAACCAAATAGAAGAATGGGCAGAGGTTAGGAATAGAGAATTCATACAGGAGGAAATTCAGGGGGCCAGTATGACAAGTGGCCAGCACTGCTCGTAGGGAAATGTAAATTCAGGCAATAGCAAGCTAACTAATTTTTTTGCCCATTCACATCAATAAAAATTAAAAGGGTGGAATACATGGAAATTGCTAAGAGTGTGAATTGCTGCAGTGTTTATAGAAATTAATCTGAAATATCTAAATACGTAAGCTTTTTATTTTTTGGTATCTACCAGGATGTAGGAGGCTACCATTCTGGTCTTAGAATGGCAAAAAGCTGGAAATAACTTTGGATATCCATTAACAGGAGTATCATGAGATAAATGGTAGGACGTTGGTGCTTTGTATATTATTATCAGTTATTAGAAAGAACGAGTTGGTTTTAGAAATAAAAAAAATGGGAGAGAAAGCAACAACAAAATCTGTGTGTCTGTTTAGCTTTTTTAAGGTGACATTTATATAATACCAACTTTACTTTTTTTATAGATACTGTGGTTTTTAAAAAAGATTTATTGGTATGAGAGAGAGCACGAGGGAGAGAGCAGGCAGGAGCAGGGGCGGGGTGGTTGGAAGGAGGGCAGCAGACATCCCACTGAGCAGGGAGCCGGCTGGGGGCTCGATCCCAGGAGCCCGGGATCATGACCCGGGTGGACAGCAAAGGCTTAACTGACTGAGCCCCCCAGGCGCTCCATCGTTCACCATTATATTTATCCGGTTTAGTGGCATTTACTACATTCGCAGTGTTGTGTGGAACCACCACTTCTCTCTTAGTCACTGAACATTTCCACGTCTGTGAGGCTGTTTCTCCCCGTCCCCTGCCTGCCCCGCCCCCCCCGGTGTGTATTCTGTCTGTGTGGATTTCTGTGTTTGGGACACTGCCTGTTAATGGACTCAGTCTCTGTATATGTGTCTGATCGATTCACTTGGCGTAGTATTTGAAGGTTTATCCACACTGTAACGTTTGTTAGTACCGCATTCACTTCTGTGACTGAACTGCATGGACACAGGCCGCAGTCTGTTAACCCGTTCATCGGTGGATGGAGTTTGGGTTGCTTCTTTTTTCTTGGTTATCGTGAATAGTGCTGCTGTGAAATATCTTGTGTGTAAGTATTCGAGGACCTGTTTTCGAGTCTTGTGGGTATATGCCTGCTAGTGAAATTGCTGGGTTATATGGGAATTCTAATTCACTTTCTTGAAGAGCCACCAAGCTGTTCTCCATAGTGAAGGTTTGAATAAGCACAGAGAAACGCGTGAGAACACACCCAGGACCAGGGACCTTACGATGCGGGGAGTGGAGGGGGCATTGCAGGAAGTTAATAATTTCTCCATCTGTTGCTTCACTGGTTAATACTGAGCATAGATTTTAAAGATACGAGTAAGAAGAAAGGGAAAAAAGCATATAGAATCAAAGCCGGAAGTACATAGAACATACAGAAGTCATAGTACAGGATTTTATGGAAGGTCAGGTATTCTGTAATAATCAGAAGAAGTGTGTATTTCTTTCTCAACTTTGGTTTTAGGATTTCCATTTGATTGTTTTGGAAAATACATTTCAGTCTTTTAGGAAAATTCTCAGGTTTTTAAGAAAACTTGATTTTCTCCATCTTTTCCTCTTTTTTTGAACATAGGAATTACAGTTATTTAAAAATCTTAACCTGCTAACTCTAGGGTCTAAGTTATTGTGCGTCATTTTCTGTAATAGGTTTTATTTCTCTTGGTTTTCAGTCCTACAGTCCTGTCTTTAGGCACGCCTTCTTAGTTTTGATTAAATGGGGGAACCTGTGGGGCACCTGGGAGGCTCAGTCATTCAGGCATCTACCTTTGGCTCAGTCATGATCTCAGGGTCCTGGAATCGAGCCCCTCTCCCTCTACCCCTCCTTACTGTTTGTGCTCTCTCTTTCGTTCGCTCTGTCTTGCTCTCCCAAATAAATCTTTAAATATATATACATACATTGGGGCCAGGGGGGACCTATGTTGTAGAAATTGTGTAAGCTCCATATGGTGTTCCTTTCCCGGGAGAGGGTTCATTCTTCCCTCCCCTGGGCACATGGAATGGGAGGCGATCCTTCTAATCTAGTCTGTCTCTGGTCCCTCATCCTGGGGCTTAGCTCTCAAGGGTGCTCAGCGGAGAGCCTGTAGTAGCATTCTCTGCCCTCTCCCCTCCTGCAGGCCTTGACCTCCAGGCTTGGTTTTCTCAGCACCGTGAGACTGCCGCTGACTGCTCTGCTGTTCTGAGGCTTCTGGTTTAGGGTTTTTAGCCTTCTGCTCCCTGCAGCCTCAGCACGTGTCCTAAGGGAAGACCGGTTGTGTGTTTGAGCCCCTCAGCTCTGCCATGCCTCTCCAGCCTAGAAGGACCTGGAAGGCTCTGCTGGGGTCTCTGGTCCTGTGCTGGGAGCAGCTCAGATGTTCAGCCTCTCACCTGTGCTCAGAATCACAGCTCCCCACCCCCACCCCCGCCTGCAGTGGCTTTGGAGGTCACTTGACCTCTTACCTCTCTGAGCTTTTCTGCTCTTTGGAGTCTTACTCCGGCTAGTTGTGATGGCTCTGGCTGTTCTTTGATGTCTCCAAACAGGTAGTTTCGTTTACGTGGCGTTTCTTACTGTTCTTGGCGGAGTGTGATTCCGCTACAAGCTGCTCTAAACTACCTGGAACAGAAGTTCCATGTCTTCTGATCTTAAAAATCCAAGTAGTTCAGAATTAATTGATCGCCATTTGATTGAGGGGGAAGAAAGGTAATTAACTGTACAAGGTGACTGCGCAGTGTTTCCATGTTCATATATCTGATTGTGTTATTGGGCCTGACTATTTCCTGGGATCAGACCAGTTTTTTGTTATTCGTGTGACGTCACTGATTTTATATTCTGATGCTTTGAAAGAACTCCTCTTAGTCTGCTCACTGTAGTCTTTTATTTAAGTCTTGGATTCTTCACCGGTGCCCTTAAGAGCTCAGTACTTCTAACCAGCGACCTGCATCATGGCAGATTCAAGAAGAAAGAAAAGCACTGTTTGGTTTCTCTGCAAATAAAGGGCTTGGCTTGAGTTGTAAGCATCTGCACTGTTCCACAGACACCGACACCCTGTTGGAAACACTGCTTTCCATTTGGTGTGAAGCCATCTTCAAGTGATTTGTTTTCATGTTGTAAAGGTGTCGCATTTTTGTCATTGTCCATTAAGTTAATTCACCGGAATAGTCATCGTTTTTTATTTGTTGGTGGTCTGGCCCAACCCACCTTGGATCAGCAGTGACGTGAAGCCACTGGTTGACTGTATGTTACTTGAATGATGTCAGAGTCTAAGCTTCACAGGTTCGTTCATGGTGTTACTCTTTGGCTCTATACAAAAGTGCTTAGAAGACCAGCAAAATGAGTAGAGACATCTGTCTGGTGGCATATTCTTGGTGTTAGCATAGTTATAGATAGAAGATGGATTTCCCGGGAGGCCATGGGTATGGGCATATATGGGCATATATATATATACATATATATATAGGTATATATTCTTTCTGGTTAAGCCTAAGGTTGCCCATAACAAAGGACCACAAACTGGGTGGTTTTAGAACAATGGAAATGTATTCTTTCACACTTCTGGAGGCTAGAAGTCTAAAGTAGGTGTCAGCCGGGAGACATAAAGTTTTGAAAACCTGTTCCCAGCCTTTCTCCTGCTGTGTAGTGCCTGCCAGCAGTCAGTCCTCTGTGCTCTTTGGTGGCTCCATGGTCCCCGTTGCTGCCACCCTCGCTGCATGGCCTTCCTGCCCGTGTCTGTCTCAGACCGCCCTCTCCCTTTCTCTTAGAAGAATATCTTGGATCTAGGGCCCAGTCTAAATCCAAGATGATCTCATCTTGAAATCCTTAATTTACATCCATAAAGACCCTATTTCCAAGTAAAGTCACACTGTAGGTTCTGAGTGGACATCTCTTTTGGGTCACACTTGAACCACTGTAGCCTCCATTCCTGGACTTTTGTGTATTCACTACCTTTTTTGATTCACATCAGTGTAATTCTTCTCAGGGGAAAAGGGAGGCTGCAGAAGCAAAAACATTTCAGTTTGGCCCTGTCCTTGAGAGGTCGCGTACTGATCCAAATCCACAGTTAAAGGTGTTACTTTTTACAGGAGGAGGTTCGTCTCGTTGGTGTGGGCTGGGAAAGAGTAATAAATCAGTATGAATAGTCTGGAAATACTTTCAGAGACCAGGCATGGCGTGTGGTACTAGCAGGTAAACAGACTTTCGACATGTAAACAGAAGGTACTACCTTTCATCTATGAAACTCAGCAGGTTCTGTTTTCTCGGTTAATGTTTGGTTTCCTTTTTTTGAGTGAAATCTTCGTTTTAAGGGTCAGCCCCAGATTGGAAGGTAAAGAGGCTTGGAAAATAAAAAGTAAAATCTTAGGATTTCCTAAGAGAAAGGCTGTGAATTTTCTTTTGCCTTAAAATTTGAGGGAGAGAATGTTGGGACTCAGTGCTGGTATGTTTACCAGCAGCAAAAGGCGACGCAGGAGGAAATTTAATGTGTTTCTATCATACGTGTCCGCCTTTGAGTTTAAACCTTAGTGGGTGTGAAATTCAGCCATTGTTGCAGTCGTGAAACTGTTGTTTGTTTTCCTGCAGATCGAGGAGACTGGCAGAGGGAAAGAAAGTTCAACTATGGTGGGGGCAACAATCCTCCTTGGGGTAGCGACAGGCACCATCAGTACGAGCAGCACTGGTACAAGGACCACCATTATGGGGACCGGCGACACATGGATGCCCACCGCTCTGGGAGCTATAGACCCAACAACTTGTCCAGAAAGAGACCTTATGACCAGTACAGCAGTGACCGAGACCACAGGGGACACAGAGATTACTACGACAGGTAAGCTAAAGGTCCCGAGACGCACGGTGCTGACCTCTGCTGGGAGTTTTACTCTTTGAGGGGGAGAGACAAGTGACATACACATTCATGTACTTATTAAATGTTCATTGAACATCTCATCATGTGCCAGGCATGGTCCCTAGTCTGAGCTGATGTTTTTGCCATCAGAGCATCCTTAGGGTGTTGGGGAGGAATCCTGGTGTAGGCAGCTGGCACCATGTGCTGAGCAGAGGGTTGAAAGGGGGGGTTTTCGAGGGGAGGGGGGTGGGGGGCTGGATGAGCCTGGTGGTGGGTATTAAGGAGGGCACGTACTGCGTGGAGCACTGGGTGTGGTGCATAGACAATGAATTTAAAATTCATTAAATTAAAAAATAAAATTTTTAGTTTTTTAAAAATTAAATTTAAAAAAATTAAAAGGAAAAAAAGTAGAGGTTTTTGAGTTTTTCTCCTGGGGGCTGAGGAAGAGAAGAGGTTGCTAATTCTTGCCTTGGGCCCTGAAGAGTCTGCTAAGCAAAGAGAAATGGAATTGGTTATCACAGGTGCAGGCCAAGGGTCGGCACCCAGAGAGGGAAGCCCAGAAGATGAACACTTTGGCTAGTAAGGGGTTCAGTGCCGGGTTAGAGGTCTTGAGTTGTATTCTTTGGGTCATAGGGAGCCATCTGCAGGGTCATCATTCCGCACGTACATGTTCTCTGCCTTCCTCTGAGGAAATGTAGAGAAGTGGTAGCCTTAAAATTAAATTAGAGTCTGTAGCCCAATTATTAAGTTCAGTGCATGGTTCTCAGGAGGCAGGATACTGGATGGGTCCCAGCCCATGGTCCTTGTCTGCCCCAAGCCCACAGTTAAGGGGTGAAGAGCTTTTGAAGTCGTACCATGTCTACAGCTGTTCAGGACCGTATGAGCCCGGTACCGTTGTAACCTGTGAGTTAGTAACTACAGGAAGCGTGAAGTGGTTTTGTTCTTTCTAGTTTTAGGACTTGACTGTATTTGAACCTCACGGCAGCTTTGGTTTTCCTTAGGCTAATGACATGCTTTGTTTGGACTTGAATTTAAATTTGGGAAGTTTTATATAAATATCTCATCATTTCTGGAGGATCTGGTAACACATTAGCACAGTGGCTCTGGTCACGTAGCAGCTGTCTCCTCTAGAGGCTCCATGTCCCCTCAGCCCCCTCCCTCCTATGTCTCTTGTCAGCTTCCAATGGGCATTTGCCCTGTAATTCTTGGTCTAAATCTGTATTTCCATTCAGTGTCACTTGGTTTTTTTCTTCCTGCCTGAAGACCTTTTCATTTGGTAGGGGTCTGCTGGTTCTTTCTGCATCTCTGTGTCTGAGAAAGCCTTTGGTTGGCCTTCACGTATGAAAGATACCTTTGCTGGGTATAAATTCTGGATCAGCACTTTCAGTACTTTAAAGGCGTTCCTCTTCTCTCAGCTTGAACTGTTTCGGAGGAAAAAGATCTGTCATCTTTATCTTTGTTTCTCTTTACATAACGTGTTTTTTCCTTTGTTCCTAGTTTTTAACTATTTGATTATAGTGCATCTTGCTGTATTTTGCCTCGTGTTTGTTTTGCTTGGGAAGTGTAGAGCTTCTTGAATCTGTGGGTTTATCTTTCTTTTCAAATTAGGAATTTTTTTTACCTTTATTTCTTCTGTCCTCCCTCTCTCTCACCTCCTTTGGAGATTCCACTTACACTGTTTGTGTTGGTCTCCCAGCTCACTGATGCTGTTTTATTTTGTTAATTTTGTTTTCTCTCTGTCTCTGTTGGATAGTTTCTGTTGCTATGTCTACAAGTTCACTGAGGTTTGTTTTTCAATGCCTAACCTGCCTTGAGGCCCATCCAGTGTATTTTGCATGTCACACATTGGAGTTTTATTTCTAGAAGTTGTATTTGGGCCTCCCCCCCCCCCCCAGTTTAAATCTTCCTCTAACCTTTTGAAATCTGGAATACAGCTTATAAATAGTTTTATATCCTTGTTGGCTAATTTACCGTTTGGATTAGTTTAAATTGGTTAACTTATTTCCTCATTATGGTCTTAGTTTCCTGGTTTTCTCCATGCCGAGTAATTTTTTTTTAAGATTTTATTTATTTATTTGACAGACAGAGATCACAAGTAGACAGAGAGGCAGGCAGAGAGAGAGGGGGAAGCAGGCTGCCTGGTGAGCAGAGAGCCCGATGTGGGGCTCGATCCTAGGACCCTGAGGTCATGACCTGAGCCGAAGGCAGAGGCTTTTACCCACTGAGCCACCCAGGCGCCCCCAGGCCGAGTAATTTTTGGTCAGATGCCTCACTGAGTGCCGGATATGTTCTATTCCTATAAACGTTCTGGAGCTTTGTCGTGAGACACAGATTACTTGCCAACATTTGATGGTTTCCGGTCTTGCTGTTAAGATTCTTCGGGCAGAATGGGAGCAGTGGTCTGGCAGGGGTTAATTGTTCCCACCACCCAGGCAAGAAGGCTTCGTTGTACTCTGCTGATGTCCCTTGAAGCTTGTTTTTTGGTATAGCTGGTGAGAACAGGGCACTGGCACCTCTGACCTTCCGGGGGTTATTTCCTGGCCTTTGGTAGTTTCTTTACGTGCACACCCTGAGCAGTTGTTCACTGAATCCCAAGGGGAACCCTTTGCATGTCTTTGAACTTCTTTCTGTCTCCTGAATTCTCTTCTGTGTTCCATCCGCTGAACTCCAGCTGCCTTGGTTCTGTCCCCGCCTCTCAACTCTGGGAGTCTCCCCTTCCCTGCGCTGAGGCCTGGATGCTGTCTCAGGGCAGTGAGGGGTTTGTTAACAAGCTTCATCTCCTTCGATTTCCATCCCTCAAGGAATCACTGTTCTTTGTTACCTGACATCTGGTGTCTTGAGAACCATCGTTCTGTACATTTTGTCCCCTCTGTCTCGTTTAATGAGGGGAAAGTCACATAGTATGAGTTAACTGTTTCAAGGTGAACAATTCAGTGACATTTAATACATTCACAGTGTTGTGCTATCATCACTACCTCAAGTTCCAAACACTGATCACCCAGGACCATTACGCAGTCACCCCATCCTGCTGTTTCCCCAGCGCCTGATCACCAGTCTGTATTTTGTTTTCATGGATTTACTTCCCTTGGATATTTTGTATACACGGAATCCTACAAGATGTGCTCTTTTGTGACTGGCTCCTTTGAACATGTAGCGTCATGTGTGAGTCTCACCCGCATTGGAGAACGTGCCTGTACTTTGTTTCTTTTCATGGCTGAATAATAGTTCATTGCGGTGTACTGTTGATCCATTCATTTGTTGGCGGACGGTTAGTCGTTTCCACCTTTGGTGCTTATAAATAGTGCTCTGTGAACACAGGCGTAAAAGTATTTGTTTGAATACCCATTTTCAGTTATTTTGGGCATATACCTAGGCGGGAATTGTTATATGGTAGTTCTGTTACTGACTTCCTAGAAACCACTGGTTTTCCACAGTGGCTGAAACATTTTACCCTCCTACTAGCAATGTACAACAAGAGTGGCCGTTTTCTCACATCTTTGCCAACACTTAACCTTCTGTGGGCGCGTGTGTGTGCGTGTGTTTAAACATGGCCATCCTCGTGGGAGCGAATCAGGACTAGCTCATTGTGATTTTGATCTGCATTTCCCTGATGATTAATGTTCATTAAAGATGTGGATCATCTTTTCATGTGCTTAGTTAGTGGCCATTTGTAGATCTTTGAAGAAATGTTTGTGTCCTTTGCCCATTTTCGAATTGGGTTGTTTGTCTTTTCGTTGTTGACTTGTACCAATTTTCTCCTAATGGGATAACAAGTAGTTTACTGTGGTGCTAATTAAAAATTTTAATATTCCTCTCATTGAATCAATTTTTAAAATAATTTAATTAACCTGTCAGTTATTGTTGACCGTTGGGGTTGATTGTAGCTTTTTCTGTTACTAATAACTTCTCAAGTAATTTCCGTGGCTCTTTTTCTCCTGGGCCAGGTCAAAGAATATGAAAATGTTTGTAGATCTTGCCAGTTTTCCCGAAGGGAATACAGCTTTACAAAGCCACCAGTGATTCAAGTGTGTACTCGTTTCATTGCAGACTTGAGGCTTATGTCATTTCATAGGATAGGTTTTGCCAGTAAGTGTAAAATAGCCCTTTGTTATTGCTTTTGTGGGGTTTTTTTGACTCCTCGTAAAGTAAGCATTTACAAACTGAGTCCTTTGGAAGTGTCCTTGACTATGAATGCACAGGGAAGCGCCAGTGGAGGAGGGAGAAAGGAATAGGCTCCACCTTTCAGCTGATCTTTGCATCTCCATTTCAGGCACCATCATGACTCCAAGCGGAGGAGATCCGATGAATTTCGGCCTCAAAATTATCACCAGCAGGATTTCCGACGAATGTCTGACCACCGCCCCCCTATGGGCTACCATGGCCAAGGACCCTCGGACCATTACCGCTCTTTCCACACAGACAAATTGGGGGAATATAAACAGCCCCTGCCCCCCCTGCACCCCGCAGTCTCAGACCCTCGCTCGCCCCCTTCTCAGAAATCTCCCCATGATTCCAAGTCACCCCTGGATCACAGGTCTCCGTTGGAGAGATCACTAGAACAGAAAAACAACCCAGATTATAACTGGAATGTTCGGAAAACATAAAGGACAGCTGGGAAAGAAGGAGAGAGCAAGAGTCATTAAGCACCTGGATACTTTTGGTCTGATCCAATGGGAGCCAGTTATCTAGACCAGTGAGTGGAGTTTCTGGACATGCTGCTGCTGTCAGCTTGCCGGCCGAAGAAGCGCCTCGAGGAGTGGGGGGCCTTTCACTCGGTCCAGCTTGGGTTTGGGTCGCCACTCCTGCACTTTGACACCCCATCCCATTCTAGCCTGGTTCTAGCCTGTCACTGCGATGGGTGCTAGGAGGAGGTGGTGACTTGTGTGTACCAGCTTCGCGGGCTGTGTTTCCCCAGTGAAGGAAGACGGGATCTTAGAGTCGTGATACTTTGTTGCCGGGGTCCCTGTGCCCTGAGCCTGGGTGTGGGGGGCTGGGTAGGAGCGTGTGTGTGCCGGCTGCCGGGATCTGCTGGACGGCACACGATTGCTTCACTGTGATGTGACATGCTGCTGACAGGGAGCGGGGCTTGGGTCTCGCCTCGTGGGACTTAAAGGGGAGTGGTCACACTCCTCAGACATGTTCTTGGGAGAAACCATACACTTGGGCCTCATCATGACATCTGTGGTACAGGAAGACAGAGGGGAACAGCTTCCACGGCGGCCCCTTCCTGACCGACACTAATTTTTCCCACACTATCTATACATTTCAAAGGCTTGGTCTCCGCCGTGGGCCTCCTTCGCCCTGGTGCCAGGGAGGCGAGGGCCCGTCTGCGGACTCCTGAGTACTGTGAGCAGCCGGCACTGGCGTTGGCGTGGGTCTTCCTTGGTTGGGAGTGGGCTGAAAGCGGGGCTGGGGTGGGGGCGGTGTGGCCAGGGACCCGGAATCCCCGATGGATTTCTGATTCTGGGATGAAAAGTGTCCGTTGAGGGCCGGGGGGCGGCGGGGGATGCTTGGTGCTGGCAGGTGCCAAGGGAGGGGGGGTATGGGCGCAGGTGGTGAGTGGGTCTCGTGGGGAGAGGGGGCTTGGGGTGTTTTGCCAGGTCAGCCTCTGTAGCCGCCTTGTAGGCACTTTAGTCTCTGCCCAGCGTGACGCGGAACACATGTCTGCTGACCCCGTGTGGCGGGTGGACCGGTGAGGCTCAGCGACCTGCGGGGAACAGGCTCCCACAGCTAGGCAGGCAGCAGTAGACTTGAACTCCAGTGTTGTTTAGAATGAGATCAAATAAAGTACAAACCTAACTTAAGAGATTTTGCAAACTAGGAAGCCTCCAAGGCCAGGGGACTGCGTGACGGTCAGAGTGGTGCAGGGCCGGACGGAGTCGGGGCGGGCTGGTTGCACCAGTTCATTTAGGCTGCTTTGGTTCTCCTGATGCTGGGCCTTGCGTTCTCCTCTTTCAAAATACCGCTTGCCAGTATTGTGTGAATATCCAAAGGCCTTTCTAGGTGGACGCGCTGACTTGAACCTACACCGTGACTAAACGTGTCCAGGCTCAGAGCTGGTGAGAAGCTTCCCGTTGGGCACGCACAGGGTTCAACTCCCTGAACTAACCTGTGAGGACGTCACGAAATGGTCATCACTTACCCGCCGGTACCCTGGGCTGCACCATTAATGCCTTCACTAGCAAAGCCCCCAGTCCCAGCGCCTTAGTGGAGCCGACACGGCTCTGCGGGGTCATCGCTGCTCGCTGTGCGCGGCGCCCTGGGGCAGGCCAGCGTCTGGGTCCTCACAGCTTGTGCTGGGAGTAGTGGGCCTGCCCCGTCCTTATTTATCTCCTCATGGTACTAGGGATGTTCAGCGTGGGCTCAAAGGGGGTCAGCATGCCCGGAGCACAGCGCAAAGGAACGCGTAGGAGCCCCTGGCCATGGTCGTCCCACGGCGACTGCTCGGTGAGAGAAGATTGTGTCTGCTGTGGCCACCACCAGCTCAGCTTCCTGCTGACAGTACTGACACTACCCTGTGTTTCTCTTGCCCAGGCCGAAGTGGAAGGCTAGGTTGGCTTGCCGGGTCCTTTGGGGTGTGGGGGAGGGATGAGCACCAGCACGTGTCTCCCCGCGGGAGGTCAGGCTATGTCCTCTGGGAGGCGCGGCATCCCCCTTCCCTTACGGGAAGCTGGGAGGAATTACCAGAGGCCCTGAATTTCAGGGCTCAGCGAGGGTGATTGTCTCTGAGGTTGATAGGAGATGTGAGTTATTCCCAAAGATGTCTCATCATGAAGAAAAAGGAACTTCCTTTTGTTTACATTCAGGACTTGTAGTGCCATATGATGTAGCAAAAGGCAATATTCGCCAGATCAGTGTTAAATTGATTATAAAATTACAGTATCCCCATAAAAGCATCTGTTTTAGGTGTTGAGTATGTTTGAAGACTGGGTTGGGAAAAAGGAGGCATTTCCTCATTGACCGAAATCAGTATGAATACTGTATGCTCTTATCAGAAACAAATTTGCACAGGTAGGAATTCTCTCCCTTGCGGGTGGGATAAACTGCCCAGGAACCCGTGAGGGCGGCGGTCCATGGAGCCTGGCTTTGAAGGATTTCATAGTCGGGTAGAAATAGTGGGGGTCGAGGAAGAGGGGCGTTCGCATCATCTGAGATCTGAATATGAACGAGGATTAACGCGGTGTCCTGCAGCCCTGGGAAAGGGTGCCGTGAAAGCCCGGGTACATCACTGTGGTCTTCTCAGAGACGGCTGCAGAGAAACAGATCCTCTGCAGAGCCCGATCTGATGGCCCCAGGGCGGCCCCCCGCCCCTTCTTGTCATTCCTTTAGCCCTTCCACGGGAAACCAGAACACTGCTCCCACCGTGCTGCAGACATTGTAGCCTGATGCCCGAGAGCCGCATCAGGACGTGTGGTGCACACACGAGTCCGCTACGAATTCACACAGGGACACTGGAATCCTAAAGACCAAAATCCACTCGTCAGCAGGAGCGGGGGCCCAGGGCCCAGCGCCAGCGGTCTTCCGGCTTGTCTGAGGGCTGCCGTGTCGGGCAAGGAGAGCCAGGCCAAGGGTCCAGGCTGCTTTAGTCCGTCCGGACCCCACGCGTTTGGGGACGGATGGTTTTTCTTTATTGTAAAATTGTGGACTTTTAAAACCTGTTGACTAAACAGTAATTAATTTATATTTGTGAAAAATGCCACTGTCCTAGTGATTTCTGATGTAAATAATGTTGTTTATATAGTATGTATTAAATTTTCCTACATTGTAAAACTGTTGTACTTTTGATTCTTGTATATTAAAAAGTGTTACTAAGGATTTCTAGAATTGGGCGAACACCGTTGCGTTGCGTTGGGTTGGCGTGAGCTCTGACTGGCCACACCTCTGGCTCCCTCCCTTCCCTTGGTCTCCAGGTCATTTAGACTGCTTGCCAACTTGTGAAGTGGAGCCTTTTAAAGGCTCATTGTTTTTCCTTCTGGGGCCAGTTGTGGTGTTGGGTCTGGGACCTGACCACGGGGTCGGGGTCGGAGGGTTCTGAGATTTTCCCCGAGGCTAACAGCCCCTGGCTGAGCCGCTCCTGTCCTCAGTGTCCTCAGCAAAGGGCAGTGGGGGCGGGGAGAGCCAGAGGATCTGCAGCCCCTGATGGAGCAGAGCTTCCCTTAGTATCCCCTGGTGGTGGTGGTGCTGGGGATGGAGCCGGGGAGCCCAGGAATGTGCATGTGAAGACCTGAGTTGTCCAGACGGGGTTCTGTCCCGCCCCCTCCATCCAGAGGAAGTGACTGGGCCGTGTCTGCCAGCCCACAGCCTTGAGGGCAATTTAACAGTTGGGTTATATATTCATGAAGGGGGAAAGAGGCATTTTATAATGGAAACACTGACACGATGTTAACTCTCGCAATTTGGCACAGGGGCAGGCCCAGCTCCTGCGAGGCCCAGACGGAGGAAGCGTGGCACAGCCCGCGGGCGGAGATGCCGTCTGAGTGGGAGCTGGAGGGGTTTGCTAGACCCAAGGGGTTTTGCCGATACTTAGGAGACTGCAAAACCAAACTCCGATCTTCACGGAGCTCTCGATTCTTGATACCCAATAAACCCGTACGTTCAGTTAACTCGTGTGACTGTCAACCCAGGAGGCTTGGCGGTGGGGGGCCTCGCTCATCCTGGCCTGGGCAGGAAGGAGAGGCTGGGATTTTTAGTGCCTCGCGTTCTTGAGGCAGAGACTCAAGAATTGAGGGTTCCTAGGGACGCCTGGGTGGCTCAGTTGGTTAAGCGGCTGCCTTCGGCTCAGGTCATGATCCCAGCGTCCTGGGATCGAGTCCCACATCAGGCTCCTTGCTCAGCGGGGAGCCTGCTTCTCCCTCTGCCTCTGCCTGCCACTCTGTCTGCCTGTGCTCACTCTCTCTGACAAATAAATAAAATTTAAAAAAAAAGAATTGAGGGTTCCTCCTGCCGATAAACAATTCACAGTCATGTTGCAACTCACAGCTCGGCTGGAACCTCTTTGGGAAACTTGAAAGCGCTGCAATAATCAGCTTATGATTTACAATAGCAACGCGGCTTCTAAACCAGCTGTTGCCAAGAAGCCCGCCTTTTACTGGAAAAAGCAGGCCCAGGCTCCCCCCTGCCCCACAGCTGCTCCCTGGCGGGGCCTCGAATGTCTGGCATCCAAGCAGGTCCTTCTCAATTAGCACCAACAGAAAGGTCACTTACTGAAACGCGAGGCCCTACAGTTTGCCAGACCAGTCTGGACTGGGGATTCCAACCTGTGGCTCTTAAAAGAGCAGGGCCGGGTCTGCCTTCGAGGCCCGTCTTACCGCCCTCCCTGGTCTCCACCCTTTGAGGCTGGAATCCCGCTTGGGCCCCGGCCTCCAACCCGCCTGTGGTGTCTGCTCCCTGCCTTGGGGAAGAGATGGAGCCCAACCCAACACACGCTCTTGGTTCTGTAGAACTTGGGCCCTGCCTGGTGTTGGGGGACCCCCTCCTAGGCTTGAGGTCTGGGTGTTTCCCGGCCGGGTGTGTGGCCGTGAGATCTGGCTTTGTGCGGGAACACGGACGCAGGCCTCTCACCTCAAAATCAGGCAGAATATCTACTGCTTGGGGCCAGCTGCCCCACGGAGGGTTTGCACTTGGGATCTTAATTTTTTCTGTGAACCGCAAGAGGATGGTCACTGCTATAGTGTGGTCCTTGCTAACCCTGTGTACCATGGTGGCTTTGGGGGGGGCCCAGGGAGTCTCCAGGGGGCCGGCAGGAAGGGCAGTGCGTTGTCTCCGTTTGGCCTCCCCCTGGGTGCAGCTGGGCAGATGGCCCGGACATCGTCATTTGTACATGAAGGAGGCGGCTTCTAGGGTTCATGTGGTTTTACCGTGAGAGCTCAGTGTTGAGAGGTGTAAACTCTGCTATGGGCTACCCAGAAGGAGACAGTGTTCACCAGCCCCTGCTGGGAGCGGGGACAATGGGGACACCAAGGAGGGCACCTGCCCAGCCCGGAGGGCAGGCCCGACTTAGCTTTCGGCCCCAGCACGCATCTGCCCAGAAACTTCTGAGACCAGCAGGGCTGCTCTTCTTGGATCCCAGCTCCCTGGAGGGGCCTGGGAAGAGCGCCCTCTCTAGGAGATTAGACCCCGGTAGGAAGACCTGGCAGGGTGCTCACCGTCCCGTGGGGACTAGAGGGTCAAGAGAGAGAAAGTTTGTCCCTTGAGTAAGATCTTAAGCACCTCCTGTGGGCCAGGCCCTGTTCTAGAAGCTGGGACGCAGACTCGGCAAACCAGGATGAGGGCCCCTCAGAGCTGAGGGTTGGCAAGGCACACCTAGACCAACGACAGAAGGACAAAATGTCACGAGCGCCAGGGAGAAAAGAGGAGATGGGCGTGGGGACACGGGTGCTGCTAGCTGGGCCCAGGGGAGGGGATCGGGGAAGCCGTGGGTCCAGGAAGGGGACATAGCTGGGTTTGAAGCAGCTGGCCTTCTGGGGCTCATTCTCTCCCTCTGCGAGCCTCAAGTACAGGATACAGACTGCGGGAGTTTGCCAGGCTGTGGTGGGGTGAGTGAGGCCATTGAGGGTGGCTGAGCTGGGCTTGGCACCTGTCATCATTCTCAGAGGGCGGTGTTAAGCCCTTCCCAGGCTCAGCGGAGACCACTCCTGCCACCAGAGCTGGGGGCCTGCCCCTGCCGTTTGGAAGAGGAGCCGAAGTTTCCAATCGTTCCTGGAGGGAGGGTCCTGAGTGACTGTGGTTCTAGAATCTTCCTGCAGGGGGCAGCAGATTTCCACAAACCGCCTGCCTGGCAGCCGACAGCTGAATTTACAGAACCCCCCGGAGAGGCTCACCGTCATTCCTCTGCCCTGGCGGGCGCCTCCCATACTCCAAAGGCCACAGTGGAGTTGGAGATGGGGAGTCACCTCACCCCTGCAGGAAGTATGACAGGGGTTGGGGAAGAGGGGAGGCTGCCAGGAGAAGCCGGCCTCACCTGCTACACCAGCAGGAGGCCCTGGGGGCAGTGCTGGCCAGCCCTGGCCCAGCCCTCTCAGGGGCCTCAACCAGCCAGGTGGCTCTCTCCCTATGGCAGCCCCTGATTCCGGGACACGCGGGCTCCGGCTCCTTCTGGGTCCAGCCCCTCCTCCCTTTCCTCTCCGTGTGGCCACCAGAGGGACGTCTTGAGCTACAAGGCCCGGGCATTACTGCAATTCCCCCATCCTCATCGGAGCTCTAAGCTTCCTGGCTTGGGTCCTCAGCCCTCTGTGACCGCTAGCCGCTCTCTTCAGCCTCCAAACTGCTCTTGCAGCCTCTTGCCGGTCCTCGAAGCAGAGCTTGACCTCCAGGCTGCTGTCCCTCGTCCCCCTCCATCACCGCCAGCTGCCTGATGAATCTGGGTTCATCTTCAAGATGCAATTCAAACTTGGTTTCCTCTGAGCAGCCTTCTCGGCCCCTGCTGTTCCCGCTTCTCTTCCTGTCTGTCCTTTCCCTGTGCCCACAGTTGCCACTGGAGCCCCAGCCCACTCTGGTGCCTCCACGTAGTCATAGCCGTGGCCTCCTCGAAGCCCGTGTGGAGGCTGGGCTTGGAGCACAGGGGGCTGAGCAGGCGGAGGCTCAGACCAGAGTTTGGGTCACAGCAGGCAGGCCTTCCTGATTCCGGGGATGTTTCAAGCAGTTGGTTCTCTCTTCTGGAACATCTTCCCAAATGCTCCTGGCATGCCAGAGGATAACCCTTTATTTGCTGGATTGAGGGAAAGTGCAGGGACCTTCAGAGGCCCCCGGTGGGCAGTACGGAGAGGCGCTCACTAGCGCTCACTAGCCATTATGGTCCCATTCCAGCTGTGCTTCGTAGCCCCAGTTGCCTTAGCCCACGTCCTGGCCCTGGACTCCCTGGACCAGGCAGAATGGGGAGGAGGCAGGGAGGTGTGAAGGTGGGGGCAGCAGATGCAGAGCTGAGTGGGCTCACAAAAGAGGGACCTCGATCCCAGCAAGGAGACCCAGGGCTCTCATAGCAGCTGAGCTGAGAGCATGGGCTCTGGGGAGACAGTTCACCTCTAAGTCAGGTGCACGGTGGACTGCTGTAACCTGGCCAGGTGTTAATCTTTGGGGGTGGGGAGGACGTAGTCCCGCCCACACCTGATGGGGGAGCCGTGCCAGGGACATGCTAAAGATGAGACAAGGTGACCACCACTACTGCGGCCGACTCCTCGAAGCTACTGTCCCCACAGGGTCCCTACAGTGTCCCCACTGCCCTAAAGGGCTCTCTGCTTCCCTGCCATCCTCTCTGAGGCTCCTGTGACAGCAGGTGCAAACAGCGATCAGAAGAGCCCATTCCCAATCAACGGTGCGCTGGCTCAGCAGTTCCCAAACTTGGGGCTGAGGTGTCTGATGGGAACGATAGTCCTTAGAGATATCTGGAAGAATTTAAATTTTTTGTTTTCCTTTTGATGAACATTTTAAAGAAGTAACTTCAGCAAACCCTGGATCATTTGGAAGTGTGGGAAGGAGAGAAGAACCCAGGACTCTAAGGTCGTGTTGGATCCAAGGGGTCCGTCCATGCTCCTTACGCAGGTGGATGCAGGGACTCCTGGTGTCAGCTTTCACAGGGTCTGAAGAATGAAAAGTAGAGGGGACCAGAGTCACTCCCTGGCACCAATGACAGGAGCCTGGACAACCCCACCTTCGTCACATGGTTTTTTTGTAGTTTTGTTTGGGCTTAATTAGTAAACGCATTTGGGTTTATGGTTGAAAGGAGCTATAATTACAATTTATTACAATTAAGAATTGATGTTTAGCCTCATGAATCATAAAAACTCCAGCCATGGAGGGAGGGCCTGGACATATTGGCCCATGGAAGGGGTCTGAATGTACGTCAGGTATGTTTGAGAACCCTGGGCTGTTGGTGGCCCAAACCTGAGACTAAATGAGGCTGCCCCGGGGACACCCCTGTGAGCAGAGCCCACCGTCTGCTGACAGCTACTGGGGCTCGAGCTCTGGGCCCGTCGCTTTATTGTATTTTAATGATTTTGTCTTCATGAAAATAATCCTAGAAAATCCTAGGAGGTGGGATTTATCCCCATTTTTCAGTGGAGCATCGTGAGGCCCCGAGACCTCAGGTCACACATCTGGGAGAGTTGGAACTTGGACCCCACTCCAGCTCCTCCCACCTCTCGAGGCCAGCGTGTCACCGCCTCCTTCAATGGCTCCCTCCACTGTCACCCAGGTGCCTTTGCACCAGTTGTCATTGTATCCTGGCAGGCCCTGTGAGTCAGTCCTAACCCTTCCCCGCCGTGGCAGATGGGCGGGCTCGGAAGCTGCGTGGGACTGGCTCGAGGGCAGAGAACCAGCAAGTGGGGACAGCCAGCCTGCCATCCGCCTCGCCATGCTGTGTCCCCTTCCCTGCTCGGCTCACGGCAGTCTGACTCATGCCCTGCCTGCCTCTCACTCCCGGAGGTAGGTCCTGGGACGGCGGGCACATTCATCTGCTGGGGTCACTGCTCTGTCCCCAGTGCTGAGCACAGTGCTTGACCCCTCACAGGGCCTCCGGAATCAATGAACGGATTCCCACGGGGCCCACAGGGGATGCTGCTAAAAACATTTGTGCAAGGAAGGAAGACGCGGGGCAGAGAAAGGAAAGGAGAGATGACTTCTTCGCTGTGTTAGAGCAAGAGAGAGGACCCCCAGAGGGAGGAGCCTGGGGACACTTGCCTTAAGGATTCATTTCTGATCATGAGCAAAGGAGAAGGTGTGTTAAGTCAGCATGGCGGAGGCTGCCGTTATCCTGTACTGTCCAGGGGAGGGGGGCCTGGCCCTAACCTTGGCATTCGGTTTCTGGTGGTCTAGGCCCCCAGCCTTGACCTGAAGGCCACTCAGGAGCCCTGCGTTCCAGGCCCCTCTCTCACATGGAGCCTTGGCTTCGAGCCGCCTGAACTCTGGGACGGAGGTGGCCGGAAGGGGGCTCCACCGCGATAAATCCGCACTTGGATCAAATACTTGGCAGGATGCCTGACACATGGCAGGAGGCCAAAACCTGTAGCTGTCATGCTGGGGGGCTCCAGTCTCCGTATAAACAGGGGTAGGCTCTATAGCAGCAGCTGGGTCGTGTCTGGGATTGCTGAGAAGGCTTGCCCCTGCCCGCGGGGAGGTGGAGGACCACCCCTGGACCACAGTGACCCAGCAGAGAGCCCACTGGCAACCCAGCACCATCTCCTTCTGGGACCCTGAGCCTCTCAGACTTCAGATCTGAAGGACCCTCTCTCCCATCCTTCTTCTCTTCAGGGTCCGAATTTGAAGGCCCTCCACCCACCCAGCCTTCCAGCAAGGTGGGGTCTGGCCTCACTCCCTGCTGACCCAGGACCAGAACCCTGGATTGACTCCGTGGAGCCCCTTCTCCATCCTCAAGGGCAGAGCAGGCAGGTGGCATGGGTGCGGGTGCTCATCTGGAAGTAACCAGGTGTCCACCTTTGGGGCATCATGAAAACTGTCAAAGCAGCAGCACAAGTCAAGGTCAGGGTCATCTGTAGGTGTTTGCTCTGCAGGAGGACAGTGTGGGGGAGGGGTTGTCATCGTTGGCTCCTGGCGGAGGTCGCTGACCCTTACCCTGTGGCAAGTAGGTTTGAACACGACTTTAGACAAAGCACATGCAGCAGGCCTGAGGCGGGCTCTGGTTCCTGCGGGAGGGAGGCAGGCGGCGAGCAGGAACAGGTTCAAACGTGGAGGCATCCTTGAGCGGTCCCAGGGTTCCTCTGGGCAAGGACGGAGCCAGGCCCAGGGATGTGCCGGCCTTGGCCTTGGGATCTAGGCTGCCTGGGATCGCGTCCCCGGATCCCAGAAACACCCCTACCCCCACCACGCCAGCCCTTGGACTGGCGCTCCTGGATCTCCTAATTAACTCCGTTCTGCTGGGGGCCTCCGTGAGGGCCTTCCTCTCTGTTCCTCTTCTTTAGGGTGTAGACCCGGGTCACGGCCGGAAGTGATCAAATGGTCAAAAGTGTGGGAAGCCCAGAAGGATGGGGAAGGTAGCCGAGGGGAAGCTGTTGAGACAGGGAGGGGGTCCATGGCCCACAGATTTGGGGTGTGGGGACCCTGGGGGCCTCCATGGAATTAGAGGTCCTAGGACTCCTGCTTTGGGCATGCGGGGTTCCCACCGACCCCTGGCCAGAACACCAAGCTTCTCCAGCCCAGGTGGCAGCTGGACAAAGAGCTCGTCAAGTGTTTCAAGACTTGGACAAATAAGGCTAATCAGAGCAAAGGGATGTGATTTCTGGATCATTCCTAAGAGATGAACCCATCACACAAAGTAGGGTCCCCGCCCTTCCTGTCTGGTGGGAGATCCCTGTGTGGGGGACCAGAGGGTGGTATTCTCTGGGTCGCAGTCAGCCTGGGAGCAAGCAGGGCCCGGGGCCTGCCTGGAGTGCTGGAGTGTCCCTGGATGGCGGCCCAGGCAGTGAGCCCCCGAAGGCGGTGTGAGCCGGTGGGATGAGAAGGGGAGGGAGTGGGTGCTTGTTGGGGTGTATGGCTTCCTGGGATGGGCTCCCTACATTCTGATATTTCCTGCCCCAGTCTTCCCAAGCATCCCTGTAGGAGGGCCATGACCTTCCTTGTGCAGACAAGGATCCTGAAGTCCCAGGTCACCCAGCCAGCAAGAGGCAAGGCCAGGAGTGGGACGGGCCTCCTTCTAGCCCACAGAGGCTCCTGCACACCAGCTGACAGCAGTGGGGAGTCGATAACATCCCTCCCAGGATTCCTTGCTATTCTTTGAATTTTCCGTTTTACAATTTTGCCACCATTTTCCCCATCGAGATCAGAGCCTTGGTCCCTACATAATTTGGTATTTGGGGTAAGATCTCGTCATGGAGAGTCCAGCTGTCCTTTTCCAAGCATATGGCCTGCCCCCCAGCTCTGCCCCTCCCCCGAGGCATGGGGCTCTGGACCGTGGCCTTGGGACTAGCCAGCAAGTGACATCCGCCAGCCTTACCAACCGCATCATTGCAACCATCTTGTTCAAGGACAACACCTTCCCTTTGTTCTGGGCTTTCCTTTATGAGCCCTGCGCTCTGTAAACACTCGTTCCTGGGAAGTGTTTATCATTTAACTTAAAAATTAAAGACAATAGAGGCGCCTGGGTGGCTCAGTCAGTTGAGAGTCTGACTCTTGGCTTAGGCTCAGGTCAGGATCTCAGGGTCATGGGATCGAGGCCCGCGTCGGGTCCCATGCTCAGTGGGGAGTCTGCCTGAGATTTGCTCTCTCCCTCTGCCTCTGCCCCTCCCTACCCTTGAAATAAATAAAATCTAAAATAATAATAATGATAATAATAATTAAAGACCACTGAACTGCATGTGGTTTCCAATGTGTCCTAAAGTAAGATTTTGATTTTAGCGTCCTGAACGCACTCCTCTTGGGGCTCAGTAAGCGGCATCCCCGTTGACCCAGGCGGTTGGCACCCTCCCCTGGTTCTCCCGCTCGCCAAACCCCACCTTGTGCTGTGCCCCGAAGTGGGTCATTCGTGGCGCCTCTGGCACCAGCCCCCATTGCCCTTCTGACCAGCTCTGCCCCAGAGCCCCCAACTTCCTCTCCCTCCCCAACTTCACACCGTCTGGAACTATTTCTTCAAAACCCAAGCTGGGCACATCCTGCCCCTGCTCAAAGCAGCACATGGGTTCCTCTGGCAGGTGCAGCAAGACGTCAGGCCCCCCTGGTCACTGGTGGGCCGGGCAGGGCTCCCTCCCGCCGCTTGGCAGCCTCACCTGGACCTTGGCCCCTGGCTCAGGGCGTCCCGTCCCCTTGTGTCCTGCTGCCCTCTGACTCCACCCCTGGGTGGCCAGGCCCTCTGTGCTCCCCAACCTCTCTGCATAGAAGGGTCCCCCTTGCTCTTGGTCTGGCTCGTCCCCCAGATCCATGCAGGTGATCTGGTCAGAGGTCTCCCTGGACCCTGCCAGAGCAAAGCTCCTCCCACCTCCATTCTGGGGTGGGGGGTCTCCCTCTCAGAGGAGTCTGCGTCCGATGCTTGTCGCCCTGGACACCCCGTCACGTCACTGTGCACAGACTGGCCTCTCCAGCGAGAAGGCAAGGCAGTCCGAGCGGACTCCGCTGCATGCCCCCCATGAAGGAGTTAGCAAGGGACGGTGCGGGGTGCGCCATGGCAGAGGGAGGGGACTGCCACCTTGGGCAGCCTCCCGGGGCTGCTCGAGGGCCCCTGTACCAGGCAATGTATGCACATCTGCTCGCTGGATATTCTATAAGGACCTCAGGAGCTAGTACTCATAATTCTGTTCTACAGATCAGGAATGTAAGGCTCCAAAAATCCAAGGGAGACCACACAACGAGTGACAGGCAGAGCCGGTTTGGACGCCAAGTGGGCTGGCAGCCCAAGACCGAGGGCCATCCCCCGCTCCACGTGGCTCACTGGCATCCCCAAGGAGCCCTGGTCACACCTGGCTCACCTGAGTCTCTGCTCCGGGGGTCCCGGTGAGGGTCTTCGCCCCGGAATATGCCCCCTTCATTATGGAGGACCCCCGTGCACGGGTTTCCAGTAGCCCTTTCCCTCCTGTCTCCTCTCACGAATTCTGTTGGCCTCATGGAGTCTCCGAGTCTCTGCCGCACGTCTCTGTGCTGGGGCCGCGAGGGGACACGCATGCCCGTCTGCTCACGCGTGGACCTCTGGGCCGCCTGACTCGCTGGCTCAGCGGAACTGCTCCCAGCCCAGCCCGCAGAGCGAGAGGAAGCCGCTTCTTGGGGATCGTTTAGCTCAAAACTCTGTTCCATATTCATGATGAAATGCAAATTTCCATGTTCATGGGCGACCAGTAGCATGGTACTGGAAGGAGTTCCAGCTGTTTAAGTTTAGGGTCCTGAACAAATTCCAAACCCAGAATATTCTCTGGCAAGTGCCACAGCATTTTCATCTGATGGTGAGCGGGATTTTTTTTTATTTTTTTTGATCCCATGGGCCCTGGCTTCTCCGTAGTCAGTTCTTCTGCCAGGGCCTCTGCTGCCTCTGTGGCGCCTCCCCTGCGAGCTATTCCAACCCAGCTACAACTGAGAGAGAGAGAGAGGCCTACTGGTCCCAGCAGCGTGGGCAATGGTGTAAGAGGTGTAGGTATGTTTGGACTCCTTTTGTCCCCTCCAGTCTGGTTCTTCCTGCCAATGCCCAGAATCCCACGCTCCCTCTGGGAGCCTGTGTGAGCGCTGGGTTCTAGAACATTCTCCCTTCCTGCCTTTGACCTTCTCCTTCAGCTTGGACTGGTTACACGCTCACTCTCCGGATTCCTCCCCTTGCTAGCCTTTTCGGCTTACCCTCTCCCAAGCAACCGGGGTCTGTGTGACCCTCTCTCCTCTCCTCCCACCCACCCTCTCACTCAGCCCTTCCTGCTCTGGGAAAACTGGGATACCAGCCATGGTACACTCCCTGTGCTCCGGGCCCCATCCTAAATTCCTTTACAGGAATTCATTTGCCCAATCTCCCAGCCACCCTATGGGATAGGCACTCCCCACCTTACAGAAGAGGAATCAGAGGCTCAGAGAGGTTAAGTGACTTGTTCAAGGTCACAGGGCTAGGAAAGGGGAGAACCCTGGGATGTGGCCTGGCTTAACGGTGCTGCCATTCCCCCTTTTGACGTTTGCTGTTAAGAGCAGGCCCAGACAGGGCCAAACGGACCTTGGTGTACAATCTTGGCCCTGCCCTAAGGACCACCGACAAATCAATTCATCTTTCTGAGCCTCTGTTTGTCTGAAAAATGGGCATGAATGTGTTCCTGACTCACTGCCTGGTTTTAAGAGGCGAAATGAGATGACAGCTAGCAGGAAACCTGTCCGCAAGCAAGTCTCTGTCCCCTCTGCCGAGCCATCGCTCTGGCCCTGGGCTGCGTGAGCAGGGGAGGGTGGCAGCCACCGTCCCAGCTCTAGGGCTCCTACATTGATGGGGGCGGCTGACATGGCCCCATCCTGAGTCTGAAGCCAGCCCACTCAACCTTGTGCCCCCCACCCCCTTTCTGTCACTCCACCAGGTGGCCATCAGCTGTCCCTGAAACTGTTCCAGCCTCCCGGGGGCAAGAACACTTGGAGCCCTTAAGCCCCAGAAGGAGAAAAAGTAATTTTAAGAGAAGTGGGGAGCTTGTGTTAAATGGCTTCGCCCTCCACAAACACCTGACACTCCCCTTCACGTGCGTGCACACGTGGGCCTCCCCCACCACCCCTCCAACGGAGCCAGCCTGTTCAGAAAGCGAATTCCAACACGCGGTCCAAAAGAGAATAACAAAACAAGAAAAAACCAAACTTTACTTGCATTTAGCCGTTAATAAATAATTTACAATATATACATGCGGTGACACTCTACACAGGTCGCAGACACAAGGACGCAGTGAGGGGTCCCCACTTCCTAGCAGAACTTGATCAAACACAACCAAAATAAAGTGCTTCACTTTTTACTTCCAACATAGGGACCATCTAAAAACCAGCAGGGCGGCCGGGGCCGGGCCTCCCACCTGCCTGCCCTGGCGTTGGGCAGCGAGAGGGGACCTCTTGGAGGGGAGGCGGGGAGCCTCCTGGGCCAGTGTATGAGAGGTCCCTGGGGAACAGCAGAAGGGCTGCCCCGAGACTGAGGGGCCGGGCCAGTGCGGGGCTGTGGCAACCGCCCTCCTGCCCCTTCCTGGGAGTGAAGCCTAGCCCGGCGCGGGTCCCTGGGTTCTCTGGAACAGCAGCAGGGGCGGGACTGGTTCCGGGCTCCTCGGATGGGCAGCTGGGCTCACAGTAGGTGGGCGCCAGGGCTCTCAGTGGCGGCAGGCCTCTCCTGGCTGTGTGGCCACGGGCTTAAGGGAGGGGACGAGAGGAACGAGACCAGCCCGGGATGCTCGGGGCTGAGAAGCTTGCGGACCCTGCTCCTCTCCCCAGCCTGCAGATGTGGGGGGACGGGTGGGGAGTGGGGATCTGGGGGGCAGGGGAGGAGGACGAAGAGGATCAGGGCAGGCCAGCTGGCCCTGTCCGTGTGCGCCTCCTGCCCCTGCCCGGTGGCCCAAGCTCCCCCTGCCCAGGGACTCTTGCCATCTGCTGGGGAGAAGGGGACAGAAACCAAGGGGTACTTCTATTCAGACATTTAGACATGAGGATGTGACCTCCTAAGCACAGGGGGGAATGGGGGGCGGGGAGGGAAGGAGCCAGAACAGAGCATTGGAGCCCGTGAGTGGCGTCGCACAGACCTCGGGAGACAGCACCTGCCGCCCCAGCTGCGGGCTCTGGGGCGGGGGCCTGCTAACCAGCGGGAGTCTCCCCTCGGCTCACAGGCAGGCCACGGGCTGGAAGGCACCAGGTGGGCACAACCTTGGGGTCAAGGATGAAGGTTTGCTAAAGATGCCGAACAGCCCCCACCCCCCAGCCCCAGTCGTCCCAAGGCCCAAAGGGAAAGGTGATCCCGCCTGGTGGGGGGGGTCCAGCCTCGCTGATGCCTCAGCCCCTCAGCTTAGTGTGTGCGAGTGTGCGAGTGTGAGTGTGTGTGCGTGTGGCGGGCGCGGGCAGCAGTCAGCTGGGCCTGTTTCAGTGCATTGCAGGGGTGGGGGGGGGAGGAGCTCAACTCTGATCAATCCCAGTGTCTCTGGCGGGGGCTGGGGTGGGGGGCTTCGGCCTGAGGGGCTCTGTTTTGCACATTCACACTGTGGGGAGGGTGGAGGGGTGTGGCTCCCTGTCTCACACAGCTCAACTGTCACAAACATCACAGCACCAGTCACCAGGACCTCTCAGGGCGCCTGATGGAGGGCACGGGCCATGGGGGGAGGCCGCCCCCGTGCCAGCCCTTGCCAGCAGACAGCCTGGGGGATACTCTGAGGTAACCGTCCCCAGCCCGCCGGCCAGCGGCTGCCTCCGCTCCTGACCCCTGCAGACCCTGTGGGGTCTCCCCTTCCCCGCCCTCCCCCCCTCACAACAGCCCCAGCCCTCCTGCAGCCGCCCCCCGGCTCAGGGACAGGCAGCGGCCCTCTCTGCCCTACGCGGCCGCGGCCTCCAGGAAGGCGGGGAGCAGGGCGAGGAGCAGCAGGCCACCCAGGAGGGGCCGGGGGGCTGGGGGCAGCCCCACAGCAGCCGCCCTGCCCGGCGGCTCCCGAGTCCTCTGGTACAGGTGCAGCCTGTCCTTGTTGGAGTGCAGCATCTTGACGTCCTCCAGGGCGTAGTAGGCGGCCAGCGTGAAGTTCACGTCGCCCGTGGTGAGCAGGTCGAAGACGCAGGCCTGGTAGTAGAGGTCCTCCACGGGCAGCTTCTCCTTGCACTTGGCCACGGCCGTCTCGTACGGGAAGGTGTCCGGGGCCGCGGGGGCTGGGCTGGCGACCGCCGGCCTGCGGGGGCCGGGGCCCTCGGCGTTGGCGCCGAAGGCCTGGAAGTCGATCTGCTGGTTGAGGGGGCAGCCCCGCAGGCAGAGGTAGAGGCCCTGGCTGTCCCTGTCCTCCACGGCGTTGACCACCTCCTCGGGCATGCGGACCGCGAAAGTCAGGTAGCGGCCCACCTGGCGCACCACGATGGTGGTGCCGATGTACTTGGCCTGAATCTCCACGTGCTGGCCGGATACCTTCTCCGTGATCTTCAGGCTATTGGCCCCGTGCTTGTCTCCGCCGTTCTTGGAGCCGTCGGCGAAGGCGGCAGGGAGCTCGTCCATCTCTGCCTGGTACACCTTCTGGTCCACACACTCCTGGAAGTTCTTGAAGATGATGGTGAGCTGGTGGGGGGGGCAGGAGGGAAGGACAGGGAGACAGGTGGTCAGCGGTGCCGAGACAGTGGGGGGGGTGCGGGAGGCCCAGCCCATGCTGGCGATGCTGCAGATAGGAGCAGCCCCCTCCATGCCCCAAGCCCTCCCTCCCTTCCCCATTTGGGTCACCGTGGTACCACCTGCGTTATTAGGCACTTAATATTCTTCTTTAAAACAACTTGTTTTACTCTAGGACAAAGGGGAAAAAAGGAGAGAGAGACAAGCCAAGAGACAGAATCTTAACGATAGGGGACAGACTGATGGCTCCCGGAAGGAGGTGGGTGGGGGTACGGGGCGGGGGGACAGGTGAAGGGGATGAAGACACACTTACCCGGTGAGCCCTGAGTCATGTATGGAATCATATATTGTATGTGAACCATACTGAAATTAAAAACTTAGTAAAAAAAAAAACCCAACCAACTTGTTTTATTTAAAAACAAAACAAAACAAAAAAAACAACCTGACTTAGAATGGGAACTTTAGATCACTACCCTAAATAGAAAACCAGCTCATTTACTATATATAGAGGTGCACCATAAAAAGAAAAGCACAGCTAATTAAAAATAAAACTTCATTATCTATTGTAGTATGCTGAGTAATGGCCCCCAAGATATCAAACCCTAATTCCTGGAACCAGTGAATGTTACCGTCTATGCAAAAGAGACTTCGCAGACGTGATTGGGTTAAGGGCACCAAGATGGTGAAGTTATCCTGGATTAGCTGGGCTAAACCCTAGAGTCACAGGTGTCCTCTTAACATGGAGGCAGAGGGAAATGGGACCATTGAAGAAGGGGATGGCTCTTTCCAGAGAGGCAGAGACTGGAGAGGGGTGACCATAGGCCAGAGATGCTGGCAACCACCAGAGTCTGGAAGAGACACCAAACAGATTTCTCCTGGAATACCCTGGAAGGACCGACCCTCCTAATACCGTTACGTTAGCCCTTAAAGATGCACTCCAGACTTCTTGTCTCCAGCGCTACAAGAGAATATATTTCTGCTTGTGGGAAACCCTGAGTTTGTGGTATTTGTTACAGCAGCAACAGGAAACTAATATGGTCCACGACCATCTCACACGACCTCTCAAGCCGCCAGTGGACCTTCCACCAAATGCCTTCTAAAGGGCTGTGAGCCGCTGGCTGAACATCGCGACAGGTGGAAGGTGGCAGATTCGTGCTCAGGGAAAGAATGGGCAGGCAGAGGCCGGCAGAGGCCACGGTGGCAGGGCTGCCCTGAGGGGTCACCCAGCCAGGGCTCGGACGTGAGCAGGGGCAAGAAAGAGAGGAGGAGGGTAATAGGGAAAGGAAGATGGGGGGCTCGAGGCTGAGCACGCAGCCCTGGACAAGGCAGGAGCAGGGAGGCCTGTGTCTGCTGGTACCTGCAGCCGGGGCTGAGGGGCTGGGCTGAGCTGCTGCAGGAGAAGCAGCTGGTGGGGCGGTTCCACGGGGAACGGTCTTCGGGACGACCCCTGACGACCACAGACGCAGGCACAGGTGCTGCTTCTCCTAGTCCTGTGGGGCGCTGCGGGGAGGATGACATGACCTCCCATTTATAGCGGAGAAAATTCACCCTCAGAGAGGTCAAGTGTCTTGGCCAAGGTTGCACAGCCACCAGCAAGAGGTAGAGCAGAGTTTAGTCGCTTGGTTTCCAACCCCTGGGCTCTTTATGGCCACAAGCCCCCAGGGTAGGAGGCCTGGGAGAAGGCTGGAGACAAACAGCCTGGGGAGCAAGCATTTCCCCTTTCATCCTGGGGGAAGGGCCAGGCTGCACTTTCCCCCTAATCCTAACTAGGATGATTGCATGGGCTGGAGACAGGAATCAGATCCGGGAGAGAGATGACCAATGCTCCTTCATTTCTGTTCCTGGGTGCCAGCTTCTTGCCCCTGGTGGCTTTAAGGCCACTGCCCCCTGAATCAAGGGCAGCTGGGACCTGAACTCCAGTCCATGGCCAGGGAGGGAAGCCGGGTCATGGAGCAAGAGGGCACCCAGGTCTTTTGGTATCATACCTCCTCAGATGGTCTGCAGGCTCAGGGGACCCCAATGTCCTGTCTGTGGCTGAATTTTGTGCCTCGGCACCCTGGGCGATGTGGGAGTGGGAGGGGGACACCTAGGACGGCCCTGGGAGTAGAGGGCCAGCTGCACGAAGCCCTAAGGGAGTTTCTGGCCAAACAGTGGGGGTATGATAAGTACAAGGGCCCGGGTGTGCTAGAAACCACGAGCAGGTCCTACAGGCAAGGGGAGGCAGGAGAAACGTGAAGGACCCCAGCTCAGGCCCAGGGTTCGGAAAGGCAGGGACCCAGGGTGCCATCTGGGGCCGGGCCACAAGCCAGGCAGTGTGGCTGCAGTTCGGGGGCTGGAGGGTGACCAGGGGCACAGACAGGATGCCAAGGGGGAAGCAGGCAGGGAGCAGTCTCAGTCTGGGGCCTCGGGAGCAGAGCTGAAGTTCTAGGCTGGGCCATCCCACAGGGTAGAGAGGGCCTGGCTGGAATTGTCGGGCTGTCTCGTCACTGCTCACACTCGTGAAGCGTGTAGGGGTGACCCGGCTGGGAGTGTATGAGGGGTGTGAACCCTCAGAGAGAAAGTCCCCCTTCTCATGCTGATACTCAGAAAGCTGAGGGCGAGAGCCAGGCCACAGTCGGGAATGTCGGGGACTTCAGAGCCTTGGGCCTTTGTGGGCCCCCTTCTCCATCAAAAATACTGAAATTACTGTGGCGCCTGGGTGGCTCAGTGGGTTAAGCCTCTGCCTTCGGCTCAGGTCATGATCTCAGGGTCCTGGGATCGAGTCCCACACCAGGTTCTCTGCTTGGTGAGGAGCCTGCTTGTGATCTCTGTCAAATAAATAAAAATCTTAAAAAAAAAAATACTAAAATTACATTTTGTGACTGCACTCCTGTCCAGATGAATACAGTCGAGGTTAGATGATGCTGATTTTTCCTCTGACATGAAAACAAATGAAAGCTTTCTCATGGGTCCCTGGAAGTCTTGGGACCGCTGGCGCTGTGCCTGTTGGGGCCTGGTGGATGGTCAAGATGGATGGGGGCACATTCTGCTGTCTGCACGGGACACGAGGAGGGGCTCCGAAGCTGGAGGCTGGGGGGCCTGCCAGAGTCCAGGTCTGGGGTGGGCACAGCCCCTTGGGCACCAGACTCGATTTCCCTATCCCCCCCTGCAAGGCCGCTGCCCGGTCCCGGGGAAACAGGGCACCCTGGTTTGCTGTGGGATGTCACAGGTGGCCGCGGCCCCTGCATCCCGCTTGGAGCCCTACTTGTCGGACCCCAGGAACTTGCCGCTACCCCACCATCCCTGGCCGACAAAAATGGCCACTTTGTAGCTCCACCTCCATTCCGTCCTATGTCCCAAGGCGCCCGGCCCAATGTGGATGGAGGTTGCCTGTGGGGGGCTGGGAGGTACAGCCAGGGTGGTCTGGGCAGTGGGTGGTCCTGTCACTGGGGAGGGGGCGAGCGACCAGGGTCTCCAGTGTCCCTGCCCGGTGTGCTGGGGAGCAGGGGGGCAGGGGGGGCTGCTGCTGGTTTCCAAGTGCCATCAGTCTCCTGGAACAGGAAAGGCTGGTTTCCCTCTAACCGTCATCTCTCGTGGAGACAGGCTCCTGGAAGGCTGACAGCCTGCTAGACTCTTCTTGGCACCAGTGCCAGGGACTCAACCACAAGTAACAGCATGAAGGGGCCTGTCGAAAGCCAGGCGGCTCACTGCCAGCTCGGCCACGGGTGCGGCTGCCACTCCTGCCTTTGCTGCCCCCCCCTTCCCAGGGGCACCCAAGGCCCCCTCCACCACAGCAGGCCCGGCGCTAGGGACTGTATCCATACACAGGGGCCGAGGAGTCCAAGAGCCTTGTCCTCAAGGAGCTCACACTCCAGGGGGGTGCCGGACCCGGGGGATGAGTTAGGTGGTGGGACAGACGGTACATTCAAGGTAGAACCAGCATGGGTGAGGGGGCAGGGGAAGGCAGGGGCGTGAGTTCCTCTCCTCCCAGTGCCTCAGTTTTCTCATCTGTACCATGGGCTGCTGGAGGGAGGGCAGTGGAGTTGGGGGCTGAGCTCAGGGCGGCGGGAAGCCGGCTAAAACATTAGTTTGGGCTGGAAAACACGACACCTTGATCACCTATGAGAACAGAGGGACGGGCCGGGCTGGATAATGCCAGGATCCTGGGAAATGAGCCAAGGGCCCTAGGGGAGAGGGAAGGGCAGAGAGCATGTAGGTTCAAGTGGGCAGAAGAGGTTGGCAGAGGGCTCTTGGGGGGAGGCACAAATACCCCTCCGAGATAACAGCCCCTTGGCTTCTCATGCTGCCACTGAGGCTCCAGGCGGCTCTCCCACGCTCTGCCAGGCTCTGCGGTCCTCCCATCCCCTACCATTCCCCAGCTTCCTGCTCCCGTCCTCCTGAGCCAAGCTCTGCAAGGACTTGGAGGAGGCCCTCCACAGGGCTCAGGGCAGAGCGTCCTGCCCCTACCACAAGCACCCCTCAGCCTGCTTTGGTCCTCCACGATCAGCCCAGGAGCGTCCAGGAGGTAGGAAGCATGAGGCACGGAGGCTGGCTCTGAGGAGATGTTTCGTAAATGTCTGCGGAATCAACGAACGAACAAAACCAGTGCACCTGAGCGCAGAGGCCTACGGGAACAGGTGCGGGCTGGCCGAGGGCACTGGAAAGCAGCTGCTGGTGTCTCAGACCGGGGTATCCAGTCTGCCTGGGGGCCTGCCACTGACTTGGCCACACACGCGGACCCTGTCCCAGCTGGGTCTCTGGGGGGGACAAGCCTTGTGCTCCCTCCTGGCTGGTGAGGAGGGAACAGAAGGCCGCGGGGCTCTGCGCCTGCTGGGAAGACTGAGGGGACCAAGGTCACAGCAGAAAGCGGCAGAGTCCGTCAAGCTCTGCGGGGGATCCCCATACTCTCCGGAGCCCCCATGCTGGCATCGGAAGAGGGAGCTCCCATCCCTGACTGGGCACTGCTGCCCGATCCCTGGGCGCCTGGTACAGACTGGACAGTCAAGTCACTAGATCATTAATCCAAGTGGTTTGGGGACAGCACTTCTGGGCTCCCGGGGTACGCCAGGGAAGAGCTGAGGGTGGTACGCAGGGGTTCTAAGCCTAGGCACATCACCCCGGCCTGCGGGACCCGATGGGATGTAGCCTAAAGGCTCTTGTTCCCACGGTCACCGTCCCCTTCCCCCTCCAGTCAGTGGGGGCTGCAGTCCAGCCTGGCGGGTCACAAACCACCATCCCTCCCAGATCTTCGTAGGGCTCTGTCATCACATCTGGTACTCACACCAGCCTGGGTTAGGAGGCGCGTGCTTCTGAGGTCCACGTCGCTCTCATACCCTCAGATTCCCCTGTGTGCCCCAGCCCGGGGTGGGGGGCAGAGAGGCGGGAGCCCCTCCCGCAGTCTGTTTGCTGCTGGATTTAGAAGCTGCAGCCTCAGGCTCCTGGCATTCATTTATGTCGGCTCTGGGGAAGGAGGGAGGTGGGTAGATGGAGGGGCCCCAGGGAAGGCGGCTGGGTCCCTGAGGCAACAACACCCCCCCACTCCAATTCTGCGGAGGGCTGAGAGGGCGGCCAGGGTGGAGAGAGTGTTGGCCGTTAATTCTGCCATCTGCTAGGATTCACGGCCTGGTGCCAAGGGCCTACTGGGGTGTCTGTGGGGCAAAGAACCACTTGTTTCTTATCCTGCAGCTGGGCCCAGAAACAGACCCTCTGGAGGCATGTGGCGGCCACCAGGGCAGAGGGAGATGGCGGGTATTTTCCTGGCTGCAGGTCACCTCGCTGTCCTCCTGTGGGGAGTCGGGGGCAGGAAGGAACAGAAACGTCCTTTGTGGACCAGCCGGGCGCTGCCCAACGTGCCGCCTTGCAACGTGCTTTTCCTAGGAAAACAGAGCCGCTGCCAGTCCGGAACCCCCCAGGGGCTCTGGTGGGCCAGGCCCCGAGGCGGCCCACAGGTCCCCATCCCCTGCATGCTCAGAGCCCACCAGCCTCCTAGTCATGAGGCTGAGCCCTCTGATGGCTGAGGTCTGAGGTCTGGTTAGGGGTCAAAGGAGCCCTTCCTGGAAGCAGGTAGGGGAGGGAGAAGATGGGGGTGTCCAAGTGCCTGGGCCATGGGCCACATCTGTGGTTGCCTCTGGCTGCAGCCCTGTGAGCAGGACCCGAGACCTGCCACCCAGAGACAGAGGCCTTCTGGGGTCAGAAGATGACCAGCTCTCCGTGGCCTCTGGGGCTCCGGATGAGGACTGCCTCTCACGGCAAATGATAACATGCCCCTCAGCAAAGCCACCTGGCCCAGGTCAAATGCTAGCTCAGCGTTCCCAGCCCAGTGCACTTGGGGTGGAGAGGTACATCCCACTTTGGGGATGTGTCCAAGGGAGCTGCTCCAGCCAGGCAGGGCTGGCCTGAGGGAGGAGGGAAAAGCTGCCTGGGTGGCCCCTGGCATGCTCGGGAAGCTGCTTCTCTATCCTCACTTGTTCCATCTCTGGGTGTTCCCGGACACCACAGCCGCTCAGCCTTGGGCCTGCAGCCTCTCCGGGTAGGCACTGGGTAAAGGAAGGGCAGGGCGGTACCGTGCAGCCCTGCTGACCCCATCAGCATCCTAGAGCCCTGGTCCCTGACCCCCTCCATGGGCCAGAATCACTGGGGGCTTTAAAAACATGCACGCGTGTACACACACACACACACACACACACACACACACACAGAGCACGCCTGACCGCACCCAGAGATCTGGTGCCATACCAGCCAGGAGAGGGGCCCAGAATCACTATCTTCTAAAATCTGTTCAGTTTGTAAACATGCAGTCACGTGAGAACCCATGGGCGGGATCACCCTCACCTCTGGGGCCCTGGGTTCATGTGTCCTGGGGTGGGGGACGGAGTTGCCCCCCACCGAGGGTAATGATGGAGACACGCCTGTAAAGAGGATTCTGTCTAATTGGGATTTAATACCTGAGTTCTAACAAAGCACAATCTGGGGGCAAGAAAAGAATATTCCCAAAGCTTGAAACCGAGTGCTCTGGCGAGTGTTTCTAAAATTTGTGGACAAGAACCCAGTAAGAAATCCCCCTCACACCTGGACCCGGCACTGGCCCGGGTGCCCAAGCACACTCACGGGCGCGCACACAACCAGAACTAAGCTTCCTGAGGCGTGTACCCTTCCCAGGCGCAACGCATGGGCAACATGCCTTTCCTAGCGGTGTCTGGTTAGGCCGGCCTTTCCGCGCTGCCCAATTAAAAAATTAAAAAAAAAAAGTGACCGCTGGGTTCTGACCCAGGCAAACGGATTTCACAAACCCCCAGTGGACAGCATCCAGCAGTCTGAGAATGCTCACACTCCCCACAACGTGAAGAGGTGGTTCCTGGCGGGTTTGTCTCCTGACAAAGACCATCTAGAACATTCCTTTGTAAATAACCAGCCCATTGACTGGACATAAGAACATGGAGGGGGAGGGGTTGCAGGCGGTGTCTGGGTCTGGGCGCTGGGGACAGCAGGGCCCCGCGAGCCTCAGCCTCACCCTTACCTTGCTGGTGGCGGTGGCGGCGGAGCCGGGCAGCACAGGTGTGTTGGTGACCTGCACGTTCAGGTAATTATTGTCGATGAGCGGCCAGGCGCCCTGCACCTTGCAGGTCTGGAAGCGGTCTGTGAAAGTCCTGAGGTGCGGGTCCCCGAAGAGGCCGCAGTGCGTGTAGTTGGGGGCCGCTGAGTGCTTGTGGAAGCTCTTCTCGTAGTGGCAGACCTCGGGGCTGTCGGAGCGCTCCTGGCTGTCGCCCGGCGGCGGGAGGGTGCGCAGGCGCGGCTGCGACGTGGGGCCATCCTTGGAGCAGTTGTACTGGCTCATGAGGTCCTCTATGCCATGGACCGCCGAGTGGTAGGCCAGGTCGCCCCGGCAGGTGCGGGCCGTGCGCCGCGTGCACAGGGCGTAGGTGCGCAGCGCAGCGCAGAACTCGGGGGCGTCGTCCGAGGCCGGGGAGTGGCTGCCGGCCGTGGCGCTCCAGAACTCGGAGTTGCACTTGAGGATCTTGCACGGGGTCGTGGCTGTGGGGGAAAGGAAGGGACACATTGTCAAGGCCAGCCGGCGGGCTCCGTTCTCCTCGCCCCCGTGGACCAGCGCCCCCGGCACGTGGCCCGAGGACATCTCCTCCCGGACGGCGCCACCCCCTCGGCACCTTAGCGCCCGGTTGGTAAATAGTGCCTGCAGGTGGGCGTGCGGTGCCCAACCTGCCTTCCTTCTGCCTGGGGTGACCCCAAGGGGCCGGGAGTGCGCCAGCCACCTGCCACAAGGACCATGCAGGTTCCTCCCACAGTTCCCAGGCAGTGAAGTGGAGGGGTCAGGGTTTCTGGGCAGCACGGCTGTGGGAGGTGACAAGCCACCCTTGGGCCTCTGACGTCTGCTGACACTGTCACAGCTACCCCCAAGCATTTTGCCAGCCTCAACAGAAATGTGGCTGGGAATTAAGCCCCACTATGTGTTCTGGGCTCTGCTGTGTGACCTTGATCAAATCCCTAGACTTCTCTGTGCCTCATTAGGTTTACCTAGAAAATGAGGCATAGTAGTATATGCCTTGTGGGGTTGGTCAGAGTGGTAAAGGACCAAGAGAAGCACTGACTAGAGCAGGTCAGTGACAGCTGGCTAGTATGATTCCTCAAGGAGCTTTGGACACAGGATGCCTGGGTCCGGTCTCCTTGTCTGCCGAGCACGGGTGGCTTCCCTCTTGGTCGCCATCTCTCCCTCCTTCCCTCCCTCCTCTGTCCTCTCAGGAGAGTATGCTGGGAAGCAACTGAGAGCCACCACCTTGGATCTGCCTTAATTTGTATTTTTTTTTTTTTAAGTCACCCACAATCTTTGAGACCTGACAATTAACAACAAATGACTATGCCTGAAAACTGTGCCTGAACACACCTAAATCTTGTACCTGGACACGTGGAGCCTGCCCTTTCCTGGCCTCCCAGATTCTTTCGCACGGTCCCTAGTAACTTCGGCGGCCAGGCATGCAGACAGGTAGCAGGAAGGAAGGCTCTCCACAGGCTCCAGGAGCAAAGCGACTGGCAGACCAGCTGGGTTGCAGCCCAGCGCTGGAGTGATCGACAGGAGGATGGGGCGATCGTTCCCAGCCCGGCTTGTGAACCCTTGGAAAAGTCAGTTTGCTTCTCTGGTGCTGCCTTTTTACCTCCAAAATCAAGTTGCCAATAAAGCCAGGGGCAGTAATAGGTAAGGGCAGGCTAAGGAACGTCTGAGCAGCTGCCCTGGATGGCCTCTTAGAGATCTGTTCCCTCCGAAGGCACCTGTGTGGAGCTGAAGCTGACCCGCCCAGGTCACACACCTGGGCACGGGGGAGCCCGAGCTTGTCCTAAAATTCAGGATCCTCTCCTAACTTCACCTGTGTTTGTCACCACTGCTGGCAAACGAGGTTGTTTCTGGTGGAGTCTGGGTGGACATTTTTTCTTTTGAGAAGTTATGTATTTACTTAAATGTGTCTTAGGGAAAATGAAGCAAATTTGATATGAGAGCTACAGATTTTCCATTTTCACAGCTTTAAGTTGAAGAACTGTGCTGACTCCAGGAGATTTGGTTAATAAGAGAGGGTAATTGCCAAGAAGAGGCATTTGGGGTGAACAGGGGAAAGGCACTCGTTGGGATCCCCCACCCTCCCTGCCCCCCAGTGGTCTTCCTCCCACAGATGTGTACTCCTGGGGCAGGGGTCCCTTGAAAGGCAGCTAGACGATTCTCTGGCCCTGCTGTCTTCATATTTAACTAAACCTATAGAAGACACCCAAGGCTTAAAAGACCTTGCAAAAGGGATAAGGTGAGGTGAGGAGAGGGGGTAGGTGTGAGTGGAGGGGTGGCCGTGCAGAGGAACACGGTACAAAGACACTGGCTGTGGGGGCCACCAACTCTCTGCCTGTGGTTGGCGGCCCCCACGCTTGGTCCCCTCAGGCAGCCTCGCCAGTGCTGGGTGCAGGATGTGCTGACCTGCGATGCTGCTTTCTCAGAACCATGGAGATCGGGATGTCAGAGGAAACGATCTAAGGGGGACACAGCCTGTGCTAAGTGGTGGCCACCTGGGCTGCACCCACACCGCCCACCAGCCCAGCAAGCTCGGGAGCCCTGCCTGCAGCCAGGCTTGGGTCCTCCTCTGGTGCTCATCGTGCCCGGAGGGGAGAAGGGCCACCACCTGTCCCTTACAACCAGATGGCACAACCCCAAAGCAGGAGCTCTGTTGGCCTCAGCTCAGCCAAAGTGGACCAGGGACAGCAAAGAGCCACGTTGCAGCTACCAGATTCTGTCTCTGGCTGGTCTCTGTCTCCAGCTCTCCCTGTGGCTCCAGGGCCAGGGCCCTTAGCCTTGCTCGCCTCCCTGGGGGGCACAACCAGGCTTCTCTGGCCCCAGGTCTCTGGGAAGAAGCTGCAGCAGGGTTTGCATCTGGCCTCTCGGGCCCAAGAGCCCACGCCCAGGGCAGTTTCCTAGAAATTAGCACATTGAGCATTGCCTCCCCCCAGCCAGCGGCTGGGCAGGGCTGGCCCTTTAAGGGCACACTTTACCACCAGTGACCTTCAGCCTCTCCTTGTAGACCCCTCCTGCGGGATTCCCCCACCAGCTGGGAGGCCTGCGGTCCCCAGGTGCTCTGTGGCCTTGCCCGCAGGAGACCAGTTCCCAGGGGCTGCTTTGCAGGGTGGGCAGTGCCTCGAAGGCAGGGGGCGAGAACGGGGCCTCGGGCAGGACCAGCCTGCACGCAGACAATGTGGGGTATGCGGGGTGTCTCACTCCTGACTCCCATTTGTGGCTCTACCCCCACCCCTGGGCGACTCCACAGGTGGTGATGAGTCTGATGTCTTCCCCGCCTTGAAAATGGCTCAGGGCAGTGTCCCCACGGCAGAGCTCTCCAGGATGTCTGGGGCTCGTGACCGAAATCCTCCAGAGGTGCCCCAAAAGGGGGTCCCTCCCGTACTCTGGGGTCATCAGCGGGAATCTGCCAGCACTTAATCCTCTGTTCAGAGCAGTGCTCTTCAAACGTCCCCGAGCACACCAGCCGCCTGGGCAGAGTCAGCAGGCCTCAGGGGGCCCGAGCTGCTGGTGCACAGGCAACACTTCTTTAGAGTTGGGCCATTTTCTTTTCAACAGTCCCAAAAGGGCCAAGTTAGAACCTGCTGGAGCCTGTCCAGTCTGGAGTGTGTGCACGTGGCATTTCCTTTGGGGTGGGAGGGGCTGCAGAGGGGGCAAAGGGAGGAGGCCCCTCTCCCAAGGGGCAAGCCCAGCAGGGATGCAGCTGCCAACCCAGAGCAGTCCTGGGCACCGCCCCCGGGTCCTCTGCCCTTGCAGAACAGGCCTTTCATCAATCAGTTCAACTCAGTGGGGCTCCTTCCCTTGCTCCCCTCCCCCTCTCAGAGCCTCCCAAGAGTGGTGATGGCAGCTCCGCCCACCACCCCCAGGGGGCGACCGAGGTCATCCTGGGGCTGCCCTTGCCGGGAAGAGATAGACCTTCCACCCCAGGCAGGGTCTGCACAGGGGTGAACTCCTCCAGCCCCTCACTCCCCTGAAGTCCTGGCCATCCCATTTCTCAGCCATCTGGAGAACGTTCCCGATGCTGTCACCCAGGACTAGGGACAGACCTGGGGAGGTGTGAAGGCGACACTGGCCACACGGAGTGGTGGGCAGTGGGCACTGGAGGGAGAGTGTCAGGCTCACAATCCTGCTCTGTCCCTTCTCTGTAGTTGTGGGAACTTGGCTCTGCCTCAGTTTCCTATCTATGAACTTAGAGAGTGGCCAAGGGTTGAATGAGAAGGGGCACTTGTTCTGCCTGGGACCCCGTGGGCGATCAACAAATGGGGGCCCTGACAAAGGTCTCCGAGGGGGATAAAGGTAAGAAGTTAGAAGTCACAGGCTGGGACAGGGAGGGGACAGGAAGGGCAGTGGCCCGGAGCGTCCCCTCTCCCACCTCTCCTTCGTCCTCACCTTAGGGCCCTGGCTGGGCTCTGTCCTTCCACCTGGACTTGGGAGTGCTGACTGTGAGTGCTCTGTGCACGGAGCACCCACCCCTGCAGTCCACCCACATTGGTCCAGGACCGTGACTGGCCGGGCGCCACACTTTCCAAGGGCTCTGGGATGACTTTGCCCACCACCTCACTCATTGTCTTTCACCGGGGAGGATGCTATGAATAAATGTGTCTCCCCCCCCCCCCAATTTCTATGTTGAAGCCCCAACCGCAGTGTGATGGTACTTGGAAGGGCGGGGCCTCTGGGAGGTGATCAATTTCCCGAGGGGGATGTCCCAGGATGGGATTAGCATCCTTATGGGAAGAGAGAGACACCAGAGCTCGGGCTCACACTGGGCCATGGGAGGACACAGCAAGGAGGGGTGAATTAGAGAGCTGCCACCAGAGCCCGACCATGCCTGGCACCCGGACTTTCAGCCTCAAGGACTATAAGCCTTGCCCCATCTCTCCTCCCCTTCCCCAGTCCTCCTGACTCTTCCTCTGCGGAAGCTAGATCCCTGGAGCCATTCACTTGGCCAGGGGCCAGAAGACCAGGTAGTCTTGGCTCCCCTTATTTCATTGTCCCCTCTCCTTGAAAGGACCTGTGGTCACCAAGGGGTAACCTGGGCTGGGATGACTCTCCCAGCACTTGAGGGGGAGAGGGCAGGGGGGAGGCGTGAAGAGAGCTCTCATCGGCTTCGCACCTCACCCCCCCACCCCAGCTCCTGGGACCCAGTCTCTTCCTCTGGCTGCGGGCCTCACCTTCTCTCCCACTGCCATGCCGACTCTTCCCCCCAGGTATCTGACGCGCCCCACAATGCCTCTTCCACCCAGAGGTTTTCTGAGAGATGCTGGAATCAGAAACTGGGTCCTGAAGCACAACTGCAACAAGTTCGTCTTTGCTCATGTGCATGAATAATGGAACAGACCTTGAGTTCTGGGACACAAAGAAAAATGAGAGCGCTGGCCATTTTCCCACCCAGACAGAGTACCGGGGTGAATTTGGGGTCAACAAGGCAGCTGGTGACAGGTTCTGTGTCACTGGGCAATCCCACGCTGGGGGT